AGTGCTGGGATTAAAGGCGTGCGCCACCACCGCCCGGCCAGATTACAGTTTTTAATGAGCCACCTTCCCCTACATCTCTGTAATGACTCTCTCACAAGCTTTGAATATTGTTAAAGAATCATAGCAGTTTTTGTAAAATATCAACTCAACTCTGACAAAAACCAAACAGTAGTTACAACTACATTGATTAAAACACCAGCTAAAATGTGTGTAAAGAAACACTCAGCTGGGCTGTCAAGATGGCTCAGGAGGTACAAACTCTTGCCACACAAGCCTGGTGTTCTGAATCCAGTCCTCAGAAACCATAAAGGGGAAGGGGTAAACAGACTCCACAGAGTTGTCCTCTGACCTCCAAATGTATGTCATGGCAAATATGACCCCCTACAAAATAACAGATACCAATGAAAAATTAAAATAAAGAGAAATTATGTAGAATGCTCAATGGGCGTGTTTAATTTTAGTGTTTTTTGAAAATGCAGCGTGTTTCAAATGGGTATGCATACTTCTTCACAGCTTCCCTTTTGTACTGGAAAGCCATTCTGCTTGCTGTATGTATGTCCAGGTATCTGCACCTGCTGCATTGCACCAGAATATCATTCAGTTGACTTAATATTCTAACTATCAAATGAGGCATCATGCACAAGGGGCTTGGGAATTAGAGAATTATTTGATTTAAAGGGAAAAAACCAGATTAATTCCCTTTAATTGATGTAAGGAGGTTACAAGGACATGACTTAATATTTTAGAAATATCCCATGGTGCCAATACATGGACATATATTGACTCTAGTTGTCCTTAGTGAGGCGTTTCCTGGATGGACAATCCAGGGGCCCCACTGGTGACCTATGGGATGCCTCCTAATGTTTTAAAATTCTAGAAGAATACTTTAAAATGCATATAGCAAAATGTGGACCACCACAAAGGAAATATTACATACAAATGTGCAGAGTACTCCAAATGTCAACGTCTCCTGTCTCTTGAATTTACTTTTGGCTCTTCAAATACTGTATAGACTTATCAGATACCACATAATATTTTGATATTTGAATACAATATGGAATAGTCAAATAAAGCTGGCCACAATATTCACAGTGTCACATCTTTATCATTCTTTGTAGTGACAAAATTTAAAATCTATTCTCAGAAATGATTAAGTATAAAATGTGTTTTTGGCTCCTTAGTAGCCCCCCTATAAGGACATGTGAAGTTTCCCTCTCAAATTAGAGATGATCTTAGCAGCTCTGGAAAATGACAGGGGAGAAGCTGGTCTGTGATTTACTTGGTTTCTGTCTAGGGCAGAGCTGCCAATCTCTGAGCCCTCCCAATACAGGGATTGAAGTCACTATTCAGGGCATTTTATGTTTCTTTCATTTAAGTGAGGAACAATCTCAACATGAACTCAGGAGACTTAATTAAATCACTTTGTCTTTCTGAGACAAATTTCATTTTCAAAATGGTGGTGATACCTGTGGAGTTGTACAAAACTCCTTCTTGTTCCTTAGGATAGGGTCAAGATAGCCAGATAGATTTATAATGTTATAATGTTTTGTATCCCCTATTCATCTGACTATATATATATATATATATATATATATATATATATATTCATATCTATTCATTCATAAGTATTTATCTTAGTTATTTTTCTATTGCTGTGACAAAACACCATGACCACGGCAATTTATAGATGAAAGCATTTAACAGGGCTTACAGTTCTAGAGGGTATGTCAACAGTCATCATAGCAGGGGGCATGGCAGCAAGCAGGCAGGCATGACACTGGAGCAGTAGATGAGAGCTTACATTTGGTCCATAGGCGGGGTGCAGGGAGACAGAGACAGAGACAGAGAGGCAGAGAGAAAACTATTTGGGAATGCTGGCATGGGCTTTTAAAACCTCAAAGCCCAACCATAGTGACACAGTTCCTCCAACAAGACCACACATCCTAATCCTTCTCAAAGAGTTCCAACTGGGGACCAAGTATTCAAAAACATGAGCCTATGGGGGCCATTCCCATTCAAACCACCACAGCGTATATCTATATATTTATGTGTCATGAATCCACAGTTTGGAATTAGGAATTAAACTCTAAAATTACTAAGAATGCCAAGAAATTTTATTCACTGGATTATATTTATGTATATTTTTCCAGTAAGGCATGGGGAACAAGAGGAGGATAATCGGGTTGCAATATCAGAGTAATACGTATATGAAGATATCACAATGAAATACATATATACAAAGATGTCACAGTGAAACCCATCATTTTGTACAATGAATATATGTTAATAAAAATAAATAATTTTACATAACAAAATAATTAGAAGAATGGCATTATTTTATAGTTTTGCGAATCTCTTCAAAGTCTACCTCAATAGTTGGTTCTCATGGCTCCATTCTATCATTTTGATATTACATGATAGAGTCTATGAAGACACTGAGATGCATGGGAAGACAGTGTATGGCTTTTTTTCCAAAGTGCTTGACTAAAGCAAAGGAGGACATTTTGGCTCATGGTTGCAGAGCTATTTCAAGTCCATCATAGTAGGGGAAGGCATGGCAAATTCATGACAGCATGAACATGGACCAGACTATTCATACAGCAGAGTGTGGGTACCACATTCAAAGGCCTGCCTTCCCTGAACTGCTCTCATCAGTCCGGCCCAAACTCCTAAAGGCTCCATGGACCTCAAAATACTTCCACAAGCCTGGGACTAGGGATTCAAAACATGAGTCTGTTAGGGCCATTTTAGATTCAAAGCTTGGCAGACATTCAAAAAGAAAAATATTTTCTTACTATTTTTAAGTGACAGTTTGCCTCAAATTTATCCTGAAAAGGTCTCAGGGACCCTGTATATTGACTTGAGAATTATCTCCCATAGAGCTATGGCCACACCTGAGGCTATCCCAAGACAGCCCTGAAACAAGGACCTCCACTTTCAGCTACTGGTCAGCTATTTAAAGGGAGGGTTAGGATCTTACCTTCTGACATACTTCCTCTCCGAATTACAAAATTTTACTTTACTTTTAAATAGCTATCTTAGTTTCTTTTCTGCTGTTGTGATAAAATACTTGGACAAAATCAACTTCAGGGAGAAAGGATTTATTATTTTTTTTTTTAAGAGAGAAAGACTACAGTCCATCAAGGAAGGGAAGACAAAGTGAGAAGCACTAGAGGGAACCAGTCCCCTTGTGTCCACAATCAGGAAGTGGAGAACGACAATTGCTTGTATTCAGCTCTCTTCCTTCTTAGAGAGTTCAGGGGAAGAGTGTCAGTCACTTGTGGACCTTCCAACCTCAGTTGACCAATCGCAATCATAATTACAGCCGTAAGAATCCCTCACAGAAATGCCTCGAGTCTTGTCTCCTCAGCCATTGTATATCCTGCCAAGTTGACAGTCAATACTGTCTCAATAAGTTAGTCTAATTTAAAAAATAAAAATCCTAAATGTATTCGCTTAAAGAAGAAATGCATTTCTTCTCTTACCAATTAACTGTCTTACGTTCCTACAAAGAAAAAGTTGGGCTGTCCTTGGTGGATACCACCAGTTTCACCAATATTCATAGCTCTTGTCTTTACAGCTGAATTGCTGAGAGTTTTGCATTGGGTTTGGGGTTTGATGCTCCGAAAGGAAGAGTTTCTGACCCAATGATTCCAACCACCAACTTGCAGAATACATGCCAAATGCCAGCTTGACTCTTGCTTGCCAACTGACAACTGGGAGATACCAGGTCATGTCTCCAATAGTTTTCCATGAAGTCAACTCAGCATATCATCTGATATCTTCTAGCTGCTAATCATCAAACTGAAAGGGGAAGCTAGTTAATTAGTAATTAGTCAACACATTATAGGTTAGTGTGGATTGGGTGTCACCATTACAATGTGAATAATGTCACAAACGTGAAATGTAGGGAAGTTTAAAAGGAACTGCCGTAAAAAAAAAAGGAGTAACTTATGTAACAATAAATCTATATCCTTGACCTTTGGCCAATGTACCTTCCCAATCTGAAATGAGATCTTGGTGCATTTTCCGTCTAACAAAGGCTAACATACACTGAAACAAAGATGTGGTACATGTGCCTTCCTTCAGAATCATAAGGTAAGAAATTCTTTGAGCATAAGAACAGTTTGCAGCCGGGTGGTAGTGACGCATGCCTTTAATCCCAGCACTCGGGAGGCAGAGCCAGGCAGATCTCTGTGAGTTCGAGGCCAGCCTGGACTACCAAGTGAGTTCCAGGAAAAGCACAAAGCTACACAGAGAAACCCTGTCTCGAAAAAAAACAAAAAAAACAAAAGTTTATAAAGGTGCTAAGCCATTGAAGGCAAGAGAAGTATCCACCAGAGGTGTTTTATCACTTCATGGCTATTCAGTTTCTACTTTAATAGTGTTTGTTTATTTCGAATGATTAGGAGGAGGGAGAAAGCTGGAGAGGTGGGTGGCTCAGTTGTTAGAACAGTTGTTGCTCTTGTGGAGGATCCGGGTTTGTTTCTCAGCATCCATATGGTGACTCACAAGCCTCTGTAAGTAACTCGAGGGGAACTGACCTCCTCTTCTGGCCTCTGTGGGAACCTAGCACACACCTGATGCACATACGTGCATGCAGACAAAACAGTCATACCCATACCATAAAATAAAATAGTCTGTAAAAATTCAAATAATTACAGGGGAAGCGTATTTTATTTGATGAAAATGTGAACACAGGCAAACTTCAGGAGAAAAAAATGAAGTCAGAAACAATGTAACACAACATGAGCAATTTATTCTATTTTTCACTTAGTCAGCAAATGACTAGATGTTCACAAACTATAGGTGTGTTATGGATTTCAAGTGCTGGAGATGACCATGGGGAAAGTCTGGCAGGGCCTTCTTTTACACTCTTTGTGTTAGATGAGCAGACAAAGTGAGCACAATATAATGTGACAAGCACAGTAATTAGACATGAACACAGACACAAAGGAGGGACTACCACTCTTGTCCTCCAATTGCTCTCAATTTTATAGGGCAGTAAATCAACTGTGGCAGAAGGAAGCTCTATTAGCCTCCTCACCTTTGCCCAGGGCTCCCTACGAATCACTGAGGGACAGTCACAGCAAAGAAGACGACGAGACAGCAATGAGGTGAGTGCTTTGTCCATGGAAGAAACACTTGAGTGCATGGGATCCTTCATTTTTGTAAATTTTCTGACTCCTGCTCTGAAGTTATTTAGATAGTCACCATTTCCTTCTGGACCTTGTATTTTCTTCTCTTCATAGAGGATGAAAAATAAAGGTGAGATATAAAATGGAGAGACGGTGAATCTGTGTGTGTGTGTGTGTGTGTGTGTGTGTGTGTGTGTGTGTGTGTGTGTGTGTGTGCCTTTCTATGTGATATGTGTCTAAGAAACAAAGTCAGGAACATGAGTGTTTGGGGTTTGGGGTGGGTCTCTCAGACTTTTCCTTGCCTTCAATCCCACCTTTAGAGGATTTTTTTTTTTTTTTTTGAATCTCGGCTTTAAAGCGCTGTAGTCTAGGGGATGTGGAGAAAGTACTCAAGGTGAAGAAGCAGTGCTTGCCTCTCAAGGCTTGCCTCAGTTCTACTTCTATTCATGCTTATATGGAAATTCTTTAACTTTGATTTAAAAAATGGGTATCATGATGGTTGCCTGCTTAGTTTGTTGTAGGATTTATGAGAGTATAGTGATGCAGATTTCTCCCTATTTCTTCTTTACTGGTGTGTGTGTGTGTGTGTGTGTGTGTGTGTCCGTGTGTCCATGCTTGTGTTATGTGGCTGCACATGTGATATGTGTGAGCATATGTGCTTCTGTCTGCATGTAGACGTCCAAGGCTGATATCAGAAATCTTTTTTTCTCACTCCTGTATCTCATTCACTTGAGGCAGAGTCTCTCTGTCCAGCCCGAATTTTGCTTACATAGCTAGTCTCGCTAGTTACCTTGTTCTGTGGATCCCATCTCTACCTTTCCATGCTGAAATCACAGGAGAGCCAGCGTGCCAACCTGGCATTTCCTGAATTCTGGGATCTGGACTCCTGGCCCCCTTAAGAGCCCAGGTTTTTGTTGACTCAGCTATAGCCCTAGCCTGATATGATTCATATGTAATGGAGAATAAATCTTTTCAATAATTTAGCAGAAGATAATCAACCGTTGGGTTGAGGTTAATAAGGATAGTTAAGCCTTCCAATTTCTACCCCTCAAGCTCAGTTTCTCTGAGGGCTAAAGGTCTCCCTAAACTCCTTTTGGCAAATTATCTCTTGGTTATTGCTCCTCACTCTCATTTCTTGTCTTGAATTGTCACATGATAATTTGAAGGACACCTCAATTAAAAACTTGATTATGTACCTACATGAAAATATTTATATAAATGGTAATAACATTGTCCTGAAGGACAGGAGTGAAGGAAAATGTAAAGTCAGATAAAAAGAAAAACTAACACAAAAAACTAGAGTGCTTGTTTTTTCCCACTGAGTTTTTATTATTGTTGCACAAGTGGTGGTTTAGTGTCTGGGAACACAGGGGAGGAAAGAGACGGAGCAACTGGCCATCGGAGGTGTCACACAGACATCTGTCATGAGGTTAAAGCATCTATAGTTTAGGACACTATTAAGACTTGACTATAAGGAATCCTAATGACTGTCCGTGCTGGGCCATTGGGAACATGACTCAAAGTTACTGGGGGAAGTAGTCCAGCTGAATTGGTGACTTCCTTTTAGCACTAAATTTGTTTTAAAAGGTAAGTTTAAAGTATTCTCTGGAGTCTAAAAAGGAAATTTTAGTTTTTTGTGCAAGTTATATTTAGATGAGTATCGAATTGGCAGGTAGGAATTGGGACTGGGGTAAAATGAAGGATCATGTTATGTTTAAACATGTTCATTTGGGTTCAATCTTGGGGGCTCTTGAAACAGTAACAGATCACTGAATATAAGAATCTCAATCACTAGGTTAGAAATACAGGTTGAATTGTTATCAGGTGCTGTGTGGGTCACATGAAAGATGGAGACTACTCAAAGAGGGTGGGTAGTTTAAAAGGGGGCTCTGGAACCTTATGAGGGATAGCAGCATTTAGTAGCACAGTAGACTAACAGACAACTGAAAAGAATCCAGGACTGTAGGTAGACAATTCAATGTTGAGCACACCAATAAGTGGAATGCTTCAGGAGAAGAGAGCGGTTTGGTAGGGTGAGGTGATTAAGACAGTGCCCATTGTATTTGGCAGCTTAGATGCTGGTGACCTTGGTAAAATTATATTCAGTGAAATACAGGAGGCACAAGCAGTGCCAGTAATACATGAGGAAGCAATAAAGACAGAGTGCAATAGTGTAGAATTATGTTGTTGTTTTCTGTTTGGAGACAGAGTCTGATGTTGCTCAGGCTGGTTTCAAATTCACTATTTAGTAGAGGAAAGCCTTGAACTTCTGGCCCTTCTGTGTCTGCCTCCCCAGTGTTGGGATTCCCGGTACTCTGCTTGTTTGTGCTGTGCTGAGGACTGAACTCAGAGCATTGTGCATGCTAGGTGAGTTACATTCACAGCTTAATGGTGACCTTCTGGAAGGATAGCTAGGAAATGAAAAAGAAAGTTGAAATAGTAGCTACAGAAGAACAGATTCAATGACAGGGTAGAGCAACTCTAGAGACACCAGGATCGGAATAAGCAGCTTTGGAGGGGGAGATTGACAATACTAGAAAAGAAAGACTTGACAGACGGAGGATTTTTGAGAAGCCCAGTTATGGAGGAGCTAGAAAATAAAAGCAAGAATCAAGTTTGGACAGGGGAAAATCATCTTCCACTGAGAACATCGGGAGAAAGATTGGAGTAGACTCAGTTCTGCATAAGTTTTCAAGAAAAGCTTGTACTGAGAGGCGGGAGATGAGGTAACTTCTGTAAAACAGTTACTTTTCCTTTGTGGAGATGATATTGTGTAAGAATAAGATGGAGATAACCACAATTGAACTTTTACAGAAGGACTTGAGTTTTAACTGATGCTCTGAGAACGAGAGGAGGTGGGAAGTCCATCTGTGGGTCACAGGTGCAAGTTTTGGGGGGAGGTGATGAACCCTGGTGACATCTATGTTTAGACAAAATATCAATACAGAAATGAAGGTTTGGCTCCTTTTTCAGAGTGTATATTCAGTTAAGATATAAGGATAGATTGCAAATTATATAACAAATGTTGAGACGTAGGCCAATCATAGTAAGAGCTAGAAATTTCTAAGAGTACAGAGAAACAGAAGCTTAGATGCTGTTAAAGAATAAAGATTTGCCCATGTTCTAGTTTCTTTTCTGATGCTGTGATAAAACTGTTGGGGATCTCTCCTGGAGCTTCCCTCTCCAGACCCCACCCTCAGAATGCCCACCAAGCAATGGCCTCTCCTGTCACGGACTGGCCCATTGGGGGTACCACGACCGTAGGGGGACCAGAGCTTGGGTAGTCAGGAAGGCAAGGATTCGGCGAATGACAGACAGACAGCACACTCAGAAGTGGTTTGAATCTGTTGTAATTTTACCTTTGTAAATCAGTAGTTTATATCCAGAAAAGAAAACTGTCAAGTCATACAAGGAGCAACAAGAGCTTGGCAATAGTTTAATCACATCATCTTTAAAAAAACAGCAAGCACACAATTATTAATCGGCGCTAGACATATCCCTTCACCCACAAGAACTTTATGACCCAAAGATCAGTCTGTGTTTTTAAACTTAGTACAGTCCCTAGACTTGTGTAGATTTCTTTGCAGTTGCAGCTGTGTCCTTCATCATTATCTCAACCGCTCTCTAGTTTATTATGCACTTCTACTTTTTTGGTTCTCATGACCCATTTAGCCAATTTGGATGTTGCAGATCCTCCCTAAGTCTTTCTTTAGTTCTTTACCATATATCTCTTTTAATATAAAACCTTTTTACCTGTTGGAATATGGACTCTTGTACTTTTACGCCTGTAAGGGGAAGGAGTTCTGTTGTAGTCCTTAAGTTTTCCATGCTGAACTTCCTCAATGGGGGGGCCCACCATCTGCCTTCTATGAGATAACGTCTTTTGTCATAAATCACTTTAGTTGGGATTCCTAAAGGATTCCTAGTGGGTGAGTGTTCATTCCCTAGAAGTGCCTGAACTATTATACTTTCTATTATCTAGCGGCTTGGGGTCTTTAAAGAATAGCTCATTTTGTTATATCTAAATAAGGTTCATGTCCAGCTTCCCCTTTCCTCCATAGTTCACAACCCAAGCATTCATTAATTTTGGCTGTGTTTTATAGATTAATTAGAACATTATCAGGAAAGCAGTTATACAGAACCCATAGCCCAGAGAGCTCATGATCTGTGAAGCACGTCTCCTTCGAGAAGGAGGCATAACACGGGCACTCTGCCAGGGACCTCCAGGGAGCTTAGTCCCGTGGGACACATATCTCCCATCCGCTATTATTGACATAATTTTTCATGTCACACGGACGACACTGGAGTTGATGTGGCACCCTCCCTTGGAGCTGCCCTCATATTCCAGACCCCACCCTTCAGAAAGCCTGCCAACAGTCAGCTCCTCCCCTGGGGCTGCTCAAGACCATGCCTACAGGCTATTTTAGACCTGATCTTCAGACCTGCCATATGCTCTCCCTCCTGCCTTCCCTAGAGTCACCTGGGAGTTGCTTTGCTCTGTTTATTAAACCGGGACTTATTAATTTGGCTTGATTGGCTTATTACTTCAGTGGAGGATACCTAATGACTGGGGATCCAATAGTTATCAACAACTCTGTGACCAAGGCAATGTAAAGAAGGGAGAGTTTGTGTGGGCTTATGGTTCTAGAGGGACCCAGGTGTCCCTTATGGTGATGAGACATGGTAGCAGGCAGGCGTGGTGGCCAAAGGAGGCAGCTGAGAGACCACATCCTTAGCTGTAAGCACAAAGCAGAGAGAATGCACCAGAAGTGGGGTCAGGCTATAAACTCTCTAAGGTACCCTACGCTGTGATGGACTTCCTGCTCACCTGGCACCCCCAATAGTCTGAGCTGTGCACCGCTAAAAGTTAGTTGGCTGTGGACAGTCCTTGGGTATTCTCATTTGTGGTGGCCTTTCTCCAGTGGCCTGTTTAATTCCCAATACAAAGATCACCTTTAAGAATCAATGCATAGTATTTTCAAGACCAAATTGAGTTCTAATTATGCTGTTGCTTGATTTTATATTATTCTAAATTTGAATAGCTGTTTACTGCTAAGTCATGACAATTTATTTTTGGAGGGGATGTTCAATAAACCTGAAACTCCTATAGTAAAGGAATTGAGTAATTTTTAGGGGAAAAATAAAGTATGCTTTTGTGGCCACAAATGGGTCTCTGATCTTAGGTGGCAAGCTAGATTTTATGAAGAGAGGTATCCCTTCTTGGACTCTCACTGAAGACAAGGGCTTCTTGTCTGTATTTTCCTGCCAGACCTTTGGGTCAGGTATCTGGAAAACAGCCACCGCCTTGAACTCCTGGCAGGACTCAGTCTGTCCTCTCTCCAGTGGCTCCTGGCACTGTCTTTCAGGGCCCTAGGCTGTGAGCTTGTAAATGCAGTGACTAGAGGTTGTTTACCATTCATTCTTCAGCACCTCCCCAGACAGAGGTGACCTCTGTTCTGTCCAAGATGCCTCCCAATGGTACTTGTACTACACTCTCTGACCCACCCTGCACTATCTGTCCTCGTCCCTTCCTTCATCCTTTCTTGCCCTGCTTCTCCCTCCCTCCCTCCCTCCCTCCCTCCCTCCCTCCCTCCCTCCCTCATCTCCCTTTTTATTCTTTTGCTGCATTTCCTGGAACTTGCCCTAGACATTCAGGGTCAAACAAGACTATTCATTCTCCAGCGTGATTGCGCTTTTTTATTAGCGATCTGTAAAGTTCAGCTGAACATGAACCCTTCCTAAGCTTCTTCCAAAGAATTCTGTTGACTGAAGCCTGCCATCCCTCTTCAAGGTTTTAGAGGGTGGTCCTACCCCTTGAGGTTACCCTGAAAGGGTGTTATGAATAAAGTCACCTCTGCTGGAGATGTGTAGCTACCTGGTATGGGGTTAAGATGGTCAACTATCATCTTGTGACTTGTCAAGTGCAGCTTGCTAGAGCTGAGGTCCTAAGCTCACCTGTCTAATTCCAGAGCTGAGCCACTTGCTTGTGGCAGATAAGGCCCCTCTGTGGGTACCAGCCCTAATTGCAGAGGCTCAACCAATGGCCGGTTCTAAACTGATCTGTGCCTTTATCACTTTGAGCACCACAGGTTCTGACTGCTGCTTTCCCCAGAAACCATGGTCTCCTGAAAGAGCAGGTGGACTTTGCAAAGTGTATGCTTAGATTGGTTCCCCATGCCTCAACAAGTTCTTTAAAACAGATACTACTGCACTGAGTAGAGTTTGAGAAAATGCAAAGGCCACTCCTTCTGTCCCCAGACTGTGACTTGTCCAAAGTCCTCCAAAAGAAAGGAGCCAAATGTCCCAAATTGTGTCTGCATTTCTTCCTTTGCTCTTAAAACAGAATTATGCCATTGTTAAATTTTGCTCATGTAAAGTACATGGCTTGTGGTCAGAATCAAGGGGGAGTCTGTTTTGCTTGTTTCTTCTACATCCTTACCTTACAGTGCTCTCAAGGACTCCTCGGGCCCAAGGCACAACCAAGACATTGGTGGGTCTGCTGGTTTTCACAGGTTCAGGGAGCATTTCCTTGCTGTGGATATTGCTCTGTATAAATAAACACTGATTGGCCAGTGGCCAGGCAGTAAGTATAGGTGGGACTAACAGAGAGGAGAAAAGAGGAAACAGGAAGGCAGAGGAGAGACTGCCTGGAGCTGCTGCCAGGACAATGAAGATGTAAAGTACCGGTAAGCCACGAGCCACGTGGCAAAGTAAAGATTAATAGAAATGGGCTAAATATAAGAGTAAGAGCTAGACAATGATAGGCCTGAGCTAATGGCCAAGCAGTTTAAATAATGTAAGAGTCTGTGTGTTTATTTTATAAGTGGGCTCTGGGACTGGCGGGACTTGGCAGCGGGAGCTGGAGAGAAATTCTCCAACAACATTTCCTTCCTATGGCACTTAGGACCATGGTGCCATATACTGTGCCTTTCTGTGTCTGTCATGCTGTTGACGAATTGTGTAAATGCCTTTGGAGAAGCTCCTGAACACATTCGGGCAATGGCAGTGCTATTAGAGGCCTTCAGTGTGGCGGGATCTCCACTGAGCCCTTGGATGTGGGATGGCAGAGTGACAGAACTTCTTTCCTAAAGACAGATGGTGTATGGAAATGTGTGTGTGTGTGTGTGTGTGTGTGTGTGTGTGTGTGTGTGTGTGTGTGTGTGTGCATCATACAGTTAAGGGCTGTGTCTGACCTTGGTGTTCACAACAGATCATTATATTCTCACCTTTTAAATGTAGTAATATCAAAGAACATACATGAGAAAACAATTTACAAAACCCACAAAGCAAACAACAACATGTAAGTAAAAGAAAGGGGAAAAGAAGACATAAAGGCCTGGGAGACGTCTCAGTGGATAAAGTGCTTGCGGCACAGTTGCAAAGACCTAGGATTTGAACCCTAGCACCAACATAAAAGCTGGAATGGAATGTATATATCTGTCTGTAGCCTCAGCCCTGATGGGTGCTGGTAGAGACAAGAGGATTCCCAGGGCTTACTGGCCTACATGTCTAGCCACAACAGTGGGCTCAGGTTCAGGAAGAGACCCCTTCTCAAAAGTGAGAGGAAGGTACCTGATACCCAGCTCTGGCCTCAACATGTGTACATATAGGAGTGGGTATTGTACACATTCATTGTACGTATAGGTATAACACACACAGAGAGAGAGAGAGAGAGAGAGAGAGAGAGAGAGAGAGAGAGAGAGAGAGAGAGAGAGAGAGAGAAATGGATAAATTATGTAATTATATTTTAATTTCAAAAAATATTGTAAAAGAAGAAAAGGGGCTGGGTGGCAGTGGTGCACGGCTTCAATCCCAGCATTCGGGAGGCAGAGCCAGGCGGATCTCTGTGAGTTCAAGGTCAGCCTGGTCTACAGAGCAAGATCCAGGACAGGCATCAAAACCACACAGAGAAACCCTGTCTTGAAAAATAAAAAACAAAACAAAACAAAACAACAAACAAACAAACAAAAACAAACAAGAAGAAAAGGGCATAAGCTTGTGAACAATAAATGAGTGTGTTTAGGACTCCCAAAATTCAACAATTCAAGAGACTGATGAATTCTGTGGTAGAGCGCAGGTGTGGGTGTGGTAGACAATAATAGTGATTGGAGGTGAGGGGTTCCCTGGAACCATAAGGGGATGTTGAACTTGCTACAATTAGGGCAAAAATGTGTGACATGGTCCACAGTCTGAACTGGAATTTGCAGATGAAGGGACACAGGCCCAACCAGATAAGCCACCCCTCTGTTAGAAAACAAGGGGACATCATTCACGTCCTTGATTCCTAGTTGGCACATTCTCGAACACTGCAAACATTTTAACACTCAGGCCAAAGCATGGACCTCAGGCTTAGGTAAAACTACCAAGTGTCCATGTGTCCATGTGCTATGAATGTCAACACAAGCATTCTGCTGGGATCAGGATCAAGTTTATTTACGCTATCAGGTTCTTAGAGGTTCAGTGATTCGCTGTGCACCTCAGCACCATGCCATGGGAATTGGAAGGAGACTTGGAATTGTTCTTTCTTGATTCTCTTCTCCCTAGTTGTGTCATCGTTCCTTCTGCATAGGGGTGAGTGTAAAGATCATCCCTCCATCCTGAGTATATTTGTTCTCTCTCTCTCTCTCTCTCTCTCTCTCTCTCTCTCTCTCTCTCTCTCTCTCTCTTTCTCTCTCTCTCTCTCTCTGTCTCTCTCTCTGTCTCTCTCTGTCTCTCTCTGTCTCTCTGTCTCTGTCTCTGTCTCTCTCTCTCTCTCTTTCTCTCTCTCCAGTTCTTTATGTTTTATTTGCTTTTCCTTGGAAAACAAGTGATATCTGGGATGGTGAGATGGCTTAACAGGCATTGGCTCTTGCAGTTAAAAAGACTCAAGTTCAATCCTGTAACCAAATGGTGGAACTAGATAACTGATTCTTATAAGGTGTCATATTATGTCCACATATGCACTGGGGAGACAAACGTGTATGGAAACAATTTTTTTTCTGGTTTATGTAAATAGAAAAGCTGATAATCAAGTCTATTTTGAAAACACAATGACTTCTGTGTATGTATCTCTGATTTTGTGTGTGTGTGTGTGTGTGTGTGTGTGTGTGTGTGTGTGGTGTGTGTGTGTAGTGTATGTGTATACATGGGTGCAGGTGTATACACATATGTGAACATGTGTATGTAGAGGCCAAAAAAAAAAAAACAATGGGTGTCTTTTTCTGTTGTTCTCCACTTTATATTTTGAAACAGGTTCTCTTATTGAATCCTGAGTTCAAAGATTCATCCAAACTAGCTAGCTAGTAGAACTCAGGATCTTTCTGTCTCTGCCTCCCTAGCATGCCCAATTGGGGTCCCAAACATAGGTCCTTGTGTTTTGAACCAAGTACTTTCATGACCAAGCCACATTTTCAGTTTCACGTGTTGACTATTTGATCATGATGCCTGCTCTGGCTGGCGGATGAACCTCTGTGGTTTATGTTAACCTGATTTTCTGTTTCTGTCTAGATGGCGAGAAAGCTCAGTATATTGGAAATCCTTCTGATCATCTTCAATATAGTTGTATTGGCAGTAGACATCCTTTTATTACTTCTCGTGCTGGAGAACCCTTCAGGTAAGGGTGATGGTGGGTGTCACACTTGGAGGATGGGCAAAGGAAGTCCCCTCTGAATGCCAGAGATGTCATTTTATTCATTCATCATCATCCCACATCAAGCTGTTCAAAATCTTTCTCCGTGATTCATTTAAGTCAATCTTCAAGATAAGTGTTCTTTTCTTCCTTCCTTCCTTCCTTCCTTCCTTCCTTCCTTCCTTCCTTCCTTCCTTCCTCCCTCCCTCCCCTCTCTCCCTTCCCCTCCCTCCCTCCCTCTTTCCTCTTTCTTTCTTTCTTTCTCTCTTTCTTTCTTTCTTTCTTTCTTTCTTTCTTTCTTTCTTTCTTTCTTTCTCTCTCTCTCTCTCTTTCTTTCTCTCTTTCTTTCTTTTTGGCAACTAAACAATGGATGTAAATGATATTCTGGGCACTCTGAGCCCATCTGATGCAGCTTCAATAGAATGCAAAAATAGGCTCACCTGATGCCCATTCTGCAGTATAGATTCATAAGTAATGGAGCTCTTGATGAGAAGGAGCAGTGGCAACTCCATCACCATGGAAATGGACATTAGCTCAGAGGAAGTGGAGGGCCAATGAAGCCAGCCTTGTGCATCAATTAACATTAGCCTCTAACCTGTATCAAGACTGAAACAGCTGAAATTTCTTCACAGATGCCTTTGAAACTTCCCCTCCCTTTCTCTATCTCTCTTCCCGACCCACACACTCATGCAGGCATTTACACATAGAGAAGCATCAGAGTAACCCTCTTGTCAATGCAAATGTTGTATTTTAAATAATAAAATAGCTTATATAACACTATATATAATATAAACAATTGTTTTCCTCAGGAAGCTGAAGTAAAAGTGGCATGCATTTTTTAGTACAATGGGTTACATAGTAGTGAGTTCCATGCTACACTGTAATATGAGATCCCATGTCCCCCCGCCCCAAAGGCAGCAATAATAACATAAAATAAAGATCTATGTTACTGAAATTTGAATGTGGGGATTCTGTTTTAGAAAGTTCTTCCATGCTGTAGATTAGACACACAGTGAAGATGAGCTGTGCTTCACCACTGTAGATTAGACACACAGTGAAGATGAGCTGTGCTTCACCACTGTAGATTAGACACACAGCTGAAGATGAGCTGTGCTTCACCACTGTAGATTAGACACACAGTGAAGATGAGCTGTGCTTCACCGCTGTAGATTAGACACACAGTGAAGATGGGCTGTGCTTCACCGCTGTAGATTAGACACACAGTGAAGATGGGCTGTGCTGACTGCAGGATCGCCTGTGCTTTGTCTTTCCTCCTCTCTCTCTCTCACCCTCCTTTTTTCCATTTATTTATTTATTTATTTATTTATTTATTTATTTATTTATTTATTTATTTATCTCTTATACAACCCATTGTGACCGCAGCCTCCTCTTAGTCTCTTCCACTCCCCTCAGCATCCCCCACTTCCTCTCTTCCCGAGATCCACTGTTCCTCCATTTCCCTTCAGAAAAGAGCAGGCCTCCCAGTAATATCAGCCGAACACAGCATAACAAGATACCATAAGACTAGCCACAAATCCCTATGTCAAGCCTGGACAAGGCAACTTGGTAGGACCAAAAAGGGTTCCAAGAGTAGGCCAAAGAATCAAAGAACCCCCTCCTCCTACTGTTAGGAGTCTCACAAAAACCTCAAGCTAAGCAACTGCAGTGTGTGTGCAGAGGACCTAGCTCAGACCCATGCAGGCTCCGTGATTGCTGCTTCCATTTCTGTGAGTCCTTCCCATTTCCCCTATGAGCCCTGCTTATTTGATTCTGTGGGCTATGTTCTCCTGGTGTCCTCCATCCCTTTCACTCCTACAGTCCTTTCTCTCTTTCTTCTTTGGAGGTTCCCCAGCACCACCTAATGTATGGCTGTGGGTCTCTGCATCTGCTCCCATCAGCTGCCGGAAGAAGCCTCTCTGATGACAATTGGGCTAGGTACAGATTTATGAGTACAGCAGAATATCATTAGAAGTCATTTCATTGACTTTTTTTCCAGTCATGTTTGGTTCTATCCTAGGCCTCTGGGCCAGGCAGTGGCAGGCATGGGGGTCCCTCTTGTGGCATGGGCCTCAAGTTTAGACCAGTCATTGGTTGGCCACTCCCACAAGCTCTCAGCCACCATTGCTCCGAGTACATTGTGCAGGTCAGGTACAGGTTATAGATCAAAGGTTCTGTGGCTGGCTTGGTGTCCCAGTCCCACCACTGGAGGCCTTGCCTAGTTACAGAAGATGGCTTGTATCCTCCAAATTAGGGTCACTTTCATAGGTTCTAGGAAGGTTACACAGTGCTAGGTTTCCACGTTGCCCCCTAGATGCTCCCCAATTCCAGTTATCTCTCCCTATTTCTCTCTTTCTCTCCATTCTCCCTCCCCTTCACTCCTCTCTCAATAGTGAACATGGCATCACTTTCCAGGAAAAACTGCAATTATCAAAGAGAGTTGGAAGGCCATTGTGGAATATATCTTGAGCCCATTTCCTACTTCTCTGAGACGTTTTAAATAACAAAATAGATTACTACTTAGTATAGGTATCTCTTCTTTTACTTAGTATGAAATTGAATTTCACGTGCTCATTCATGTTAAAACACACTCTGATTCATCCAGAGCAGTTAACTGTTTTAAATGTTGTTACAAAATTGACTCTTCTCTGATATTTTTTGAAGCTGTGTACCCATGAGTTGAAAACAGAAATGTTGTTGCATGTTACAGGACTTCTTTCTTTCCCCCAAGACTGCATATATTTCACTGTTTATGATACATTCTTTGTCCATTCAACCTTCACTGGGCATGGAAGATGTCTGCACATCTTGGCCACTGTGAAAAGTGCCACAGTTAATATGCAAGTGTAACATCTGTTTAAGATCTAGACCTCTAAGTGTTCAGAAGTGGTATTAAAGGATCATGTGGTAGTTTTGTTTTTAATTCTTTATCAGTAGCACACAGGATTTAAGTTTTTCACATTCTCATCTACAGCCATCTTGTCTTTGGTTCGGTCATAGCCAAATGAACTTATGTGAGATGGTACCTTTGCTATGATGAGACAATGGTTTTGATTTTCAAATCCCTGGCAATCAGTGATGTTCAGCATCCTTTGCATCTGTTGGCCGTCAGTAGGTTTTCTTTGGAGAAATACTAATCAGTATCTTTATCTAATTTTAAAGCAAGTTAGTCATTTTGGGGGAAACTAACTTCTTATCAGGCATCTGGATTACATATGCACATAGATTCTCACTTTCTCTGTGTGGCTGTTTCCCTTCCTTGATGGTTTCCACTACTCAGAAGACTTTTGATTTTGTATAGTCCCATTTGTCTAATTGCTTTTGTTGCCTACGTTGTTTGCAGAGTCAATTATGATGTTATTTCCATATTTTTCCAAGATTTTGTAGTGTCAGACTTCATGTTTAAATAAATCATTAATCCAGTTTTAACTGCCTCCCACAGAGCCATAAAATAATAGAAAGATATATGGAATCTTTTCTAAAACAGTGAACAAAGGCACTGGAGAGTTTATATTCCCTGTTATATTCACAGTAACTGCTGCCTGGAACTGGATGAAATCCTGGTTTGGATAGCTCATAAAGCCTCTGACTCTGTTATTGTTAAGTGGAAGAAAGGCTCAATTAAGTTGATAAAACTAAAACAATAACGCTAAATTTGAGTGAAAGTGTACATTTAAAGTAATATCAGAAATATCTTTCCATTCTGTTTTACAGTTGACTGAAATGGGTGGAATAAAATTAAAGTTAAAGCTCAGTATGGTGACTCATTCTTGTAATTGCAGCATGGGAGGCAGAGGCAGGAGCTTGCCATGAATTCAAGATCAGATGAGCTACATAATGAGTTCCAGGTCAGCCTGGACTACAGAGTGAGAATCTGTTGAAAACAAACAAAGAAATAAATAGACAGACAAACAACCCAATCATAAACAAATAAACCAAAAATCAACTGGCTAATTCAACTGGATATACTCATGCAATAGAAAAATGGTGGTGGGTTTCTACCTAGAAATATATGCAGAAATTAATGAAAAAATAGACCAAGACATAAATGGAAGAATTCAAACCATAAACTTTTAGCAAACAAGACATATATAAGAATATTCAAATCCTCAGTTTAATAACTGAAACTCAAGTTTAGAAACCAAAGGGATAGAGGGAAATAGCCAGATTGGAATTTACAAAAAATTGAAAATTTTTGGCCTTTAAATGACATTATCTAGCAGAGAAAAACATAGGCCACAGGAAATATATTAACATTTTCAAATGACACATATGATACTACTGAACATCTAGAATACATAAGAAATACTACAACTCATTTAACACTGTTCTTTTTCTAAGTGGATGTAGTTATTAACATGGCTCCTAATGACTCGTTGCTATACCCATAGATCAATCAGTGCATTACTCAACCTTCATGAGAGAAGCTTCTTCCTGCACTAGATGGCAATTAACACAGAAACCCTCAACTGGGCAATGTACAGAGATAAGAGATTGTGGAATGCTCAGCCCAAAGTGGAATGGACAAATCACACTGCTCTCACCAAAGCTCAGAGAACTTTGCATAAGAGGAGGTAGAAAGATTGTAAGCGAGCCAGAGACTTCAAAGAAACAGTCAGTTCAGGACACAACATAGAGGTTGCACATGGGCACTCACAGTGTTCTGAGAGCATGCACAAGACTCATGTAAACTCAAGCAAGACAAAGACAAAAATTCCACCATGGAGTGGGGGAGCGGGCGCAGAATGCCACTACTAGCTGAGGAGTTCTTGCTATTCAATAGTTGTTGCTATGGAAGGGAGAGCCCTTTTTCTTTCTTTCTTCTTCTTTCTTTCTTTTCTTTCTTTTCTTTCTTTCTTTCTTTCTTTCTTTCTTTCTTTCTTTCTTTCTTTCTTTCTTTCTTTTCTTTCTTTCTTCCTTCCTTCCTTCCTTCCTTCCTTCCTTCCTTCCTTCTTTCTTTCTTTTTTGAGAGAGAGCTTTATTTAATGAGATACCTTTGTTAGGTTGGCCACAGTGTAGGGCAGGCCTTAGTCCAAGAATAGCTGGGCAACAAAAATGGATTTTCTGGGAGGGGGGAAAAAAAACCTCAAAGTTGGGTCGGTAGTGAAGAAAGACTAGAAAAAGTAGTATGGGAGGGGTTTTGGAGGTAAAATGATCAAAATACATTGTATAAAATTCTCTAAGAATAATAATAATGCAAAAAACATGGTTCATAAATAGAAAAGCAAATTTTTAATAAACAAAGAATATAATTAAACCATACTCCATAGAAGATCTACAAATGACCCTAAGACTAGAAAGCATATGCAGCATCATTAGTTATTTGGAGAAAACAAGCTATCAATGAGATTATTCTTCATTGAGCTGACTATAATAAAAAATATGTAGCTAGTGATGACCTTAGTTCACAGAATCTTGGAGTCTTCATATAGTCCCAAGAGGAAAATAATGATGCAGCCACTTCTGTAGTTTGTAGACAATATTAAAGAATGACTCAACAATTCCATTTTCAGACTTGTAACCTCTAAGAGAACTAAAACAAAAACAAAAACAAAAACAATAAACCAAACACTTTCACACAGAAACTGCTGCAGAAGAGAATTATGTGTAACAGTCACACACATGGTGGAATCAACATAAATGTTCATCAATTGTATTATGTTTGCATAATGGAATATGATTTACCCATCGAAGGGAATGAAATAGTGATACAAGGAAGAACATTGGAAAGCCCATGAGAGACACATTCTGTTTATTTAAAATAACCAGCATCGACAAATACAAGGAGACAGAAAATAGATGCGTATTTTCCTGAAACCAGAAGAAGAGGTGAATAGAAAGAGATCCCTAATAATTGTGTGATTTCTTCTGGGTTTGATGAAAGTGTTCTAGAATTATTGGTAGTTAATGCTTTTCCAACGTTGTAAAAACTAAGGAAAACCACAGTGTCTTAGTTTCTATTGCTGTGATAAAGATCGTGACCAAAAGCAACTTCATGAGGAAAGAACCTGTTTTGTTTTAAACTTCTAGGTAACAGTCCATCACTGAAGGAAGTCAGGGCAGGAACTCAAGCAGGATAGGAACCTGGAGGCAGGAGCTAGTACAGAGGCTATGGAGGGGTGCTGCTTACTGACTTGCTCTTCATGACTTACTCAGTCTGCTTTCTTATAGCACCCAGGACCACCAGCCCAGGGGTGGCACCACCTACAATAGGCTGAGCCCTCCCACATCAACCACTAACTGAGAAAATGCACTACAGACTTGCTCACAGGCCTATCTTGGGACATTTACTCAATTGAGATCATTCTGAAATGACTCTAGCCTGTGTCAAATTGACATAAAAAAAACTAGGTAGCACATATAGAATTGCATGTTTTAAGGGGTTGAATGTATGGTCAGAGGATTATATGTCTTAAAAAGTCAACCAACTAATTTAAAAAAATAAGTGATTTAACATTAGAAGAAGTGAACATCATGCACAAATATTGGTATGAGCTACCAGTGATTTGACTATGTACAAATATTGGTGTCAGCTACCAGTGATTTGATTATGTACAAATATTGGTATCAGCTGCCAGTGATTTGATTATGTACAAATATTGGTATCAGCTGCCAGTGATTTGATTGGAGAACAGACCTAGAATTTGTACCTGTGATTATACCACAAGTACCAACTTTGGTCTCAACTCTCTTTACAGGTTCCTTTACTCCTGAGTGTCCAAACATCGCTGAGTCAGAAAGGATAGACTGTGCACCGGGCCAGGTGGTGACAGAGGTCAGCCATGGGGTCCTTGCTGGTAGCCTACAGGGTTTTATTTTAAATAAATGAGTATGTTAATTGGGAAGGGAGAAATGGTGGGTGAGTCTTGTGGGTCTGGAATTTCTTGTCCTGATGTTAATAAAATAAACACATGCACTAAAGAAGTAAAAGGCTAGAAAGTGAGGTGCAGGTGCAGACAAGTTCCAAAGTGTGAAGGAGAAGGAAAAGACCAATGCTGGAGCCACTTCCAGGTGTGGGATGACCTTGGAGAGGTCAAATGTTTGTGCACTAGCCTACCGTTCCTCTAGAAGTGGGCCAGCATGTGAGTGTGGTTGACTAAGTACTTGTTACCCCCCATGTAACAAGGGCCTCTGAAGTTGAGTAACTGGCAACTGAGCTCCCCATGGACACGTGTGAAAGAGCAGATTTCCCTCCTGGGTGATGCCCATGAGAATATCAAATATTTGATCCTTGTTTTGTAGTTGCTGTTGACTTACGTCGTAATAGTGGTGTATATTTGGACTTCATTTCTGTAGCCTGTATTCTACAGTCTCTATCCAGTATTGTTATATTTAAGTAGGAATTAGTACTGTGTTAAGTTTTAGGTTCCAAGAACTGATATCTTAGTATATCTTCTTACTATAGAGAGATACACAGTCTCTCTTTTATTTTTATATCTATCTATCTATCTATCTATCTATCTATCTATCTATCTATCTATCTATCTATCTCTCTATGGTTTTTCAAAATAGAGTTTATCTGTAGCTCTGGCTGTCATGGATCTCACTATGTAGACCAGGATGGACTCAAACCCAGAGATTTGTCTGCCTCTGCCTCCTGAGTATTGGGATTAAAGGAAATCATACATTTTTGTGTGCGTGTGTTGTCCTTAATATGTGTTTTATTGTGAAGTTCTGTCATAGTGAAGTTCTTTCTGGGTATTTCATAGCTTTAGGGGTTTTATTTTATTATTTATTTAATATTTGTTTATTTATTATTTGTTAATTTGATGAAAAACAAATTTATTATTTGTTTTTTGGGGACAGGGTTTCTCTGTGTAGCTCTGGCTGGCCTGGAACTTTGTAGACCAGGCTGGCCTAGAACTCACAGAGATCCACCTGCCTCTGCTTCCTGAGTGTGAGTATTAAAGGTGTACATCACCACTACTACCCAGTCATAGCTTCAGTTTTTATTGCAAATAGAATTCATTGTATTTCTAGCTGATGCTTATTTTGATTATAATGATGTTCTTACTAATGACTATTTTATATGTATTACCTTTAATTCAAATTATCATTATTTATTGTTTAATTGTTAATCAACTTAAACTTGCTAGCTACCATTTCTCAAAAAGTTTTTCTTAATTTTTTAAATTTGAGATACTAATTATAGTTACATCCTGAACAAATAAATGATGCTTCTGCTTTGTTTTAGCATTTGTTTATCATTCATTCATAAGCTCCACTGCACTTTGTAGTTTTTCCAGACGTATTCACATAAGTGACGATGGTCAGAAACCCTACTGTTGCACAAACGTTAGGGAATGTTCTTTTTTCTTAAATTTGAACCTCCTTTCTTCTCTCAGTGAAAGAATTCACAGTGTTCAGGAGAGAACCAAGTTGTAGTAGGACGGGTGTCGTTTTCTTCTGTGGAGGTGGTGTTTAGGGCCAGAGTTTTCTACTGACAGTCAAAAGAGTTGTCCAGGTCCATTGAGGCCTCCTGCCTGGGTCTGTAGCTTGCTCTGAGAGATGTGGAATTCCATGTGACCCTATAAACCTTACCCTGGGTCCCAGCTAGTCCCAACCCCAGGCCAGTGGCTTTCTCTGGCCCCTGTATGGGTTATAGAACTGTCTGTGTGGCTGTGGGAATTATCCTCAGTCAGATCTGGTCTCCATCCTGGGCCTGCAGCCTCCACTCAAGCCCTTGTGAATCGCTGACCCCTCTCACTCCTGTGGAGTTCCACTGGGCCTCACCCTGAATCTGCAGTGATGACTGCCTGTGGAAGCACTGTCAAGTGTGAGATATGGCTTTTTATTTCTGGATAGTTGTGGTGCCTTCACCAAAAGAACATAGTTTGTAAGTGTGGACTGGCTTCTGCTATCTGATTTTTAAGTGGCTCTTCTGTCCTTTCATACTACTGTAGTTACAATAGGGTTGGAATAGCTCTTATAAATCCACAAAATCACTCTTTTCTTCAGTGTGCACACTACCCATTGCTTTAATTTTAAAAAATTATTTAATGTTTTAATCCAGTTAAATATTATTTTTAGATGGAAAGTTTCTGCTTATTATTAGTATAGATTGGAAGTTGATTTTCAACCAGAAGTTTTCTTAAATTTACTTCTTGATTCTCCTCTACTTTATGTAGAACTTTTTGAAGTCTTGTAATACAGTAATGTTCTTTGAAAACAAAGATAATTTTAGTTTTTTAAATATATATATATATTTCACTTCTTTTTCATCTCATGCACACACAAAGAAAATAATTTTTTCCCTCTCTGAAATCTCAATAAGTATTGAGATCATTTTTTAAAGCCAATAATTCAATCACAGTAGCTTTTAGAAAATTAAACTATATAAAGTCCAATTTTTATCTAAGCATAGGAAATAGTGTGGTAAAATAATATATACAAAAATAAGATTTCCTGATTTTGAAACAAGTTGTATACATTGTTAATAGAATTTAATCATCTATCAGAAACTCTGTTGCCACAATGCTCGATCACACAGGGGTGAGCTAGCTGATTTCCAGGTGATTTCCTTGTCGGGTGTCTCTTCTTAAATTCTTCTAGCTTTTTTTATCTGATTGACAAATGGCACAGAATCTATTTGGGAGATAAGTTAGGGACATGGTTTAGGGTTATATGGTATTATGGGGGTAGGGGTGGGGAAAAGGAGACTGGTTGGGAGTCAACACCCATAGTCCAGACATGAGTTTAGGAGGGCTTTCTGGTTAGCAAGAAATGAGATGGAAAACAAAGGAAGCTATTATGGGGAAGCAATGTATGAAAGGGACACAGAGTTTGCTTTATTGGTAATTACTCATCTCCAGGGTTTGACCTTTGGTAAGTGGGGCTGAAAGAAACTGTCAGAACTGATTGCACACATAAAGATTATGTTTAACTGAATATTGATTGTTCTTTATAGAAGCCTGTAGACTTTGACATAGTTTACGGCAGTGAAACTGACCTTTGGGGCTTCATGGACCTCAGTTTCAGAGGTGGTAGAGGTTCTCAGTGTCTGCCCCAGAGGCAGTTGGGATACCCAAAGTCCTTCTCTTCTAATCTGCAGGGTTTTTTTTTTATGTGAAAAGAACAAGGTGGGGACTGTTTAATCTGGAATAATAAGTGTGTGCATATTTCAAAAGACTGTATGGTTAGAAATGCTAGGATTTTCTCCATAAATATTTACATTATAGTTATAAAAGTCATTCTGGCTTTTCAGAGCAATTACATCTATTGGCACCTAAAACTCTTGTCAGTAGTATTTGGAAATAAACAATGGTATGATAGCATCTTAATCTTTATAGTAGAACCCATGCCAGATGCATTCTTTTCACAAGAGTCAGACATTCTAGCTGTGTACATAACAAAATGGTGGAGTCCATTCATATTTTTCTTCTACTTCCAAATTCCTTCCTTAAAATCAAGGCAACAGCTTAATGTGTGCCCATCTCTTGGTCTTGCCATGTCCATTGCTTTCTCTAACTTGCCCTGGTGCTTTAAGAACAGATTTACCTCTTACCTTCCTAAAATGCCTCACCACCCCACCTAGACTACTAGCCGGGGAGAAATGGTTGGCCTGTTTCCCTTGCTTTGGAACACTCAACTCATCATGCCATCATTACTATTTTAATTGTCTAGGCTTCCAACTAAACAGTTAGTTTAGTGAAACACAAGCTAAATATCCTTATCTGTGTTACCAATTTCTTCTCTGGTAAATCTAGAATGTGTGTTGTATGGCTAGATAACTGTGTGAATAAATTGAGGATGAACACATGGGTGAGTTTAATTATAACCTATCTCAAATCTTCCTTGGCATAACATGGGTTGTAAATTGGTAGGTAAGTAACACTTTTCTTTCTTTATTTTATGTAATGGTGGCTCTTTTCTATTGTTATAGGATGTCTGTCGATGGCAGTATAAATGCTGCTGGAATCCAGTGGCAGATACCAAAGTCCCTGCATGCTTCTTCCCTAGGAACTGGGGTTATGAAGTCACCAATGTCCTTACAAATACAAGCAAAGGTGAGCACTGCCCGATGGTCCCAGGAAGTCACTGTTTGTGGTCCAGCCAAGGTAGCTGCTAAATGAAAACTAATACTGTCTCTTGCCCTCATTCATTTAACTTAGGGTTGACTGCTCAATTGAAAAAAGTTTCATCTCCATCTCTTTTTGGAAATGATATCATGGATGCCCTCTTGACAGCTGAGTACCAGACATCCAATCGTTTTCACTTTAAGGTTAGTAAGGAATTTACCGCTGCATACAACACTCTATAGATAGTGCAGAGGTCTCCTTTCTGAAGGCGTCTCTGGAGGAGACAGGCAGGCATCTTGACTTGATTTGACAGGACACACTGTCTGGATGATTTCACTTCAGAAACCAAAATCTACAGGGCCAAGGTTTGGAGGCATTCTCATGGGCTGCTGCTTCCAAAGCAGCATTTTCCACAGCACTACAAGGAAGTGGTCTTACTCAGAATTCTATTTTCTTCTCTCAGATCACTGATTTCAATGAGATGCGCTATGAAGTCCCTCATGAAAACATCAACCTCATGAATGGGACTGCCGATGAGTCTGTTTTGAGCTACTACGTAGAGGTCATCGATAAGCCCTTCAGCATCCGAATAATGCGGAAGAGCAACAATAGAGTCTTGTGAGCTCCACACTCTTTGTCCATCTTTGAATACAGAGTCCCCATGTAACTCATCCTGACTTATACAGCAAGATGAGTAAGACACAGAAATGGATTTGAACCTCAGAAAAATGCAAAATTAGTTCCATACCTAATTAACAATGACAATCTGTTATGATTGTAAAGCAAAGAGTATGAAACTGTAATGATACTGCTTACTAAGTTTCAGATATACATTTATAGTAAGTATCCACACATGCTTATGGTTCTCATACGTTATGGACTAGGGAATTTTGTTGTTTTGAGTTACCAAAGTATCATTACCTCTGAATCTTACCTAACACCAATTTGGGCTTACAACAAAAATTGCATGGCATGAAATATGAATACTAATGTCAAGAAAATCTGCACCCAAATCCTGATACTAGCAAGTCCCCAGTCACCTGTGTCCTATAAGGCCATATACCTCACTGCTTTTCCAGAGGGACCTGGGCTAGCGATACTTAGCATCCACAGTTGTATCTGGAGATGTCAAGTTGCACTTCGGTTCTTCTTCCAGTCATAAACTTGTGATGATGGAGTCCCATCCTATGATGCTCTACTAAATTCGAAGAGTTGATGATACCATGAGAACACCCTGGAGGCAGCATGAAAATTGTTGCTGAAATCTGAGGTCACTCATCTCTGAGTGCATGTGGAGAGGCAGACTCAGCTCTCTGCAGAGCCAGAATGCTTCTATGACTCTTATTCTCTCCCCATTGTCCAGGTTGGACACAGGCATTGGGCCTCTCCAGTTTGACCAGCAGTACCTGCAGCTGTCTTTCCGACTGCCCAGTTCCAATGTGTATGGGCTGGGGGAACACGTACACCAGCAGTACCTCCACAACATGAGCTGGAACACCTGGCCCATCTTCACCAGGGATGCCCTTCCCACAGAGGTGAGGCTCTGCCTACCCTGACCACTGTTCATAGCTCACAGCCGAGAATACTCACCCTCCATTCCCAAAAATGGCTGACAAAAGTCCGGCTATGTCTTATTTTTCACAATTTACATGAATTTGTTTTGGGGACTACTTGTTCTTGAGTTTAATAGATTTTTAAATTAGAAATACAGAAATTTTTAAAAAAACTTTCTTGGAAAAATAGAATTTAATGATAATAAGATAAACAAGATAATATTAGAAAACAACCAGGCCTCTTGGTGCAAGCATATAATCACAGTTATTCAGGAGGCTGAGACAGGAGGCTTGCAACTAAAAAGCCACTCTGGCCTACAGAGTAAGTTCAAGACCAACCTGGGCTACTAGTAAGACCCTGTCTCAAAATTAAAACCATGAAAAGGACTGAGTATGTTAGTAGTAGAAAGTTATATTTAAGTGTATGTGAGGTTCTGGATTCCATACCATTATCACAAAAAGAAGAGAAGAAAATGCTTTTGCAAAAGTGATACTTTCTCCCTTTAGTAACTAGTAGAGTAGAATATCAATCGAGGGCCATTCTCAGTGGAGTCAGTAGATGGAAAGTTCCTCGTTAACTGTTCTTGTATTGCATGTCAGCATGTTTCAAAGACAGCAGTATTGGCTGTTTCTTCCATTTCATGTAACATTTTGAGCTGTATTATTGCAGTATATCCTTTCTGAATAGCATTCTATTGAATACGTGCACCATATTGTGTTTCCCCATTTACTATGATAATGCCATTTTGGTATAACATGATTAAATGTTGAGCAAGTATATTCATGAATTTTTGGTCCTGTGAGTCACATTTATTATTTATTTGTTTGTCTATTAGAGACAGAGCCTTGTTGTGTTGATCAAGCTGGCATGGGACTCATTGTGTAGCATGGGCTGACCTAAAAGTACTTATCCTCTTGCCTGTTTCCTAAGTACTGGAATTAAAGGTGTGTTTCAGGATAAATATTTTAAACACATAATCCTGTTACTTCCATTTTTCCTTTCTTGTTGACAGGGAATGGTTAATCTTTATGGAGCACACACATTCTTCTTGTGCCTTGAAGATACCAGTGGGGCTTCTTTGGGAGTTTTTCTGTTGAACAGCAATGCTATGGGTAGGAAGTACTTTTTTTTAATCTTCTCTGGATAGAAATAGATTTAGATATGATGTTTTTATTTTTAAGGATTATCTTTATCATGAGAACCTCATATAATAGTCATGTGTTGCATGTAGTGCTTCTACTGAAACTAGGACCTGACAGCAGTTTAGCTGTTCAGAGATCCAGCTCAGACTTAGAGACACTTGACCTAAACCTCCTTCAGGGACTTCCTCTGATGGGATGCTTCTCCAGACATTGTGTGGATAATAGCATCCATTGATGTACATACTCCAAAGATACCTGTAGACTTGAGCATGTGTTGTTCTGTCTGCCTGTGGGCAGCAGACTGTGTTTGTGCATTGTGTCTCAGCCTCACTCTACACCCATCTTCCTTCAGCTTCTAATCAGTATGTGCCAAGAAGCACTATTGATTTAAAAAATGTAACTGTCATATATATGTGTGTGTGCATATATATGTCAAACTTCCTTGATAAGTTTCCACAATATTTTTCATTTGGATTAAACCACTCATATATCATAGAAATTTATTCTAATATAGCCAGATAACAATAAAATTTTCTCTTTTTCCTTATAAGCAATATGAAACAAGACAAAATTTCACATTTGATGGGTATCTTGTTCAAATTAACAAAATTCAGATAAAGTGAATGGATGTGATTCATTTTCTCTTGAAAATGAAACAGAATTTGTGACAACTTAAGCTATTCAAGCTTCCAAGAGGTGTATTTTCAGAAGATTCTAATCATTCATTTTTAACCTTCCAGAGGCCACACTTCAGCCTGCTCCTGCCATCACTTACCGCACAACTGGGGGCATTCTTGACTTTTACATCTTCCTGGGGAACTCGCCAGAGCAAGTAGTTCAGGAGTACCTGGAGGTATGAGTCTGCCCTCCCTACTCTGAGGCTATTGCTACTTTATCATCTATTTGTTTGAGTTAACAAGAAGAATGTTAAAACTATTAGTACATATTATGGATATAAATGCTGAGCTTACAAGTATTTCATTTTTTCTTTGGTGAATTGACTGGATGTTTTCTGCATTACTGTAAGCACCATACAGGAAGCCTTGAGAAATGCCAACGAAAGCTTAATTCTGCTTGCTAGGCATGCCCATTGTCCATCTCTTGTTCCTCTGGGTATAATTATTCCAAGGACCCAAGTCCACAAATCCAAAAAGTGCATTCAATCAACAAATAAATAAATAAGAAGGAAGGAATTATATGAAATGGGAGAAAACTTCTGATTAGGGGGCAGGGACTCTTAGAATAATATGGGACAGGGTTCTTCTTAGAGTATTGGCTTGAGATGCTCAGAGTTTTGAATACTTCAAGCATACAGTATTTCTTCACCCATCACACTCTTGAGTCATAAGGTGTTACACTTTCACCATTGTCAAACGCCACCATCTGCAGTTACATGAGTCATCTTTACACCATTCAAGCTCCGTGAAGCCAGGAATACTGTTGGCTTTGTGTCATTGTACTCTTGGTGCTTATGAGGGACCTTATGACACTGTAAACATTAAGAGATTATTGGATGAATGAATATTACTGGTTTTCAGGGCCAGAGTTCTAGCTCAGTGGTAGAGGGCTTGTCTGCCATACATGAGACTCTGGCCTCTATTCTCAGCACCACTCAGCAACAAAACAAAGCACCAACTATGAGGGTTAGTGTTAATGGTCAAGTTGGCAGAACCTAGAATTGTCTAGGAGACGGGCCCATGGGAATGCCCATAGAGAACTCTCTTGAATAAATAAATTATATATCAAAACCTATCTTGACAGCAGATGAGACTATTTCTTAGGCAGGATGGAGAGAACAAGGAAAGCGTTAGAAGCATTCATGGCTCTCTTTCTCTCTCTCTCCCTCTCTCCTTCCCTTTCTCTCTCTCCCCCTCCCCCAGATGCAATATGATCAGCTGCTTCAACCTTCTGCTGCTTTGACTTCTGTGCCATGATGGGCTGTAACTTGGGCCAGAATAAACCTTTTCCCCTTAAGTTGCTTTTATTAGAGGTATTTTATCACAGCAAAAAGAAAAGAAATTAAGACACCACCTTCCGACCCGATAGGACAATGACTGCTTTCCCCTTTCCTCTATTATTTTTTATTTTACTGTTGGGAATTCAACCAACACTCTCTTGCATTTAGGTAAACACTTTACCAACTGAGCTACATCTCTAGCCCATTTCCTTTTCTATTTCTCCACCTTGCTAATGTTGCAGCCTTTAATACAGTTCCTTATGTGGTGGTGACCCCTCCACTGTAAAATTATATCATTGCTACTTCATAACTGTAATTTTGCTGCTGTTATGAATTGCAGTGTATATGTCTGATATATAGACTATCTGATATGTGACCCTCAAAGGAGTTTCAACCCACAGGTTGAGAACCACTGCCACAAAATGACATTATTAGTCCAACATATTCTGAAAATCCTATTTTGTACCACTGCTGCTGCTGTGGGGACACATTTAGTTATTTTAAGTGATGAGAGACATGAGATTTGGAGTTTCGTAGCAGGAGACTCCTTTTATTTCTGAAAAGACCTGGGGAATTTATAGAAAATGGAAAGGAACAAATGATTCAGATGGGCTTCATGCTGCCATGTTCATTTGTGTTTGTTATAAATGCTCAGGTGATTTTGCTCCTCTCTTCCCAGGTTGTTGGACGGCCATTCTTGCCTTCTTACTGGAGCCTTGGTTTCCAGCTCAGCCGCAGGGATTATGGTGGTATTAATGAGTTGAGACAGGTTGTAGAGCGAAATCGTGATGCTGAGGTCCCATATGTAAGTTGAGGCTTTTCTTATCATGGTTAAGATACAATTTCATTTCTTTGCATTCCATTCAATTAAGATGGAAAAATAGAATGGTAGATTGATTGATAGAGGCACACACAGCATCAGGAATTAGTATACTGAATTATTCATATGCCCATGCAAAGGGCATAGTTCATAGAGCCAAAGGACTTGAATTTTAGTCTTATTTTACATCTCCATGCAGTCTTGGGTTAGTTAATTAATAGCTGTATATTGTGGTTTCTATCTTTAAAAAGTAAAAATTTTATACCTACCTTGGAGGGGGGTGAGAAATATTTTACATAATGCATGTAAAGCAGCTAGCCCTGAGCATGAACACCATCAGACTCAGTTGTCATTTTATGAGTGAAATCAACACTTGGTGATGTCGTCAACAAGAGCTGAAGATGATAATAATGATTTATAGTAAGCTAATTTCATAACTACCTTGCAAAACTCTTTCCAGATTAACTCTGGAGCTCTGTGGTTGCAAAGTATTTATGATGTTCAAAGTTCTCCTGTAAATCAAAAGACAACTCCAAGTGTCTAATGTCCGATAAGCTCCTCACACAGTCAATGAAGTTGTGGAATTTCCTCAGAACTAACTCTTAAAGCTTCAGAACTTCAGTTTGGACATATGTCTATGTGGTTAGCATTTGGTGGAAACTATATGGGTGGAAATGACTGGCCTAATGCCAGAGAATCCAAGAGGGCTGATACAGTGATCAAGTTTTCTTAGGAGAAATATTCCCAGCATGTTGTTTGGTACTGAGGGGAAATTGGTAGTATTTAATTTTACTTTCCCCGTGTATACTGTCTGAAAATACTCAACTTCAGGAAGAACCAGGCCAATGTTTTGCATGCCTGTAAAGGCTTTCCTAAAAAGGCTTTCTCAGGCCTGGCTGGCTCTCAATTTATCACTGTTTTCTGAATGAGGAACTGTATGGTTCCACTTTTCCAGGATCGCACTACTCATCAGAAGGGCTGATTTGTACAAACCATTCTTGTCACTTGACTTGTAGTAGTGCTCCCTCTGCTCTGTCCCCCTGCTTCCGCTGGTGTTACGGGAACAAATGTACTCTTCTGTCCTGATTGGGAGTGCCCCTCTCTGTGGGTATGTGTGGCACCTAGGACTTAAGTAACTACTAGGGATCAGAGTAGATGATACCACATTGGGCAACAAGCCTCAAGCCACATGAAGAACATATGTGATACTTTCATATGATCATGGAGTATATGGAAGATTGAAAAACAAAGAATATCCAGAGTCAAGTGCCTGTACTGAAGCTGCAGTCATACTTTACCTCTTTAACCACTAACTTTTAACCTTTAACCTCATTATATTCCAGTCACATTAATAATGGCATCTTGTCCTCACACGTTGATATGCAAACACACAAACAATACACGTAAGAGAGTTTGGTTAGTTAAATGTCTATATCTCTTTGTCACTTAACATTATTAATCATTCCTCTAGCAGTTTAATAGATCAAAAGACCCCTTTCTTCTCTTATGAACTTACATTTTTACTTGATGTTTGAGATCCAAAGTGTTTGTGGTTAAGTTCCCTCATATGTTCATTTAAATATACATTTAATGAGTACCTGCTACATGTCCAACATCCAAATCCTCAAATTACAAGGATAAATAAGATACACACTTCCTATCTTAAGTCCCTCAAGGTACCTCATGACATACTTCTAGCAGGATGTGGACACATTGCTGCAGTCTGAGAGCAGAAGCATATTTCACAGAGGGCTTATTTATTTCTAGGAGGCAACCAAGCTTGGAGAGTTCCTGGACTATGAAGCTATATGGCTTCTCTTTTAATGGTTAGGAACTGAACTGAAAATCTTCCAATCAGCAAGGTGATTATTTCCTAGGTTCTAACTGCCCAGAACTATCTTTCAGGATGTACAATACTCAGACATAGACTACATGGCTGGAAGGAAAGATTTCACTATTGATGAGCAGGCTTACCCCCAGCTCGCAGAGTTTGCTAAGGACCTGCATGACAATGGACAGAAATATGTAATTATTCTGGTATGTTCAAACAATTTTGTGCCTCATTTTTCCTTTCAAGTTGCAAAAGACACTTACCAAAGTGACATTTATACTCTGCTTATTTATTAGAACCCTGGCATCTTTAAGGACCCTGACTATGAGGTCTATGACAATGGAAGCAAGAGCAGAGTGTGGATCATGAGCTCCAGTGGCTTTGCTGTTGGGGAGGTAATTTCTCAAGAGATTCAGAATAAATAATAGTTTGGGCAAAGGTTGTACTTTTTATATGAAGATAAGTGGGAGGCAAGTTGCAATATTGATACTTTTAAGGCTTTAGTAGTTTTACTCTATTTTAAACTAATAGATAAGATAATAAAGTCATTAAAATTCTAAGAGATATAAAACACTAGCCCCAAACTCACTAATATTTCAGATAATAGAAAACAAATACGTCATTAGTAGAAAATTCCTTTAAGTCTGACTGCCTCTCAATTTCTCTTCCCTGAGATGTTAAGTTCAACTTCAGTAACGTGGCAAGATGCTTGTGATGAACGTGGAATCTGGTTCAGATAATATATTTCTTAATTTACACAAAACTCATAGCTAAAGCCCAGGCTAGACTCTGTGGTATCAGGTTCAGAAACTGGGATAAATGACCAAAGAGCTGATTTTCAGAACAACAGTACTTGTAAGACTACGTACTTTCAGATGATTCTCGTAGCTAAGCTTTTATTCCAGTCATACATAAAGTTAACCCAGATGACTGAATTCTGTGACATTTATAAAAATTGCAACGTAATCTCGGAAATCTGTTTCGTAGCATAGCTCCTGAGTTGTTTACTTTGCAAAGCTATCTTTTCAGTGTTGTAAACGCCCTGTCCTCCACTCAGCTCTCTTTTCCTCACTGACTTAGTTTACTTTAATTACTTGTCCTTCCATTGCTCTTAATTTTTCTCTGAAGCTGTCCAGAGTTCTTCTCCAAACCAAGCCTTTGCTTTTACTGTTAGATGTGAATCTCTAAAACACCAGATGGACCCATTTTCATGTATTAGTAGAGATCAGAGGCCATAGTCAAATAAAAACTGTGGTTATCTAAAACTGATCCCCACTGGATGAGCCATTTTAGTAGGGTGGGGTGTTTGGATGGGCTGCAATGAAGAATTTTTATAATTAAGACAGTTAATTGAGTGACTGCTTGGTTTGACCAGCGAATACGAAGAATCATTTGTTCTAAAGCCTAGGCGGAGATAATAGTAGTAGAGGCAAGTAGTGGGATGTTGCAAACACGTTGGGTTACAGTGGAGATAGCTTGGCCTCTCTTGCGCTGCTGTTGCGATTCTGTTGCAAAACTGCTCATTCCTTGGGATATGAAAATTACCCCTGTCATTCCTTGGTGTCCATCAACTAAAACAAAGAATCAATAGCCCAAATAGCCCAACATATTCAAAAAAGGAATTTTAAGATTTTTTTGGTTTTTTTTTTTTTTGGTTTTTCGAGACAGGGTTTCTCTGTGTAGCTTTGCGCCTTTCCTGGGACTCACTTGGTAGCCCAGGCTGGCCTCGAACTCACAGAGATCCGCCTGGCTCTGCCTCCCGAGTGCTGGGATTAAAGGCGTGCGCCACCACCGCCCGGCTTGTTATTTTTTTTTAAATTTATCGTTGTTATTATTATTATTAGTTTTTTTGAGACAGGATTTCTTTGTCCCTCGCTGTCTTGTAACTCACTCTGTAGACCAAGCTAGCCTAAAACTCACAGAAATTGGCCTGCCTCTGCCTCCTGAGTGCTGTAGTTAAAGGCGTGTGCCACCACTGCCTGACAAAGAACACATTTTTAAAATAATTCTTTGCAGTTTACTAAATACAATGATTAAATTGTGTGAGTACAAAATTATTCCAAATTCTCAAACTATAAATTTATAGATAAAATCAATAAGAATGTTATACTTCAGTTTATATTCTAGTAAGCCAGATGTTGTGATAATTTGGCCATGTATATATCTTTGTGTGATTGTAGAAGATGCCTAGATCTACAGTTCAATAGATGTGGAAAAGACAAAGAGATAACATTGCACACTTTTGATAGGAGTAAGAGTAACTATATTCAAGCATTTACAAAATATTGTTTATATGATGAAATCAACAATTATTTGTAACAATTGCCCCAAACAGATTTTATATAATCTTAAATTAATAATATATTAAACATACATCATCATTCTCTTAAAACATTTAGCATTTGGACTTTCCAGAATTTATTTTAATTTTTAAAATTTTATTTTTTGAGAAATTTTATGTGGCTACCTTATTTACATTATTTACCACCTTCTTTTCCAATTTCCAACTTCTCCTCGGCCCTTCCCAACTCCTTCTCAAATTCATGGCCTCTCATTCTTTAGTTATTATTGATATGTATTCATAAAGATTATGAGTATAATCTGCTGAGTTCATTTAGTGTTTTTCTTATGTACATGTGTTTTGGGCTGACCACTTGGTATTAGATAACCTGTCTTTGGGGTCATCATTGGGGAAGACTGATTCTTCCTCTCTCGGCAACCATTGATTGTCTGTAGCTCTTCACCTAGGAGTCGGCCCTTGTGAAATGTCTCCCATCCATGTTTGTATGCCAGTTGGTGTTGTCATTGCACAAGTATTGTTTTGGCAACCATGTTGCTGATGTTTCATGGGTACAACTTCCTAGTCACAGACAGAAGACATTATCTCGCATCTCCTAATTGGCCTTATATACTGAAAATTCACATTTTTAGATAGGAAAGGATGTATGACAGACTTTCATTTAATCAGTGATCTTTTCTTCCTCTGGATCCTTGCAGGCATTTTACTGCATATTTGGATTTTGCTGGCAGAAAGGCAATGTCTGACTCTAAATAATAAGCAGCATGAGGTTTCTGGTAAAAAGAAGTAGCAGCGAATAATCAATGATGAACAGAACCATCATACACACTGCAACGGCCTTCCTCTTTGTTCTGCAGGGCTATCCAGGAGAGTCAGTCTTTCCCGACTTTTCCAATCCAGCCTCTATTCTGTGGTGGACCCAGCAGCTCACTCAATTTTACAAACTTCTGGAGTTTGATGGTGTGTGGATTGTAAGTTATCGTTCCAAACTCAAATATCCATTGGAAGTGGACATGCCAAAATTTCATATAGATGTTGACACTGATCCATAGTAATATAGTTTGGTTGACATACTGGCATATATGATTTTTTTACTCCATGCCCAGTATATATCTGGGAAATTGGGCTCCTAAAACACTACTTTCTTATTCTACATTTACCACCAACTGATTGTTTCATTTTGATAAAGTTCTTTGTTTTCTTAAGAAATTAACTTTTTTCTTTATTAACTCAATTTCAACTCACAATATGGCCTCATTAAAAGTGATGATTGCTAAATTTACTGCATTAGTTCATAAAGATTTAATCATTAAAAATAACTTAATGAGGGCTTTGTGGGCTTTGTAGAATATTGAGGAGGTTTCTTTGAGAACTTCAGATATCTTTGTTGGCAAGATTAGACATTATTTTATTTTTAATTCATTTTAGAAAAATGTGTTTGACCTCAATTATATTCTTTTATTGTTTCCCAGTGGAAATAAGACAGAGAACATTAAAAGAGCAAGAATATCACCTTGTCCTCAGTTTTTCAAATACATTGAAGCAGTAACACCAGCAATAAAATCTTCACAATTTATAAGGCCAAGATCAACCTTTGAAATTATACATCTTAATCAGTAGATTAAATAAGTTTATAAAATTAAAATATGTCCAATGTCTATTTAGAACTGTAATATAATTTTGATACAATTTAATCTAAATTATTTATTTTTATAAAAATGACAAAGAGGTCAAGGGAAGCTGGAGAGGGTGTTTAAAATCCTGAAAGCAGCTGGATATTCTGGCTTCTAGTTATAAGCACTTCCTGCCCAGCTAACTTTATGTCAATACATTTTCCATCTTGTGGGTTTTGTCTTGAAGGAAATGGATGAACTATCTACGCTTCTCCAAGGTTCCAATCACAAGTGCGAATCAAACAACTTGAACTTTCCTCCTTTCACTCCCAGTAAGTGCCCCTGTTTGCCTGCGATCCTGGAACTGGACACATTTAAGTAACATGAGGGCCATGAAGCCTGGCCGGGAGCAATTAGCTTCCCAGCTCAATGAATCTCCAGACATCCCAATGACTCTTACTAAAGTCTATGTGGCACCCCTTGGCCACTAATTGCCTTTTACTGCAAAGGGCAACATGTGGTTAAAGTGTTAATCTGACACTCCCCCATGTCCCCACTCCCCACCCCACCCCTGCTCCCCACTCGGTGGCACTTCCACAAGAGCTCTAGATTCTTTTTTCCACCTCACTGCATCCAAAGCTCTCAGGAGACTGTGTGAGAAATTTTAAACACTCTAAGGTACAAACTACATATCTATAATTCATATTCTCTCTCTCTCCCTCCCTCTCCTTCCCTCCCTCCCTTCCTCTTCCTTCTCTCCCACTCTCTCTTTCCATCCATTTTTAGTAGCCATAGTTTTATGATTTTTTATTTATTTTTATTTTATGTGCATCGGTGTTTTGCCTGCATGTATTTCTGTGTGAGGGTATCAGACTCCCTGAAGTTGGAGCTACAGGCAGTTGTGAGCTGCCATGTGGGTGCTGGGAAATGAACCCAGGTCCTCTGGAAGGGCAGTCTGCTCTTAATCACAGAGCCATCTCTTCAGCCCTAGCCACGGTTTAACACATCAATGGTCTCCTGTTTAATGGAGATTAGCATTAAAGTAGCTTGATTTTTTTAAAATCGTCTGAGAATTTTATAATACTTCATGATAAGACTTTATTGAATTAAAGTAAATCTATAATTTTTCCTTCCTTTTTACTTCTCTTTTCTCATTAAAAATACAGGTCAAGCATCAATTGTTCTTTCAATGTCTTATTTATTGGTCCTATTTCAAGTCAAAAGTGATTTTCTTGCCTCCTGAAGAATGTGTGTATTTGCATGGAAATGAGGAAGTGTATTAGTTGACTTTTTTGCTTGTGTGACAAAATTCCTGGCAAAAACAGTTCCAGGAATGAAGGGTTCATTCTGGCTCCCAGATAAGAGGAATGCAGTGCATCACGGCAGATGTTCACTGTGGACCCCCATAGGAAGGCAGAGATGAATGCTGGTACTCACCAACCTTGGTTATTCAGTCTGAGCTCCCAGGCCATGGGATGGTACTACCTACCTTCAGGTCTGCACTCCTCAGTTAAACCTCCCTGGAAACACAGAAACACCCTGAAGTGTGTCTCCTAAATCCTGGATTCTAAATCCTGTTAAGTCTATAGCCATACTACCCTGAATGCACTGGATCTGATCTAATCCAGTCAAGTTGACAATGAAGATCAACAATGATAGACAGTGTATAATAGACTACGGTATGGCAAGAAGGAAACCCCAGAGTCTCAGTGGATTAACTCTATGAAAGTGTGTACTTGACTCAAGTCACACTGTAGTGAGGTATGGGTGGCCTGAATCCAAGCTGAGGATCAAAGATCTTGTTTCCTGCATTGTCTGGTTCTCCCATGATGAAGGCCTTTGGTTCAAGCTTTGTAGGTGAAGGGGGAGAAGGTAAAGAGGATTTGATGAGATGGACTAAGGCCCTTACCTAAGCTGCCTATATTCCTTTGCCAGAATCTGACCCCCTAGGCATACATCAACTTCAAGATAAGTTAATCTTCACAAACAAGCCCTGGAACTTATAGAATACTACTGGCTGGACAGGCATCTGGACAGTCTCTAACAACTTTATTGTGATTGTCCACCCTTTATATTCTCTGGAGACCAAGGTTTTGTGGCTTCTCAGCTCCCCTCTGGTCCCTGAAGGAGTTCTGAATTTCTTTGAATTTAGACCATTTACACTTTTGCAAAATCTCCACAATCACCTAACAACTTCATTCTTCTCTACTCAGTCTGTGTTTCCTACCCTTTTTTTATTGTCATTCTGATCAATTTATCACTTTTGTTTCTTAATCTCTTAATATTATTCTTTTTAAAATATTTTTTTTGTGCCGGGCGGTGGTGGCGCACGCCTTTAATCCCAGCACTCGGGAGGCAGAGGCAGGCGGATCTTTGTGAGTTCGAGGCCAGCCTGGTCTCCAAAGCGAGTTCCAGGAAAGGCGCAAAGCTACACAGAGAAACCCTGTCTCGAAAAACCAAAAAAAAAAAAAAAAAAAAAAAAAAATATTTTTTTTGTATTTCGTGTGTACTCCTGTTTTGCCTGCCTGTATGTCTGTGTGAAGTTGTTGGAGGCCCTGGAACTGGAGTTACAGTCGGTTATGCACTGCCATGCGAGTGCTTGGAATTGAACCTGGGTCTTCTGGAAGAGCAGCCAGTGCTCTTAACTGCTGAGCCATCTCTCCAGCCCCCTCAATATTATTCTTGTTAAGGTTTTTGCTTGTTTGTTTTTGTCTTTCTATGTAAAACCTCATTACATCACTGTCTCATTCTGACACACATCTCATTCTGTCCCTGCAGCCTTTTGTCAATTAACATGGGACCAGCCATGTTACCTCCTGACAGAGCCACTTCTCATGATTTTATGGCCACATGGTACATGTTCTCATGACGATGACACAAATGCAGCTACCTTTAGCCTTAGGAAAATTTTAGTGTTTTGCTCATAATTAACATAGTCCAGAAATATAACTTTCCTTACAGCTTACCATGCAGTTCAATTTCCTGCTCCAAATCCTTATCCTACATGGCTGGTGGGAAAGTTTTAACCTTAATTTGCTCCTTCTCACACGTCTTTCTGGAGTTATGCCTCCTAGTGAGGGCTTACACAGGACAGCACACCAGGTATGCTTGCACAGAAAAGAGGAAAAAAAATGAGTTTGTAAGACATGGACCATCTTAGCTTTAAAAAAAAAAAAAAGCAAAAATAAAAGCCACAGTGTGGATTCTCAGGGTTGGGATTTGAGTTCTCATTCATGAAAATATCCAGTGTCACATGACTCCTGCTTTACCTGTGAGATAAAAGAGGATATCCCCCTATTTACATCACTCATCCTTGAACATTGTACATGTAGTTCTCTTAGATTAAGCATGTGCAGATAGACAGTAGGGGCTTCATGTTTATTTTCAGGTCAACTGATCAGGGCCTTGAGCAGGTTTCTTAGATGCCTCTGCTTGCCACCATCCTTAGTGAGCTCCACGGAATCAATGGCCAGCTCTGCTTAGTCCTGATGTAGGAGGCAGTAAAGAGTAACATTTAAAAAGTGGAAAGGGTTTTTTTTGTTTTTCATCAAGTGGGGATTGGTGAAGGTATGATAATACAGAGGAAAAGGATTAGGTGTCTATTTTGTTACAGTTGCTTGATGGAGAATTGCCACACTGATGAATGTTTTCTCTAGGCATCCTGAATGGCTCTCTGTTGGTAGGAACCCTCTGCATGGACACAGAGTTTTACTCAGGCCTTCACTATGATGTCCACAGCCTGTATGGCTACACCATGTCAAGAGCCACAGACTTGTAAGATTTTGGTTGTCTACCTGGTTCTGGATTTGGGAAGGTGGGAAATGGAATGTGGGAGGTGACAAATAGATGGGATTCTCTTGCATAAATGTGTTGTTCAATTTTTATGTGATCATAAGAGTACAGAAACTGGCATATAGTAGTACTTAAGATGCACAAAGTTTGGTTTTCTGTGTCAGTTTAATTTTGATTGGTTTATGGCTCAGGCACGATATCATTCCAATGATAATCACAGGCAATAAAAACACAAGGCAGTTGAAGCTCCTGGCTGGACAATAGCCATGGTCCCACTACTGAATTGCTAAGGTTATCACAGACTGTAGCAAATAAAACAGTATAAAATGCTAAGTTAAATTTCCATGGAACATACTTATGATACAAATTATTCATTGGTTTTCTGAAATTCAAGTTTAACTGGGTGTCTTACTTTCATCTGACATATGCTGTATTTCACCCTTCTCCCTTGTCTCTTTTCTTCTTGATCCCATTCCTATCTTTTCAATTCTCTTCTTTGTATGTAACACACACACACACACACACACACACACACACACACACACACACACACTCACCACAACCACTATTTCCACCAGTACTACCCATTATAAGGAATCAGGTTTATAAGGTAAAACATCCCATCCTTTTCAGACCTGGTGACAAAGATTTTAGCCATGACTTTGTGACCAGAGAAACAGCTACCCTTCACTCCACTCAGTTCTTCTTCTAAATGACAGTAAAATATAATCATTATACCTAAAAGAGGAAAAAATTGGGCTAGAGTTGAGAAGGTTTTACTTTTAGATTTGCAATGGAGACGGAGAACTAAAATGCATTGAGTAGCTGTTGAGATCTTCAAGAGGTTTGGGACAAGGCTAGGCTGACTCTTCCCATGCTGCTTTCTTCTATACTATGTCAACGCTGTGGCAGGGAGTCGGGCTCTTTCATGGACACATACCCATGCTTTCCTCACTTCACTCACCTCACGCCTCTGTGTCTCACGACCACCCCTCAAACCATGGTCCTTTAGTCCTTGAGAGATGTGTCTACATAGTATCCTGTGCTCTTCTCACAGCACTACCTTCTTTCCTGCATGTCCGTTAGTATCTGTATTTTGTTTCTTTTCATCTGCTCTTCCACTGATAAGCCATAGCAATAACCCCTGGACTTCTTTCTTTCTATTTAGGCCACCATAGGTAATCTATTCCTTACCATGGATTTTACTGCATTTGTCAATTTTAACAATGTGTATTTTTACCTGTGCCTCACCTTGATTTGCTGACACAAATATACAAAACTGGAGCTGGAGGAATGGCCCAATGGTTAAGAGTTCACACTGCTCTTGCAGAGGACTGTGGTTCAGTACAAAGTGCCAATGTTAAGTGACTTATATCCTATAACTTCAATTCCAGGGGATCTGACACCCTGTTCTGGCCTCCAGGAGCACTTACATTCACACACACACACACACACACACACACACACACACACACACACACACACAGAGAGAGAGAGAGAGAGAGAGAGAGAGAGAGAGAGAGAGAGAGATATGCACAGACATATAAATATCCATATTTATGTGTGTGTGTGTGTATATATACATACCATAAGTATCTTTTGGCTGTCTCTGTTTTCAGTGTCTCATGGTGTCCTAAATACCAGTCACATAGCTCTAATTCCTTTTTCACACTAACCACCACACTCTGACTAGTATTTTAAATTCTGTGTCTTGGTTAGTGACAACACCATTGTTATCTCCCAGACTCTGAAATGATAAACTTCATATCATCTTTAAGTATTTCTACTTCCACCTGAAATCAGCCTTTGGTTATTTTGTTTCTACTTTAGAAATTTAATCATAATCATCTCTTATTTTTTCCATAATCACTTTTTAATTAAAGTCCTCACTATTTCTCTCATTAATGGCTACGTATTGCTTACCTCTCTGACTTTAAACTATCTTCAAATAATCTATCCCCTACCAATTCAAAGTATGGTCAAGGCCAGGCAACATCAGCATCTCTGGGAATGATATTAAAAGTTCAACATCTTGAGCCTCAATCTGAACCCCAGGAATCAAAACAGCCTTCACCAACACCTCAAGATGTGTGGAATGAATGTTAAAGTTTAAAAAGAACTGTTTACATTGCTGTCAAAGTGGTCCTTTTGAGTTTTCTCATTTATTTCCCCAGGACATTTTTTTTTTACATTGTACTCTTTTCTACATGATAAAATGTAAGCCCCTAGAACAGACCGAGATACTTCATAACCTAATTTCTCACTCCTTTGCCACTTCTCGTACTTTATGCTCAGATAATGCTTAATTTCTGTGTGTTCCAGACCTAAATACTTCTTCCACATATTTCATGAGCTATTAGTCCCAAACAAGACAGCCTTTCTGGTCTTGTCCATTTCCCAAGTTTGAAACTTACCTATGTTGTCATTTCTGGATACCCTCATGACTATTTTATGTGTTATATTTTTTCATATTGCAATAAACAAAATTATTTTTGCTTTCATTTTGTAACATGAAAATCACTGTTTCATAATTTTAGATGCTCATTTTCTTCTTGCTGGACTATAAACTCCTTTATTGAAATCCTGTTCTTAGCTTGAAGGACAGTACATTGAATATATGTGAATGGAGTAAATGCCTGGCTTGAGAAAACAAGTGCATGATGGGACCTATTGGATCAAAGACAGACTTTCTGTCTGTTTTTCAACACTGTCATGACTTCCCATTACACTGGGCAGACCAGGAGAGAGAATCCTTGTCCAGAAAATGCATATGTTTGTAGGTCAGTGAAAGCAAACTCCGAGAAGATCTCTGGTTCCCGATCACATTTCTTCTCTTTTCTGAGAGAGAAGGAATACGGGAGTAAATGAGAAGAGGAATAAGGGAGGGAATGAGAAGGAGCAGAGATGAGAAAAGACAAGTGTCAAGTCAGTGTTGAGAAACAACCAGATGGGCTGTGCCTCTCCTACCCTTTCTTTTTCTTTGTTCTCCCCACCCCTGCTTCTCCTTTTTTTTTCTTCCTCCTTCATCTCCTCCTCCTCTCTTTTTCCTATCTTTCTTGGAAAATAGACCAAGTAAACAAGACTCAGTTTCCTCATCTCTGAAATGGTGGAACGGCAGCGAGTTCCCATCAGTCCCTCCCTGACCTAATATGCTTAACCTCTTAGATACTCGTGCCTAAGAATGAGGGTTGAGCAGGACAGTGAATGAGTCACACAAGTCAGAGAGTTGAGAAGGAAAAGAGTTTCAGATTGCTTCACTGCCAGTGTCTCCGTGTGATAAAAGTGCTATAAAATCATAATTGGTTTGGTTAGTATGCTCTAAAAGTTCTGGTTAATAGTTAAAAAGCAATTGTGACTCAGTAAGAACTAGGTGTCTTTATGACATACTTGGTCTTGGGAGAACAGGTTAAATTTCTAGAAAACAGTAAAGATAAATGGACCTTGGCCTTTGGATGTGAGGTACTGTTAGATTTAAAAAGTAAATATTTGGGTCATCCATTAGTTACTTCTTCATACCTGACTTTGACCTCTGAAAAGTCATAATTTTTCATTCAGTGAGGTCAGCACCTCAGAACTGGAGGCATTGATCCACTTAAGGCATAACACAACTTCAGTTGGAAAAATAATTTGAGGACAGCAGTCAGAGGGCTAAGTTGAGTGAAATTTATCTCTCTCCAGGCTGAAAGGAGGCAGATCTTCTCAGAGATCATAAAATGATCATAAATAGGTCAGACCCAGACAAGGAAGGAAGAGAAATAGAAGGATCTCCAATAAGTTGTTTTTTTTTCCCCTCTAAACTGTCAGTAAGATGCATGTTTTCTAGTCTGTGCTTCGTAAATGCCTTCTCTCAACTGTAACCTCTCAACTGCTTTCCTGATTCTATTTCGGTTTCACTTTGTGTAAGCTGAACACATCTTCCTCTTACCAAAGGTGCTATAAAGGTAATGAGGGTAAAGAGTACACACCAAGACACAGCCTGAACCTGAGCCAGGGTTATGCTAAGCAGGATTATACACCAGGCAGTAAGGCCTGGAGGGGAAAAAAAGAAAAGAAAACACCACAAAAAAACAACAAAACCAAAAAAAAACCCCAACCTGTTAGAGCAGATGGGGCCAGAATCCAACTCATTGTGATACATGACATATATTGTCCTTCAAAAGAGCCAGACCAAAATCAGACCCAACAAGATGCAGAATTCATAAAAACTGTAATCAGAAGTATAGAAGCTGAAAGAAATTTCTCTGGAGGCTGGGACTGATCTGTATCATCTTATACACGATGTTAAGCTTTACTCAGAACTAGGAAGCAACTCTCCAGGAAAGGCGCAAAGCTACACAGAGAAACCCTGTCTCGAAAAACCAAAACAAACAAAAAAAAATGGCAGATTTGTTTGCAAGTCTACTTTTTGATACTTGAGTTTTGTTGTTTTCCATTTGGTTGAAAAATCCATTGCTGCATTTGGCATAAGCTGGGTTCTAGGTAGTCACAGGTCGCCTCACACACAACTGGCTGAACTTTTTCAGGGCCCTGGGAACTGTCTTCTCTCCCAAGAGAAACTTCATCTTATCACGTTCTACTTTTGCTGGGTCTGGCAAGTTTGCTGCTCATTGGCTGGGAAATAATTCAGCCTCCTGGGATGATCTCCGATGGTCCATCCCCAGCATCCTTGAGTTTAACCTATTTGGCATCCCCATGGTAAGCCTCATTCTCAACCTTTGTTCTTTGTTACTCTTTCTATTACCATTCTTTAAGGTGTTTGTAAAACTAAGGGACATGTCCCATGGTCTTTGTTTTGGCAAAATCAGTTTCTATGTGTGCTGTAAGATGGTTCTGAAGACAGAATGATATAAATGTTAACATTAGTTTCTCCTCCATACAGTCTCTGTAGGGAGGAAAGAGTTACTATGAATCAAATGTATGAGTATAAGAAAAAAATCCTGCCAGGAGCATAACAGTGAATAGAAAAGTATGAGATTGGGGACTGAATGATGAGGAAGGGCCTTCGATACAGGCAGCCTGTCTAGAAAGTTTGCTTAGTATGTCCTAAAATGAGCATCCTCTTGTTTCTCTGGGGCTTGCTTTGAGACTTTGGGATCTTTTAAGTGTTAAATAATATCAGAAAGAGATTCTTTTCCCTTCTCTACATAAGAATACAGCAAATGATTTTGCCTTTCTAGTAATCACTTGTTTGCATATGTGCTGTTCTCCAGGTAGGGGCCAACATCTGTGGCTACAGAAACAATGTCACAGAGGAACTCTGTAGAAGGTGGATGCAACTTGGAGCATTTTACCCACTGTCCAGGAATCACAATGGTCCTACATTCATGGTGAGTTCCTCTAAGAAAAGAAGTAGGAAGTTCTTGAATAATATCTACTTGCTTTCAAAGAGAGGTTATAGAAAACTCCTACATACTGGCCCTCACTTCACAAAGGTAGCCAAATCTTGAGTGGCATGTCTAAAAAGCAGGGTATAAGCATGAAAATATGAGAAGGATGAATATTTATATATTAAATTGCTGTCAAAAACTCATCCACAAAGGTGAGAACTTTTGACACATCTTCTGTGCTGGTAGTCAGGCATGGTGGCACATGCCTGTTAAATCCCAGCACTCAACAGACAGAGTTGGGAGGATTGTTGCATGTTTTAGGTCAGTTGGGCCTACCTAAGAAGACTTGTCTCAAAACATACAAAGGTAACTCATGTGAGGCCCTGGGTTCAATGCCTAGTACTACCACCACCAACAACAAAATCTATGCTGTTTCAATCACTTGCTATCACCTTGTATAAGATGGGACACTGGAAGGTCAATTTTTATATTAATATAAATTATTAATATAATTATTAGCTATATAAATATATGATGATAACCTACATAATATAGTATATCAATATAAATATTAATATAATATGATGAAGATTACTCATACATAAGAGAGAACAAGGAAGAAAGATTATGAAGGAGTAAGTCAGTGATCTAAATGTATTTTACCTTGTTATAACATCCTGTTTTTTATGAATAGTTTGGAAGACCAGCCTTCAATTATGTCCCATGATTCTTTCTACCATTATCCTTTTTTATCTAAAATATTATTTTTTGATGGGCAAGTCTACAAAAGTAGTTCAAAGTCCTTCTTAAGGTGTTTATAATGCAGTAGGACCAAAAAAGTGATTTTCTTTTCTTTTAATAAAATAAGTTACAATTGAAATATTTCAAACACAATGGCTTTGGTTTTAATGAACTCATTAAAGTGGCCTTGGAGACACTTAACATATATCTTTTGTGACTCAATATATTCATAGCATTATTATTTAACTAGTGTTCAGCCTAAGGGATTAGTGATTGAGCTACTTATAACTTGTTCAAAGTCTTCAAAACTTGGCTTGTAGTTTTGCACACTTCAGTTTGTGTGTTAAAGTTGTAGAAGTTGAGATAAAATGTAATCCCATAAGGCAGTAAAAAAGCCAATGGAAATAATATTTTACATTGATTCAGCCTCAAGAATTGCACTTGAGTTAATCATCAACTAGTTAGGTAGAGTTGGGTTCTTCAGTCTTAGAAACCACGTCCCAGGGTCTCAGCCAGCACAACATCCAGTACAGCTCTACATTTTTTTCAGCTGGAAACAAGATGATAGAGGCTGAAGAGTACTCTTTTCTTCTGTGTTTAGCCTTAGTGTTTTCATGAACTCCATACTAGGGTCATAGAATGGCTGTGTTTAGGAAAGGGTTGGGCCTCTTATCAAGAAAAGCAGAGGAATAGATTCACATAATTTTCTCCAAAATTCAGTTTCTATCATGTGATACAAGATGAGAAGTCAAATGTGATAAATACGTCTTTCAGGTCTTCTTAACTACAAAGAGTGAGCAAAATGAGTGCATACTACTGATGGCAAATGTCTACCTCTAGGTCCTAGGAAAATTAGGTTGCTCTGCTCAAGGGTTCTTTGTTTTCTCCTTGATAAAATCTGCTAAAATCAGTCTTTATTATCTTTCTACATGTTGTATTAATATACCAAGATGATATAAAGGCCATTATCTTTGGGGAGTAGAAAATGAAATTAACTGTGATGGCTAAGACAATTACAGAGGAAACTACACACACACACACACACACACACACACACACACACACACAAAACAACAACAACAACAACAACAACAACAACAGCAACCTAAAAACTGCAAATTTACTAAATTCCAGAGAAAAGAAAAGATTTGGAATGGAGATCATAGTTAGGCAATGTAAATTAAGTAAATGGATTTTTAAAAATTGTAAAAGTAAGTTTAGATCAAATGATTATTATTATTCTCTCCCAAGTGAAATATGAAGTATCTCAAATATATATTGGCATGTCTCTGAAGGAAGTAGATCCCTTTTGGCTTCTTTTTGGCCATTGAAACCATTGTGGTATCTTCTTGCCACTTGGGATGTCTATAGTCTGCACTGAGAAGAACCTGTCAAGTGAAAATTGCCTCTTGAATACATGTCTACATTGGAGAACTCATGTGATCTCTGATGTTTTTCCAGCCATGAAACAAGGGACTAGGACCAAGATCAATTGAGTTCTGAAAATATCCCAACCTTCTCCAAACTGGAGAACATGATTGTGTTCATCTAGAAAAACTTTGTATCACGATAGAAAGAAATATCCACTAATTACTTGCATTTACTTTTAGGACCAGGACCCCGCTGCCTTTGGCCTTAACTCTATGCTGTTGGAATCCTCGAGACATTATCTGAACATCCGTTATACCTTACTGCCCTATCTCTACACCCTCTTCTACCGTGCTCACACACTCGGAGAGACAGTAGCAAGACCCCTCGTACATGAGTGAGTTTCTAGACCAATGTCTCCCATTCAGATCACAAGTTCCCTTTACCTTGCTAGTGTAACAAGGTCCATTAAGATATGTGATGTGTTGCTGTCTCCTCCTGTAAATTACACTCACTTCACTGTGAATGTACTCTATGTTTTATAGGTTCTATCAAGACCCAGCCACATGGGAGGTATATGAACAGTTCTTATGGGGGCCTGGACTCCTTATCACACCTGTGTTATATGAAGTATGTTTGTAATCTGAATAATGGAATGGGATGTTCTTGTAGCTTGATAGCTGATAATCTAACTGCTGAGTATATGGTTGTGCTTAAGTCTAAATATAAATATAAATGATAACAATCATGAATGTTTGGACAATAAGAATTCTTGGTTATAATGATGCATCAACTGAAACAGTTTCTATGCTGTAAAATTACCTTTAAAAACTATGTTCTTAGGCATGTGGCCATGCACTGACATGGGCTTTGAATGCCTTAGTGTGTGTAGGTTGGTACATGTGCACAAACTATCTATATATCCTCTTATCCAGGGGAATTGGGTTGAGAAGACAGAACAGGTTGTAAAGGAGTAAGGAGGGAAAGTGGAGTACAGGAAGGAATGACCATAGGCAAGGGTAAAGAAGTAAAGTGTGGAGGAAGGACTGTTATGATACTGATCCTCTTGTTAAATACTGCCAACATAGCAATCAAGAAAAAAGATAGCTCACAAAGGCTCATTGAGCTGTTAGTGTCTCAGCTACAACTGGCTTTGCTCAACAAGTAGCTTTGCTCTCCTGTGGATGTGGTTGGCTTAGCCTACTCTGAACTAATAGAGGGCAGAACTCCAAGAATGAAACTCTCTGCTTCTAGAAAATTCATGAGCACAGAGGCAAAATGAACTTTATTTCTAGGTACAGCTTGGCTTTGAATAAACTGTTTGGCCTTTCTGGGTTCATGTGATTTCACTGGTATAACAGAATAATCTCAGATGGCTTTTCGGATTATTCTGAGTACCAGGGGCAATGATGTGGAGGTGTTTTCTAAACTATAAAGGGGTGTGTGTGTGCTATTATTGCTTACTGATTTTATTTCTTTAGGGAATGGAACAAGTAAAAGCCTATATCCCAGATGCCATCTGGTATGACTATGAGACAGTAAGTAAGGTAGCTTCTATTATTTCAGAGACCTCTTCTAGAAGAGGACAATTCTAAAACAGAATTCTTGGGAGTTCATGGTAATGTTTCACAAGCCTTGACAGTCAGTTGATTATGGGTATGTTTTGAGGCATCTTAGTCTATTCAGGATGGTATAATAAAGGACCTCACACTGCATAATTTATAAACAACAGAACTTTATTGTCCATAACTCTTGGAGGTTATAAATTCCAAGATCAAGATCTTCTCAACTTCATCAATGGGAGCTTCTCCCCACTGAGTTGTCATAACTCAACCACTTGTCCAGAGGAATCGTCTCTTAGTAATATCACATACAATATTAGGTTTCAACATATGAACTTTAGAGGGATATTAATACTCATGCCACAGCAGAAGACATTTCCAACAGCTGCAGTAGGTTTATAGGAGGACTCACTGGCTCAATCCTCTCAATTTGATTGCTATGCTGATAATTAGGACTAATCATTGCATTAATTGTTGTCTGTGGAAGCAGTGAATTCAAGCTCAGTGAAATTACGGTGTGTGTCAGTCAACTTTAAGTTACTATAACAAATACCTGAGACAGTAAGCTTATAAGAAGAAAGGGTCTCTATATTTTTACTTTTAATTTCAGAAGTTCTAGTCCTTGGCTCTATCGCTTTGGGCTAGTGGCAGGCTATTTTTGTGAAAGCAGGAGAAGGAACAAAACTACTCTGAACAAACAAACAAACAAACACCTCATGGCTACAAAGTGACAGAGAGTAAAAAGAAGAGACCAGGGTCTTACAATTCAAAGAAGAGACCAGGGCCTTACAATTCCCATTAAGAGAAAAACTCCAATGACTTAAAAACTTACGCTAAACCCCACCCCTCAAAGTTTCTATCAGCCCCCAATAGCACTGAGCCAGGGACCAAGACTAACACAAAAGACTTTGGGGGACATCTAAGATACGAACTATAAAACACAGTATGATGAGAAGTAAGCAAGAGGGGAGTTGGTGTCTCAGCTCTGCTCTCTACTACCCACATACCTTGGAGAAATCACCTCACTTTGGAGGTCTCCATCTTCTTGTCTCTAAAATGAGGACTTGACTAAGGGATCTCTATGGTCCTTCTTGTCTGCAGTTCTCTGTCTGGTCTGTTTTCCTTTTGTTGCTTAGGAACTGGCTATCCAATGGAGGAAACAGTTTGTAAACATGATACTACCAGGTGACAGGATAGGGCTTCACCTTCGAGGCGGCTACATATTTCCCACCCAGCAGCCAAACAGAACCACAGAGGCCAGGTAAGACCCAGTGTCTTCTAACTATTCTGATGTTCAGTGGGGCTTCATGGGGGAGACAAGCAAGGACCAAGAGTAGATGGGACAAATGAATGTAGCTACTGTTACCCATTTCAAGGGCCCAAAATTGTCTTCAGAGGGGGTAAATACAGTCTCACTTTCCTTCTCAATTTTATAGTTCTTCTATTTGAATGAAATCAGATTATAGAAATAGTCAAAATAATCTTCATGAGGATTTTCACAGGGACAGAAATTATCTTAACATGTATTCCCCAAGACATGAGAAAAATTTAGAAGGAGGCAAAGGTCAGCATGACTTGGAGTTTCAGAGCTCAGATTCTGGAGAATTTGAGTTCAAACTCTGGCCTGACAACTTCCTACATACGGTAAGCTTGGACAGCATCTCTGTGTTCATACTTGTTACTGATGAACTGGAGAAGATGATGGCCTGATCTTTTAGCACCTGTGTGAGGGTTAAGTGTATTACTACAAATGACAGGATCTGGACACATTCTGGAGATTACCTGTTACAGAGTCCTAGAAGCATTGTTAGAATGATCACAAACCTAGTTTTCAGGAACCACCTCACCCCACATTGTTCTTACATTTTCTCTTTTCCACATCCTGCTATCTCCCCACACCTATGTTTCCACAATGTTAGCTAGTATCTACTCAGTTTCTGGGGTGGACTCTGGAGGATCCGTCCCTATGCATTAAAAGGTAGACTCATCAAGGGGCACATTCAACAAGGGGCAGATTCATCCACTTCTGCTTTTCTTTCACTGCCTGAAACTTGCAATTGTTCTCCTCAGCCGGAAGAATCCCTTGGGACTCATTGTTGCCTTGGACTATAAGCGAGAAGCAGAGGGCCAGTTGTACTGGGATGATGGTGTGTCTAAAGGTAGACTTCCAAATGGAACCATAGTAGTGGTTCTTAGTGAAAATTCATTGACAATAAAACACCAACCCCATTATCACTATTATATATTTTAGTATCTTAGGAGGTTTTAGTAGCTTGGAAAATTAAAACTCATTTTGAAAATTCCATTAGGCAACTTCACATGTAGACCTTCCTATGTTATTGACATGGCCAATGGAATAACTAGTATTGCATTTGATTTCATTATTCTTTTCTACATATCATCATTAACATAAAGCAATACCTTTTTGTTAATAGCTTAGCAAGGCACTGTTTCAGTTACCATTGAGAAAGACATATCTGGTGTAGGTCTTGTGTTTTTCATTGTAAAATTTGATATGATTAAAACACAGAAGCTTTTAGGCTGAGTGAAATTAGAATTTATTAATATTTGATACCCATTATTGCTCTGCATGGAAGGCATAGAGATGAATGTGACATAAACATTGACCTTGACAAACTCATGGTATAACATGATAGAGAACCATAATGAAAATCAGCATATTTAAATGCTGGCAAGTAGAGCCACAGAGTGCCATGTGACTTCAGAGAAAGTAGTCCATTAAGGTTCTACACAGATTAAAAAATGTGGGATTTTGGATGAGCAGAACTATATGAAGAAGAATTCCCAATGAGGAGAATGTAACTCCACAGTTTCATTGTTTCCCATAGTAATGGTACATACATGTCTACCCATCTCTTTTAGGCACAGTGGTAGAAAGGAAGTACATTCTGTATGATTTCTCTGTTACATCCGTAAGTACCATTTTCAAGGTACATATGTTTCATGTTTCCTATTGTGATTATGTTTTGAGGTTTTGGTGGTCTATGTATGCTTTTATTTCTCTGAAATTCAGGCTGAAATCTTAAATTAGCACGTGCTTTTTATGTATGAAACATCTGAACTGTTTTTGCAGAGTGGTTGTGTAGTCTATAATTTTACCACCAATATGTAAGTGATGCTGTTTCTCTGGATAATTACTTGCATTTGAGGCTGTTGATGTTTTTCATTTTAGCTATTCTGTGTGACCATTTCTTGTGACTTTAACTTTGTCTTAGTATTTCTCCAATGACTAATCATGTTGAAATCTTTGCATATATCTATCTGCCTTTTCCATATTATCTTGGCTGAAAAATCACCTCCTTGTCCATAATCTGATTTGGATGTTTTTTGGCATTGGTTAACAGTTCAGTTTTTTTTTTTTTTTCGAGACAGGGTTTCTCTGTGTAGCTTTGTGCCTGTCCTGAACAGTTCAGTTTTAATGGTTTTTAAATGTCTGTGATACCTATCCTTCATTCAATATTTTTGCAAGTATTTTCTTCTATATGTAGGCTTCTCTTTTCTTCCTCTTAAAGACTTTCGCAAAGCAAATATTTAAATTTGGATATACCTAATTATCTTTCTCTTCTGGATCATGCCTTTTGATGTCATGTCTAAGAACTCTTTGCCTGGCCTTAGAACCTTAGTGTTCTCTGAAATTTTATTATCTATATCTAACTCTAAGATCTATATTGGACTAATTAGTATATGCCAGACTTAGGTCAAAGTTCATCTTTTTGCCTATGTAGGTCCAGGTGCCCCTGTACCTTTGTTGAAACAGCTTCCTCCTCCACTCTGTTGCTTTTGAAATTCTGTCAAATACCACTAGGGCATATTTGTTTATAGGAAACTGTATTCTTTGTGCTTAGCAAAATGTGCCCCTCTCCCTCAGAGTCCAGTCCCACTGACTTCTGGGCTTAGCTCAGCTTTGTTGCTTTTCAACTCTATTTCTATAAATAAGTCGTTTAATTTCTCTGTGCTTTAGTATGGAGATTTTGACCTCATAACTTGCTGAATCATCTAAATGGGATAGTATATGCAAGATGCTTAAGCATATTGTCTGGCATACATTAAGTATTCATAAAATTTAGCTTTTATTATTAATGTTAAAATAAAAATTAAAAATTATTGTGGCACTTTTATGTGTGTATGATGTTTGTGTGTCATTTGGGTTTTGTGAGTGCTTGAGTCTCTTTCTTTGCTTTGTAACTACTTAAACATGCTACATATCAGGATCATATTTTCTGAATAATAGGATCAGAAAAGAGCCAGTTAACAAAGGAAGCGAGTGCTGGTGTCTGAAACAACACCTGTGCTAGGGGTGGTCTTTGATGAATTTAGAAAAGAAAACAGGCTAAGAAGACAGCCTGCGTCAGGAGATGTTGAATATGTACATTCAATCTCTAAAATGATTTTCTTCCCCCTCCCCAGAATCGTTTACAGGCAAAAATTCTAAACAATAATTATGTGGATCCCAATGACCTCATGTTTACAGACATCAGAATCTTGGGGCTGGACAAAGAGCCAACTGGTCTTAATGTCTCACTTAATAACAATATCATCCCCATTTCAAGCTACAAGTACAATGCTTCAGCAAAGGTGAGAGATCATTCCATCTGCAGGACTCTGGCTGAAAGCACTGCCTGGGATTCTGACAGCTTTCCCTCTCCTGCCTTCATGAGTTTGGATAGTCACAGAGACAATTTTCTTGCTGAGACAGCCAGCAACCATATCATAGGGAGGATCCAGGAGAAATGTGTGCATGCAAGTATGAATACTTTCTCTTAGAGTCATCAGGACTCTAAGAGTTGGCGCCCTAAGAGAAGTTCTTTTCTGCTCATTTAAAGCTAGGTAAAATGGTCTCAGATGGAATGGTAAAAATGAGGTTCAATAAATTGTCCTAGTTCAGGGGAGTACTTACAGTTTGTCATTTGTTAAAGTTAGAACTACCCTTGAGACACAGCTGATGTTTTTCCTTGCTGCTGTTTCTATAAAGCTATTTTACATTACCACATAAAATGTAAGTGGGAGAAAACCTAAGCTATACTCTGATTTAGTCATCACCGAGTGATTACCTTACCTGATAAACTCATACAGAGGATTTTAGTTATTGGCTTACTCACTTAAGACCTGAGAAGTTCATTGTTTCTTAGGTAAACTGTCTTCTTCCAGAAAATATATGTAGCACAGGATAGGAACAAAACTTCTAAGCAGAATGAGGTGCTGATCTTGGCTATTCTCTCCCCATTGTGAGATCTTATACATGTTATAACATCTGTATTATAGAGACGACCACAGTACTCATAGCACTGGGTCACTCTATAGAATTAATGCGCACGATGTATAATATGATTGTCATAGTGTTGGGCTCACATGTATGCTCAGTAAAACTATCTATTGATTACTGCCATCATTAGTCACATTAACAAGCACCATACCAAAAGGATAATAAGACTAAAAGTGATACCCACACTATAATCCTCACACCTTAATGTGGCTAAATTGCTCCATGTTCCATACTTTCACAATGGCCCCAAAAGGTCAGGAATCAAACAACTTCCAAGTATTCTAAGGTGATACTGGAAACAGAGCTTGGTCCTGACTTCCTGGCCATCAGCCAATAACACTGTCTCCATAGCTCTGAGTCACCTGGTTTGTTATTGGAGTCTCTTCTCTCCCTAGGTGTTGGTCATCAATAACCTCACAGGTCTGAAACTGGGACAAGAATTCTCCATCGAGTGGACTCTTGTAGTCAGTGACCTGGAGAAGTTTAACTGCTTCCCCGAAGATCCTGCAGTCTCTGAGGAGAGCTGCAAGCAGCGGGGGTGCCTCTGGGAGGTAATGACCACAGTGACCAGGAAGTTGTAATAATTTTGCATCAAGTAGTTGGCCACTTGGAAAGCACTTTGAAAAGGTTGATGACTTGATGGTCATCGTGAAGGTGTGATGATACGCGTTTTGTGAGTTCCATGTGATGGGTGATCTATATGTTTCCCACAGATACCCTGCATCTAAAAAAAATCATTGACAGTCTAATTGCCTCTTTAAAAATATCATTCAAAATTCCTATTTTGAACTATTAGAGAAGATAAAAAGATCAAAGGGAAGAGAGGAGGGGATAAGAGGGTAATACAAGGATGATTATAGTCCAACTTTATTATCTGGATTTATAAAAATATCACTACAAAATGTGTTGTTTTTAGAACCAATACATGCTAGTAAAACAGTCTTACCATCACAGTATATACTGTGCATTGAATATTGTAAGTGAACAGCTTTTGTTGACTGGAAAACCTAAACAGAAAGTGTAAGTCTTGTTCAACCTGTTTGAATAATGGAGAGAATAAAATCAGAAAGAGTTAGCAGCTGCATTGGAAGCAGGAGACACAAAGAGGACCTTAACTGAGAGTTGTGGTACCTGATTAGGCTTCCTGTTCCATCATCATTCACACTTCACTCTTTACAGAAGGTGAGTGTGTGTGTGTGTGCGCGCGCGTACATACTTGTGAGTTTAATTGAACCTGGACCTTTGCTATGGCTGCTATAGCATTAGAAAATCACTTAGAGAATACCAATTTTATTATCCTCAGGTAAAGAATCATGAAGTCAGAGATCAGGGTGTTGTGAAAGGGTTGGTTCCTTTTGAGGACCGTGAGTGAGATCTGGTTCATTATTCACCTTTAGATTCTGGTGGTTTGTTGCTAGTGTTTCACATTTCTTAGTTTGTGTAAGATCTCTGCTTTCATGACTTTATGGTTCTAAACTAAATGTATGCTTGCCTGTCTGTCTGAATTCTCCCTGTTAACAAGTGTACTAGTCATATTGCATTAAAGCCTACCCTAATGACCTCATCTTAATTGATCATCTGCAAAGACCTTATCTTCAACATGTCACATGCACACTACCAGGGCTTAGGATTTCTCTCTCTCTCTCTTTTTGTTAGGGAACATTTCAACTTATTTCAGTGTTCTTAGAAGCTTATTCTGTGTTAACTGATTTTTTTCAGTGATTAGAGTTTCAAAACGTTGTGTAGCAGCTCACCAAGAATTCTTCCTATTATTCCAGCACACAACTACTTTTGGAGTGCCTACCTGTTTCTACGACACCATTCCCCAGTATGCTGCCAGTAACATTCAGTACCAGCCCACTGGCATCACCATGGACCTGGCCCTCCTGGAAGTCTCAACATCTGCCCGGGCAGCAGCAGCTCCAAGCGTTGTCTCTGATCCTCTTTCTGGAAAGATCAGCTCTCTTAAACTGAATGTGACCTACCATACAGAAAACATGCTGCAGGTCAAGGTAATCCTCATGTTAAAGTTGCTGGTTCTCAACACAGATGTTTTTGACTCAAGGCTCTGTACACATGAGATCATTGAAAAGACTGTTAATGGCCAGGCATGGTGGTGCATGCCTTTGATCTCTGTACTCAGGTGGCAGAGATAGGTGGATCTCTGTGAATTGGAAGCCAGCCTAGTCTGAATAGCGAGTTCCAGGCCAGCCAAAGCTACACTGAGACTCTGTCACAAACAAACAAACAAAGAAACAAGCTGTTAATGTAAATCCCTATGTTACAGATGTGTAGACGAATTTCTAAATAGTCTTATTAATAGAAAACATGGAGCCAGATATACGGGTAAAAACCTGAAAGAGATCAGAGAATTAGGGAAAGACACAGCTGAGCTTACCTCACCAACTCCACAGCTTCCAAAAGCGAGATACTTCCTGTTGACCCATGCCTATATGCCTTGCTGTTCTGCCATCTGATTTGCTCTCTCTGTCCAGCTATATCACTTCCTCTTCCTGCCTAGCTCTGTCACTACCTGTCTGTCTGTATAGACCTCCAGACCTCTATGGTTGGTGCTGGGATTAAAGGAGTATGTCACCATGCCTGGCTTTGTTCCCCAATGTGGCCTTGAACTCACAGAGATCCTGACAGATCCCTACCTGCCAAGTGATAGGATTAAAGGCATGTACTACCATTGCCTGACTTCTGTGTTTACTATAATGGCTGACTTTTTCCTCTGATCTCTAGGCAAGCTTTATTTATTATAGCACAAATAAAATATCACCACACAGACGCATAAGTTGAGGCCATCAGAAGTAAAGATCAGAAAGGTAGTAGATAGTTAGTCAGGATGTGAACTTAGATCCACCAGTTTTGCATCTTCTATTATGATCAATGTTCTATATCACACATGTCATTAAAAACCCATCCCATTTCCCTGAAAAGCATGAGTCTGCTTTGTGGGAAACACATAGAAGAGACACTAACTCACTTCCAGCAGTTTTAGTAACTTCTGGAATGGGAAATCTCAACATGCATTAGTGTCAACTGAAGATACCATTAAAACTTCCTTTTCTCTTCCCCAGATTTATAGCCCCACTAACAAGAGATATGAGGTCCCAGTACCTCTGAACATCCCTCCTTCGCCACTTGGCTCCTCTGAGAACTGCCTGTATGACGTCACAGTTAAAACCAACCCATTTGGACTCCAAATTAGACGGAAAAGCTCCAGTACTGTGATGTAAGCTCTGTTTATTTGGTCCTAATCAAAGCAACTATAGATCTAATTACAATGATTCTAATCATGGCAAGTGAGCCACTAATTTGAGACAACATAGAATTATGACCATGTTTGTTAAAATAAACATCAATTTCTCCTGATTCTTTAGGGAATTGATTTTTCTGCCATTCATTAACTCAGAAAGAAATGATGAAAGCTTTTTTAAAAAGATGTGTTATTTGACTTCAGAAAAAGAAAATTTGTTCTGTTTATTGTAATTGCTAATTAGGACAGAAAACTCTAATTAATAAGCATGACAGATTTCATAAGTCATGAGTCTGTTCTCAATTAAACATCATTAAGAAATAGCTGAGAAAGCAGGAGAGAGGGACAGAGGTCCATAGGGCAAGAGAAATGGCTTCCTAGAATCATTGCTCCCATTCTTACCATAGACAAAGCCTTTCCATGGTGTTAACTATGCAAGGATTGTCAGTCATCAATGATGTCATCTCTAGGTCTTGTCCTGCTGTTAAAGGTCTAGATTTTGCCTGAGAGGAAGTTCTCTGCCCCATTATAGATTGTCACATACATGTGCATGTCTGTTTTTCCTGAGTGTGACTTTTGTTGATTTAACTGTATTCAATGCTCGCTTTCTGTCTTCAGGAAATTTCTTGCATTCTAACAGTTATTCTAAGAGTTTCACGTTTTTCTATTGCACAGTAGTTTTGTAGACCTCATTAATAGGTTCCCACAAGCTGGTGTACCAGGCTCCAAGAACTGGGAACAAAAGGAACAAAAAGATGAATGAGACAGGTTTTTTTTTTTTTCCTTCAATGAGAATTCCCAGTTCTCTTAACTGGGAATAAAAGGATGAATGAGATAGGTTTTTTCCTTTCTCTCCCTTAATGAGCCAATGACCCAGCAAAAGGACTCTTAGTCTTGCAAACCACAGAATAGAGATGCAAATGTGGAAACTTGGAGCTGAATTATGGCCATTCTTATGACCTGGTTCATTTCACAACACTTGAACCAGGATCAGATGTCCAATAATTGGAGGCTTCCAAGTGAATTAGGCACTAAAACGTGTTTTGTGTTTTCTCTGGCTTGTGATTTGTAGTTCAGCATTGAAGTCTGCTTTTGCATTACAGTTGGGATTCTCAACTCCCCGGTTTCACCTTCAGTGAGATGTTTCTTTCCATTTCTACTCGACTTCCATCTCAGTACATCTATGGCTTCGGGGAAACAGAGCATGAATCTTTCAGAAGGAACATGAGTTGGAACACATGGGGAATGTTTGCTCGGGATGAGCCACCAGCGGTAAGGACAAGAATAAAATTAGCAATCGTGTTCTCTTTATCTAAACTTATTCAAATTCTTGTGTCCATAAATGATTCTATATTCATCAGCTTTTCCTTGCACTGATAAATTATGCTTTCAGATCTAAAAGGGCATATGCTCTCATGCTTCTTTGCTTGTAAAACATTTAATGTATCTACTCCTGTGGAACACAACTTTTATTTATTTTACCAAATATTACATTAACTGCTCAGCTGAAAATTTAATGAGATACTATCTGTGCCCTGTAAAGATTTAAAATGCTGGGGGAGACAGATAATAAAACAACGATAGCATGGTGTAATCGAGGCTAAGACAGATTTATGTAATAGGGAAAAGGGTGCAGAGTATGGAGGGCACAGACTTTAGGTTTGTGGTAGAAGACAAGGTCCAGCAAGGCTTTTTAAAGAACACCACTGGTGAGTTCTGTCTTCAATATCTAGTATGGGTTTACTGTTTTCTTTGTGATATGGACACAATTTATTGGGTTTTTATTTGTAATTACCTTATAGTTCTTTCTTACAGTACAAGAAGAATTCCTATGGTGTTCACCCTTACTATATGGCATTGGAAGAGGATGGCAATGCCATTGGAGTGCTCCTGTTGAACAGCAATGCCATGGGTAAGATGGAGATGCACGTGTATATACCACCAGAGACAACTGTGACCACCCTGTTGGAGTCTAGGATGTTACTAGAAATAAGGACATTCAAGGGCAAGGAAAATTGGATGCAATGGCTTTCACGCATTCATCTATTAATTCAAGATTTATTAAATATATATAATAAATATATATAATAAATAAATATATAACCACATATTAAATGTGAAATTTTGGCTCTCTATGTTCCCTTATTTTCTGTGACACCTTAGCTTCTTTTCCATAGGGTGACATAAGTTGTTGGGATTGTATATTTTATTTTAGGCACATGGAGTCCATCTCTATCCCACTGCCTAAGAGAAGACTTTCCAGAGGAGGAAGCTATTAAAGCATGAGGGTGAAAATCGAAAAGTTTAGGATAGATTCTCCATCAGGGTAACTTATGGCTACTTACCAATTTGGCTTTTTCTAATCTTTACAGATGTGACACTCCAACCTACCCCTGCCCTGACATACCGCACCATAGGAGGGATTCTGGACTTCTATATGGTTCTGGGGCCAACACCTGAACTTGTAACTCAACAATACACACAGGTTGGAAACCTGTCTATCTATTGATAAACCATTGCATATTTGGTGTGTATTGCTACAACGTTCTTAACACTGAGATAAGATCCTTTTTGTTCATTTTATTCACGGGTGCTCCCATGAGAGGACTGCTATTCTTCTTGCAATATAAAACAGATGTTCAAGGAGTTTTACATTTTTCTATTTGACAATGGTTTTGTAGACCTCACTCAAGCTGACACACCAGACTTTAGTGTTATGAGGTACTGACAGCATATCAATAACCCATGTATGTCTTGATCACTTGCTCTGAAGTCTATTGAAGAGTTTCTGATGAAGATTCACTATGAATGTGTCAGGTTTTCTGAAGGAATGGCTAGACAACGGGAGAAAACCTCAGCTACAATGTTTCTGTGTTTCACCTCCCTGGCTGTTCTATATTTGACTTCCTTATTTATCTTGAGAGCTCTTAGAACTCAGTAGAATTGTTCAAATTTCTTCCTTAAGAAGTCTAGTAGCATCCATTTATTTCACTTAGACTATTTTAAACAAATATAGACTTTTGTTTTAATTAATTAGTTGATCAGTTAATCACTGATATTTTAAACTAATACAGACTTTTAAAAATAATTATGGTGTGTGGCACAGTGATTAAGTGAATGTGTGCAACATGGAAGGTTGAAATTGTGGTAATTAGCATTTTATTTTTATTCCAGTTGATTGGTCGGCCAGCCATGACTCCATACTGGGCCTTAGGTTTCCAGCTGAGTCGCTATGGATACCAGAGTGATGAAGAAATCGCCAGTTTGTATGATGCAATGGTGGCAGCCCAGATTCCCTATGTATGAACCTCTCCCTCTGTTTCTGGTTTTTTAGCTTACTTGTGTAATGAAAACAGGGTTCATACAAATTAAAGCAGTGGTTAGTTTAGTAGAAGAAAAGTAGCTGTGGCAATCGTCTTCTGTAGAATGCTTTACATTTTAAACATACTGCATGCTACCTTTTTGCATGTTAAGCCTTGGTATGTAAGGTTCATAAGTAAGAGCTGCATATGTATCCTTCAGGAGGCAGTGGGATGGTTGCAGTATGCTGTCACTCATTGCCTGCCACTGGGGATTGTTTGCAGTAGCTATGACTTGTTCGAGCTGTGACTTTAGAAGCTCAGAAATGACCGTCTTGTAGACATGAGCTTTAAACGACAGCATGAAAGGAAGCAGTTGAAAATCTAGACTTTGCTTTCTTTGCAACATACATGTGCATATCCCATAATCTAGCTCCCCAAGTAAATCCTGAGAAACATAGCTGCTGTCAACAAGCAAAAAGACACATGTGTTCTTTCTGCTCGTACAGTTGTCAGCTCTCTGGCACTCCTCTTTCTTGGCTTTTAGATCATTTGCTGAGATTTTGGAGGGAAATTAAGGATTATAAAATGAGAATAAAGTGATCCTCTCACTGAAGATAATTTGATACTTATGTGCAAGCTACACTTTTGTCTTTTTATGTACATTGTATGATGTACTTGTTAAACAGAGATGAGAAAAATACAAGAAGAATGCAAGATTAAAAATTTCCATAGATCTAACTTACCCAAGTCATCAATGTCATAAGTGTGTTAGTTCATTCTTGTTTTAGTTTTGGCTTTTCTACACGTCTGAGCTTCTCCAAACGCATTTCACCAAGAGTCCTAAGGCAACGCAGGAGAGTTCCACTTTGGGGCTAAAAAGAAATAGCTTGCTTTTTTTTTTCATCTGAATATTTACTTTACCTGTTGTTCAGTACTCTGGAGCTAGCTGAGTTTCAAGTGCAGAAATATCCTTTGGGGCTGTGTAGAGGCAGTTAAAAATAATACACTTCTCTCGTGAACAAGCTCTGTAAGATTTACTGAAACAACCAAACAACCGCCAGGTCTACAATGTGTTGTTTAGGAGAGTTTTACTATCTATCCTTGAATGCACTTTGATGGGCTCACCACATCTGAGATTTGAAGGGTTAGGAGGACAGGAATTGAGGGAGGGAAAAGAAAGAAGGAACAGTAGTTGAAGAAGCAGATGAAGTATGTGGACCAGTGAGCTGTGAGCAGGAATCAGAAAGTGATTTCTTTGGGCATTTGAAATTGAAAAGTGTGTGCAGAGGTGTGTGTGTTAGGGGATGGAATTTAGAAGGAGCCCAGGCCAGGTCAGAAGTAGCGGCGGAGCCTGCAGAGCACTGAGTGTACCTGCAGAACATCTGTTGAAGGACACTGAGTGTATCTGCAGAACATCTGTTGCAGAGCACTGAGTGTATCTGCAGAACATCTGTTGCAGGACACTGAGCACCTTGCCTGTTACTTCCTGTAGGACGTCCAGCATGTAGACATCGATTACATGGACCGGAAGTTGGACTTCACCCTCAGCTCCAGCTTTCAAAATCTCAGTGTCCTGATTAATCAAATGAAGAAAAATGGCATGAGGTTTATTCTTATTCTGGTGGGTATTATGACAGACTTTTGGCTCCTGTCTTTATGGTTCCAAAATAATACCACTGGGAGAAAGTGGATGACAGCTACAAGAAAACTTCTTGTACATTTTGGAAATTTCCTGTGAACATTTAAATATATATATATATTTTAAAAATTTAAGCAAATAAAGTAGTAAAGAAAAGTGAAAATTTCTTTAAAGAAGTAATTTTTTTGTATAGCTTAGTGCCACTGGAAGCCATCTATTGATATTTTTCTCTTGCTAAAGTTAGAACTGTGGAAAGAAAACAATGAATGTAGCAAATAAAATGCCACACTGCTCCGGGCTGTGCCTCAGTGGTACAGCTGTGTCTCAGTTGCATATCTTCCCGGGGAAGAAGGGGATGTCAAAGACTGCCCCGGGCTTCTCCCTGTGCAGTCTGGAGTGTTCACTGGTGTCCTCCTTGTTCAGCTCATGTTCGGCAATCATGCTGGTGAGATTTGATGGGTGTAGCTTCTGATGTTCTTAGGAGACACAATCTCACAGTGAAGTTCCTGATCCGCTAGTTCTTACAGGCTTTCCACCCACTCTCCTGAAATGTTCCCTGAGTCATAGGTGTGGGGGTGTTTTGTAGATGTATCCACCAGGAGGGTTTGGAGGAACAGAAGGGAAGGGGAGGAGAGGGGAGGGGAGGGGAGCAGAGGGGAGGGGAGGGAAGGGAAGGGAAGGGAAAGAAGAAGTGTTGTAATTAAAGTACAATCTCAAAAAGTTTGACCCCCTCTCTGCTCCCCCCCAAAAATCCATTTTGGTATCATCCTCAGAAGTGATAAATCTTAGGGATGTTATTGACATTTCATTGAACTCACAAGCAGATTCAGAATGCCAGCCTACTTAGTTACCTGCAAGTGAATCTTCCAGCTTCCAAAATTAGAATATGGCTTTTGTTACTTGTTAATTCAAATATCTGTTGAACATTGGTGTTTATAGGGAGAGGGTGGATTCTGAATTAGTAAAGAAGACAATGTTCTTTTCTTAAGAAGGTATGTATTTCAGTGGGCTGAGGCAATCAAGAGACAAATATTAGAAAAATAATTTCAGATAGTGATGTTTTGTGTGACAGTTATGAACCAGCATACTATAGAGATGAGCTGGATCAGTATGAGATGCAGTAGGTGGGAGTGGCCACATTAGGTTTGAGTAAGTTGGGCCACAGAATAAGATAAAGTTTGCTTTCCTACGGCTTACTGCTATTACCCAGTAGAAATGGCCCCTCCTCTTGAAGGTAATGTCTTTCTAGTCTGGTTTACTCCTGGAGTTGTTTTCCAAATAAAACCATACAGAATGGCTGGCCATCAATAAACTCCTTTAATTCTTATTTCTCCTTCCCCCTCTTCCTTTTTTAAATGGATTTATGCGTCATTGGAAAAAATCAGTCATGTCATGTTGTATCTCAGTTTCTGTAATCCCCTCCCCCCATTATATTAGTTATAGCTCTGGGTAGGTACTTTCTATAATATATGAAGTTTCGTTTATTGATATAGATTTTTATTCTCTTTGAAAGAGATTGCCCTTAAGAACTATGCATCTTCCCTTGGGTACCTCTGGCAATGTTCTATTTTATTGATTTTGATAATATACTCAATAAAGACAACTCTAACTAAAAAAAATAATATTACTTCTTGGGTCACCTATTCTTTCTGCATTATGAATTGTCAGGTTTTGGAGTGGAATTTCCTTGGAGATATTTCACTCACATTTGTGATCTTAAAACTGTCACTACAGGACCCAGCCATTTCTGGCAATGAGACACACTATCTAACATTTACTCGAGGACAGGAAAACAATGTGTTCATCAAATGGCCTGACTCCGATGACATTGTCTGGGGCAAGGTAAGGCTTGAGGAAGGTACCTATAATCAATCTACCTCACGAGACGTTCCTATAAATTCTGTAGATATATGCAGTATAATGAATACATTGCAAAACGAGCAGTCTTCCTAGCGCAGTAAGCATTAGGCCCAAAGTTACAGGTCAAAATCTCTAAAACATGGAATGCTGCAACTGCTTTCACATATTCTGATAGTCCCCTTGCTCATATTCATATTTAGCAGAATGGTTTTTAAAACAAACATTAATAATCCCCAGGGCTCTGAGCTATGTGCCTCTGCCACATAAATTCAAAACAAGCATTTAGTTTTGACCAATGATGCTTAATCAGGCTTAAAAAAATCACTAAGTCTATCTTGTCACTTTAGATTCCTTTCTGTGGCCTCAATCCTCATCTCATATGGATGATATGATATCAATGGTAGTTTAGGCAGACTCCTGGGCCCCAGATGATAGTAGTTCTCAGATTCAAGCTCCCTTTGTAACCTATTGTGCTCTGGCCTATCGCCCGGTGTTTACACTCTGACCATTTTGAACACTGTCTTCTCACCTAACCCAGTGGACTTACACTTCAAAATGTGACCTGAAACACCTGACCTCTTGTAAAGCTCTCAATAACTGGTGTAGCTGTGTTATAGAAAGTGTTTCTGTGCCATTCTCCATCAGGAAGTATTGCATACTAACTTTGTAAGAATTCTGTGAACTCTGAGAAAGCAAGCAGTGTTATGAATTATTGCGTGGGGAACCCCTGAGAGTATGCTGCACATGCAGGGAAACATGGGGGGCAGATGCACGCAATGTGGGCGTGGTGGCAGCATCAGCCAGTAATTAACAACCCAGATGTTGCATCCACGTGGAGAGTTTATTATAATAGAGAGAGATGAAGAGAAAGATAGGAAAGAGAGAGACAGAGAGAAAGAGAGAAGAAGAAGAAGAAGAAGAAGAAGAAGAAGAAGAAGAAGAAGAAGAAGAAGAAGAAGAGAGACATCGAAGGTGTATACCTCATGGGAGGAAAAGTGGAAGAGAGAGAGAGAGAGAGAGAGAGAGAGAGAGAGAGAGAGAGAGAGAGAAAGAATTTTTCCTTAAAAAGAGGCTTTTACATCAGGATGTAGGGCAGCGCCAAGGGGTGAGATTTCATGGGGCAGATCAGAATATTAACAAGCAGTATTTCCTACTGAAATTTCAGAATATATATATGTTCTAGAAGAATGTTCATTTAGTGTTTTCTGGTGATTTATCAATGTATATAATTAATGTACTGTTAGATACAAATAAAACTGATTAATACTATAGATTGTTAATTCTACATATACTACTCAACAAATATTGATACTGCTCAAAAATATTGAGAACAAGCCTGGAGGGTTAAAAAGCTTGTATGGAGGAGTATTTTTTTTAAACAAAATCTCAGTTGTTCAATTTTACCAATAGTGACTCAGGAGCCAGATGCTGGGGTGAAAGCCTGCTAGCTCAGAGAGGCAGAGAAAGCACCCAACTAACCTTCCTTCTCTGATGACATCCCAGAAAACTCTCTTTCCTAGCTTCTCAATCAAGTGTCCTCAAATTCAGTGTCCCTTCCTTCTACTTCCTGTGCATGTCCCTATCCGCCCTCCCGACTCCCTTTTACTTTCTATGGCTTTTTCTTAATAATCCTGTGTTCACTTCCCGTCAACTGGTTGCTTGCTCCACCCCTTGACCTATGATTTACTTTATTTAATCCTGTTTACAGTATTTAAGAAGAAAGCTCTTGGATTAAAGGTGTGTGCTAGGGTTGAGCCACACCACAACAAGAAGCAGGTTTTTTCTAGTAAATAACAAAATCTTAGGGTTAACAGTGTGATCAAATATCCTGCAACAGTATGTGCTGAGACAGGAATTTAGGAGGGGCCTGACCTTGGTCAGGCAGCAAGATGGAATGTCAATCAAGCGTGCCTTTAACATCATATTTCACATTTATTTGAAAAGAATAGTTTTTATAGGTAAAAATAAAATATAAACCAAACCCAAGGACTCATTTGAAATATTATTGTGCCAAAGGTACACTTAAAATGTAGTTTGTGCTGGGCGGTGGTGGCGTACGCCTTTAATCCCAGCACTCGGGAGGCAGAGCCAGGCGGATCTCTGTGAGTTCAAGGCCAGCCTGGGCTACCAAGTGAGTTCCAGGAAAGGCGCAAAGCTACACAGAGAAACCCTGTCTCGAAAAACAAAACAACAACAAAAAAATGTAGTTTGTTACTTGAGTTCAAATTTTAAAATGTGAAAACTTATGGAATAAGCAAGGAACCCCTGGGCATTGTCACCTGGGTGAATTTCACACTTCAGTTCAAGACAAAGATGGAGGCAATTGTAGAACTGTCTCCCATTAGAGCTTTGCAGGCAAAACACCTCATGGTTTGTGTGCAGTAACTTTTAAAGGTTTCAGTTTTTCTTGTTTGTCTAGGTTTGGCCAGATTTGCCCAATGTAAATGTGGATGGATCCCTTGACCATGAGACTCAAGTTAAGGTAAAGTTGAACAGAAATTTTTGGAAGTATCACCCTAAACATCTGAATGTTTGTGTTTTCTCTTAGTGGACAAGGCACTTTCCCTTTCTGGTTAAGTAACTATAACTTGAGTCTGCTTGCTATAACTTGACCTGGTGGTCAGTTTTAGCAGAGGAGATGCTCAAATGAAAAACTTGACAGGCAACCAAACTGGAAGGATCTAAAAAGAAAGTGACCATGAAATCCCTTATATATGCACTTACTAGCTTGTGATTCAAATATAATGTTGCTTGAAAATAATGAACCAAAGTCTAGAATATTTTCCCTGGTAGAGAACTAGCACAAGCAAATGTTTTTTGGTGAATTCATTGAGGACCAAAGACATCATGAGCAGGCTAGAAGGAGGAAAGTTCTTGGTTTCACACCTTCTGCCCCATCAAGCCTACACACTTGGTCACCATTCAGCGCATTTCTCTGTGCCCCCCCCCCCCACAAAGACAAATAGGACCTCCTTAGTTTGAGCAGTCTACAAAAAAAACCTATGCATCTTTACAATTCAACTGTTTAGATACTGGCAAATAGTTTTCTATGGTCCACGGTTAATGTCTAGTCATAAAACAAATCCTATGCTTACAAGGGGCTTTAAATCTACCCTACCTCTTCCTAAGAGATTAGAGGGCTTTTCCCCCTCTCTCCAACTTTGTGTCCATTCTAAACCATGCAGCGAAAGCAGTAGTAAAACCAAGGTTAGATCAGAGACTGGACAGGCCTAAATGCTTGCCCATTTCCCCTTTTGGCTTTAGAACGAGATCTTCCCATGAAAGTGTGTGTTGTTCTTCCAGCTATACAGGGCCTATGTTGCTTTTCCTGACTTCCTGCACTCCAGCACATCTGCATGGTGGAAGAAAGAGATAGAGGAGCTCTATTCAAATCCTCGGGAGCCAGGGAAGAGCTTGAAGTTTGATGGGCTGTGGATCGTAAGTGCACTTTTAATTCTTTGGACATGTGAGCAGTCAGAACTCAGGAAAATAGTTTACAAACTAATGGAATAGGCAGCTAGGACTAGATAGCCAGCTGAAAGGAAGAGAATTCAGTGTCTAGAACTAGGAATAGCAGAGATTATTGTCGGCCTTCCCAGGGACACGTCTGGTAGAGGAGTCCATTGAGGAAGTGTGTCAGCTGCTGAAGATGCTAATACAAGAGCAACAGGGATGCCAATGCATGGGCAACAGGGAGGAACATCCTGGTATCTCTTATTTCCAAACGGTCAGGCTCTTGACTTTGTTTCCCAGCTATCAAGGCCACTCTGAAGCCTACAAGTACATCCAGCAAGACAGGGCAGACCTGGGAATGGACAAAGCATGAACTTGGGAGCCAAAAAGACATTCACTATTGGACTAGTATAGACAACTACTCTGAAGGAATGTCTTTAAAAGCTTGTTCTAATGTGTGTTGCACAGGTTTTCTGGGCAGGGATTCTTGGGATGTTTCTGGGAAAAGTCTCTAAAGGACTCCTCCATTTGCATGTTCCTAGGGGTGGGAAGCACATTCATTAGTGTCATGATTTCCTCCCCCACATGTAGTCCCCTGAAATCCTAAGCAAGTTTCAGTCCAGCTCTGAAGAGCTGCCAGACCCTGGGTCAGAGTAGAAGAAGCTCACAGTTCACACAGAGAGTCCATGGCTGCTTTTTGGCCTCACTGGCTACTTGAACCTTCAGGCCACACAAGCATATTGTAGATTTGTGGAAAAGCACAAGTTAATCCAAATGGATAAGTCAAACAGTGAAGAAATGTAGGCAGCGTTGAAGAAGAGATTCTGAAAACTATGAGATGTTTGTTCTACAGAAAGAAAACTGTTGTTGGGTAACAGAACAATTTATAGTTAGTCTCAAATGCTTGCTGTTGCTTGTAGTCTTACTTAAGATTATCTTATTTAAGATAGACCAATTTTATTTTTATCCTGCTGGCAGACAATGAACATTGTCCCTCAGGGCCTCTTCTGCTTCCACTTGAGCTATACATCCTGTGATGTAAGGTTTTATTTCCAGCCTTGTTTCTAAGTTACTACAACTGCTCAGAGTATATTCAGCCTATGTCAGCCCCAGAATAATTTCTAGGTTAGGGCCATAAGAAAAGGTAGAGGAAGATCATAATGGCTACTGACTATAGATACAAAGTAAATACTCTATGATACCTCAGTGTTTTCGCTATGCTTTTTTTTTTTTTTTAAGTTTGAAAAGGCCAGGTAAACGGGAAGGAGTTTTCACTCCACCAAGCTGACGTGGGTTTTTAGATTCCATTTTGATCCATGTCAAGCATAAAGAGGGTTAAAGTTCATTTCTTTGAGGTTAGTGTTTCATGTAGAAATGACATACTACCCCTGACTTGACTGAATCTTTTCTTTGCTTGCTTACTTTAGGATATGAATGAGCCTTCAAACTTCGTGGATGGATCTGTCAATGGCTGCCGCAATGAAATTCTCAATAAACCACCCTATATGCCATGTATGAGTTCTTTCCTGCTCAAGATCCTCTTTCTTTTTATTCTCACATAAAGCCAAAAGTTTTGGAGTGGAGGGTTAAACATACTCTCAACATGGCATAAAATCCACAAATAGAACATCTTTGAATGTATTCAAATTACTAAGTTAGTAATTAAGTATAAAAATAATGACATGTGTTATAAAAAAAGCTAAGCAATACACTTGATTGCATTGATGGCTATGAATTTGTTGCCAAAGTTGTAAATACACCCCTCTATGTGCAGGTGTACCTCCCAATACACAGGTTCATTTGATTAGAGTATGAAAATCTAGTCCCCAGACTTTCTACCCATGTTCAAACACTTCATGAAAGATGCTCTTTGTACTAACTGCACCAGAAACTGGAGTAAGAGGCTGTGGACAAAGACATCTCAGAATATTGAGTCCTCTCACCACAAAGAAGCCCAAGGAATGAAGCTCCTATAAACAGTTCATCAGCAACTAGAATTTAGGTCTTTTAATGTTAGTTTATTGGTCACATCTCCTTCTCCTCCATCCTTCCATCCGTCTGTCCGTCCATCCATCCATCCATCCATCCATCCATCCATCCACCCACCCACCCACCCACCCATCCATCCATCCATCTACCCACCCACCCACTTACTCCTCTCTCCTTTAATTTAATATTTTTCAGTAAAGTGCTGACAAGTCAGAAAGATTCAGAAACATCAATATAGAATTAATTTGCACAAGATCTATTTATTCCCTTGAGAACATTACCATCTAGTGGAAGAAACATTCCTAACAACAAAAGAGTTTGTCATGGTAAAAAATCAGCTGGCACATTGAGTTAGACTCGGGAGGCATGAGTTTGAGGCCAGCCTGGTCTACAAAGCGAGTTCCTGGAAAGGTGCAAAGCTACACAGAGAAACCGTGTCTCGAAAATCCAAAAAAAAAAAAAGATGTTTCATAGAGCCTGCATATTCTTCTTAGCCTTAATTATGAAATTACAGGATGTTGCTTTTCTATATTAAAAATTTCAAGTAATTAGACTTGGTATGATAGACATGCCAATATATAAATCAAGATGTTTGGAAATTAACTCAGTATTTCCCCTCAGATTTGGAAGGCAGGGACAGAGGCCTGAGCAGCAACACACTGTGCATGGAGAGTGAGCAGATCCTTCCAGATGGCTCCCGGGTTCAGCACTATGATGTGCATAGCCTTTATGGGTGGTCCCAGACCAGACCCACCTATGAGTAAGTATGCTTTGGTTACTGTTAGCAAAGATGAAGGCTGGCATGGGGAATTAAGGTATACTTGTGGAAATGGCATGCAGGAGGCCTTGGTGGGTTGGGCCAAGGTACTCCAGTGGGTGAGGGAGACACAACATGCAGATTCGGAGGCGAGCTGTGGCGTGGAGCTGCAGAAAGTTACTCACACCATGCAGATACTGCATGCACGTGGAAAGTTTTATAAAGGGAGAAAGGAGAGAGGAGAAAGGGGAGAGAGAGATAGAAATAGAAAGAGAGGGGGAAGCTGTGGAAAGTTACTCACACCATGCAGACACAGCATCCACATGTAAAGTTTTATTATTAAAGGGGGGGGGGAGAGAAAGAAGGAGATGCAGGCTACCTCTGGTGAGAGGGGACGGGGGGGGGGGGGGGGGAGGGAGGAGTTTTTTATTAAAGGAAACTTTATATATGATGACGTCAGGATGCTGGGCGTGTCCCCAAGGGGCGGTTCAGAATACTACCAATATTTTCTCTATGAGCACAGTTTATAATCTTGTTTGTGAGATTCCTAGATATTTCAGGTTCACATATGGGGAAGCAATGAGGTTCTTCTATTCAGAGGTCATATGTGCTTAGGCCATTAGGTTGGCCCTTTGCTATCTTATCATCTTATTTAAAATACTTCTATATAAAAGGAATAATGCCTCTAAGCAAATTTTGTTAACTGGACTGGAAGTTTTGACTCTCATCCAAGTTAGGCACCTTTCCCATCTGGTGTCCCTATAATTTAGTAATATGGCAGGCCATATTTTTCTTTAGTAAGACATGCTTTCTTTTTGTTCTTTGAATATATTTATAATATCTTGTGTAAACCCCTTCTCTACCAAGTCCCTTCAGCAACATTTTCTATTGGTTACTTTTTTCTTATGTATCTTTCATTTTTTTGTTCTAATTTTTGCATGATTTGTTTGTTGTTATTGTTGAATATTAGACATTTCTAATAATAAATTATAGCTCTCCCACTATCCATAGGGTTGGCTGCTCTTTCTGTTCTTATTTGATCAGCAATTTTTCTGGATTCTGTAACCATTTATTTCCCTCCCTTTCCCTCCCTTCCCTCCCTTTCTCAAAGGAAAAGTACTTCTCTGGTCTTTGAGGGAGGAGGTGATTCTCCTTGACTGAACCAAGCCTTGTTGAAAACTGGCTCCTAGGGTGGACCCACTACCTTCCTTGATTGCATACAAAGGGATACATTTGGCCTTGAGGAAGACAATCTTGATTCTAAATTCCACACAACCAGCTTTTAAAAAATGATTTGCAAGCCGGGCGGTGGTGGCGCATACCTTTAATCCCAGCACTTGGGAGGCAGAGGCAGGTGGATCTTTGTGAGTTCGAGGCCAGCCTGGTCTACAGAGAGAGATCCAGGAAAGGTGCAAAGCTACACAGAGAAACCCTGTCTCGAAAAATCAAAAAAAAAAAAAATGATTTGCATCTTAAAGGGGCAGAGAAGGAATTCTTAATGTCGGCTTAAAAAAAAAGAGAGAGAGAGAGAGAGAGACTACGCCAAGAAAGTTAGTTCAAAGGCTTAGAGTCTGGAAGGTGACTGTCTTAATGAAGCACACTCCAGTCACAATGGATGCCTGGCCTCTTAAGTCCTTTATTGCTTGGAAAGGTGAAAAAGAAAATGCTTGCCTATTTAAGGGACAAAAGGACAGCCTTCCTTTTCATTTTAGCCTTCTTTCATGGTTCTTGTCTGGGAATGTCCTGGAACCTGGGCCTGCACAATGTTTAAGATACCCGTTAATATGCATTCCTTTTATGAAGTTCTGTGTGAGTCTAATCCTCAAAAATTACTTTTAAAATTGAGCCAAATGTTTTACCTAAGCTGAAATCACAGCCTTAGCACCCATGAGGGTGCCTGCCAGCAGAGTGTTGAAATTTTGGCAACTAATTATTTTTGTTGTTGTTGTTGTTGTTTTTTCGAGACAGGGTTTCTCTGTGTAGTTTTGGTGCCTGTCCTGGGTCTCATTCTGTAGACCAGACTGGCCTCGAACTCACAGAGATCCGCCTGCCTCTGCCTCCCGAGTGCTGGGATTAAAGGTGTACACCACCACTGCCCAGCCTGGCAACTAATTCTTTAGAGGCAGGAATTTTTTCTCAATCTTGAGCTGAGGTTTGAGTCATGGAACCCTCAGAATAGACATTGTCTAGAGGACTGAAGTATTTGGGGGAGAATACTTTTAACAGATCAGAAGGGGGTTCAGATTTCTTAGTTTACTGTGAAACTGCTGGCCCTTTGCTGACAAAATGGCAGGGAATGGGCTGAGGTGGGAGAAGCCTTAAGGGAAAGTGTTATAAACCTCACTGTCTCGACAAGATTTGTTTCTCTTAGGAAGATGATTTTTATCCTTTATTGACCAGTGGCTCCTGAGTTCTGAAATGCTTGCTTTCAGCAGTTCTGCCTGTATAGTTTATTGCTTTCTTGAAGAAAATGTTCGTAGATGTCCTCTTTCACCTTTCAGACTTTGGTCTAAGATTTTTCTATAAACATTCATATATATATGAATACGAATGTCTCATTTATATATATATATAATATGTATTTATCAATATATCAATAAGAACCTCTTTCATGCAGGAAACTCCCCTGCAATCTAAGTGCAGCGGTGATGGCATCATCCCCACCTCCCAGAGTCATGAAAAACTCCAGATTGTTCAGTTTTGTTTTTGTTTTTGTTTGTTTGTTTACAGGGCAAAATGGTATTTTCAACTCTCACACTCATTTCTATTCAAAGGCTCTGGTCCTCAGCCCTCATTTTGTCTTCTCAGGGCTTAGAGGAATATATTGTGTTTTGCCATGAGCTATTGGCAGGTTAAGGTGATGCACACTGATACCATGGTTTTCCCAGAAAAATTCTTGTCATCTTTTCTGCTTTCTTTGTCATTTTTCAGTGTTCTTTCATTTTGCCACTTCATTTATACAGCCCCAGGTTCCTCTCATCAGATATAAAAGTTTGGGATCACAAAGAGAGAGAGACCACTACTCCAGCTGAAGTGTTAGGACAAGGCACAACTTTACTCTTGATCTAAAGGGTGTGCTCAGCAAAGTGAGCACACTGGGGCGGTGTGTAAACTGATGACATGACAGCTCTGTGGTATGGTTAAGGGAACATCTTTATTGTAGATATGAGAGAGAACAGCCGGAGGCATCTGGAAGAGTCCGGAGCAGAGAGAAAAGCAGACTGGACATAGCCGCTTCTAGAGAGGCAGGAGAGAATGGTGGGGATAACAAGAAATAGAGCATAGCAGGAGAGGCTAGAACGTGAGAGAACAGAGACAATAGTCAGAATAGCTGGGTTTTAAGAAGGATGAGTAGCTGGGAGGAGGGAAGGGCCAGGAGACTGGTGTGGGGGCTTTGATATGTATAACAATACTTTTGAGTGGGCACAGAGGGATCCTGGAGGCTAGAATGGACCTTGCTAAGCTGTTGGTGCCACAGGTATTTGTTAATGGGAGAGCCATACGTCCCTTTGCCAGAGGTAAGGAAATGACTCCTTTTAGTAGAGGGGAACCAGTTTCACAAGTTTCTGAGGAATTCTGACTTTTAACCAACTGCTAGAAATCATCTGATAGTCCAGTTTGAGCACATTTCTGGATATTTAGATGGCATTTTGGAGTTTGGGGAATTGGAGTTTCCTTTGGAATTGACAAGTAGTAAGTATACTTGGTTTTTATTCTAACTCAGGTGTTAACTATGTCTTTTCTCATTGGTTGTGGTCCAACCTCACAGTCTTTCATGATTGGCTAATCAAGACAAAAAAACGTAGCCCCAAAGGAAATGAAGGGAAGGGGAAAGAGGTGGTCTACCTAAGTTCCAAGAATGCAGGGGGGCATTTGTGTAAAGCAAGGTGTTACTGGGGGTAGGGTGGGGAGGGGATTGAAACACTTGCGTAAAAGTCTTACAAGGAGGGGGACTTCAATTCTTTGTCACAAACACCTCTTTACAGTGTTCTGTAAGATAAGATTAATATTTAATATTTCTTGCACTCTGTCCAAGCAGAAACTGGTTCTTCCAGAAAATAAGCTTTTCTTCCTATGAAATAAGAAAACAGGTATTTTATATCCTCAAGTGTAACCTTACCTCAGACCTCCAGGAGGATAAATGGGAGTGAACCCCTTACTGTCAAGGAGCCCCTCCTGTTTGAAAGAGCCAAACAACCAGAAGGAAAAGTATAACTAATAAACAATCCAGGAAGACTTCATGGAAGAAGTGGCAGTTGAGTGTTTCTTAGAAGAGCAGGATTTTCTCTTGTCAGAGAAGGGGTTTGCAAAGCTCAGACTGCAGCACAGAGAAGACGTGAGCCATTGCTTTAGTTTCTGACTGAACCTTCTTGCCAACTCCTCCTCTCTCCTCCAGGAAGCTTTATTGGTCACAGATCCCATCAACTCCATCTCCTCCCTCAGGGAAGCTCAATCTATAAATGATCTTTCAGAAATGTAGCAGGCTTTCTTCATGACACATAGACTTATTAATTATGAGTGCTTGGCCTTAGATTAGGCTTGTTTCTAGCTAGTTTTTTTAAAAAAAATTGAATTAATCCATTCCTATTAATCTATGTGCTGCCCAGGGCTCATTTACTTCATATACCTACTGTCCACCCTGCTTTCCTGCTTCCTCTGTGTCTGTGGCTGACCCCCAAGTAGCTGGCCCTGGCTGGCTGGCTGGCTCCCCTTTTCTCTCTGCCCACCAGCCCTGCCTATCCCTACTCTGCCTACCTATTGGCCATTCAGCTTTTAATTAGACCAATCAGGTACCTTAGGCAGGCAAAGTAAAACAGCAACACATCTTTACATAGTTAAAAAAAACTCAGCATAAAAACAGATGCAACACATCTTTACTTAGTTAAACGAATATTCTATTCCACAGCACAGGGTAGCTTGTTCCTCTGTGAATGGCTTTTGCTTCCTTCCTTTCTGTTTGTTCTGTTGATTTAGAATTTGGGCCTTGGTTTTTAGACTGGTGGTTCCCAGTCATAATGCCGGTTCCTAGTTAGCCACCGCCACAGCACCTCCTGGGTTGTAATTGCCATTAAATGACAAAACGAATCCACAGATGTTTGAAGCACTGTGAGCACTTAGCAGTGTTTCTTTTCTTCTAACCGTTTCATCAGCACTGGAACCTGAACTGCTCTTGCAGACCTTGACCAACATCCTCCTCAAACTGTCAAATCCCTTTAATATTCATAATTGTGTGTGTGTGTGTGTGTGTGTGTGTGTGTGTGTGTGTGTGTGTGTGTGTGTTTACCTTTTAATAGCTTGGGAGACTATACTCTTAAACCTCCATGGTTCTCATACACCTTAATGTTTCCTGCTTTATCAGTCACCTATGCTGGCCATACAGACTCTGTCTGGGCTGACCTCTCAGCACATACACTAAAACCCAGCTGAAACCTACTTCCTCCATAAAAACTTTTTAGCCCAGTCTATCACTTCTATTCACTCCATTCTCTTACCTGGTGACCTTACGGAATAACCCAGAGTTTGGTGGTTCTGTACGTCTAAGGGCAAGAATCATGTTTTGCCTCTTTTGAAATTAAATTAATTTATTTGTATGTGTGTGTTTGAGAGAGAGGAGAGAAAACAGGTACACATGTGCCATGGTACAGTGTCTTTGGACTTTTTTTTGTGTGTGAAAATACCTTCCTTTGTCAGGCTCCCAGTACATTTGTGGACCAGAGATCTTTCAGTAAGGGAGTGTTCATTTGTGTCTCCTGATGTGTGATGCTTTCTTTAGCAAACCTTTGTGTTGAAAACACACTAGTCCTGGCTACGTGTGTGACTATAGATAAAAAAAACCATGTTTATTTAACTGTCTAAATATATACCTTTTACACCTGTGTTCCTGTGAGCACAAAACATACTCTGCATTCTAAAGTATAGTGGAGTATGTTAATAATATCCCAAAGCATATATACCATAATTCAGATCCCAGGTATATCTATGTATTCCTTGAATGATCCTTGGTAACTGTGCTGGGTTTCCTAGCAGTGATAGGAACTCAAGAAAAACCCCCATTGTAGAGACTGTGCAACGATATGTGTGGAATTGATTGATTTGTTCCTGGGTATGGAATTTGTTTCTTAAATACTTGTTTTACCAATCTCTCCAGCCCCTCCTCTGACCTCCACATATAACTTGCTAATTGGGCCTCTTATGAATAAGATCCTCTACCAGAAAACCTACAGAATCAACTAACCTGGGTTCTTAGGGGCCCACAGAGACTGAGCCAACAATGAGGGAGCCTGCCTGGGTCTAACCTAGGCCCTCTGCATATATGTTATGGTTTTGTAGCTTGATCTTCTTGTAAGATTCCTAACAGTGGGAGCAGGGGCTATCTCTGACTGTTTTGCCTGCTTTGGGGACCATATTCTTCCTACTGGGTTGCCTTCTCCAGCCTTAATACAAGGGGAGATGCCTAGTCTTATTACAACCTGATATGCCGTGTTTGGTGATATCCCTGGGTGGCCTTGCCCTTTTCTGAAGGAAAACTGAGGAAGAGTGGATGGGGGTGAGGAGGGACTAACAGGAGAAAAGGGTGAGGGAACTATCACTGGGATATAATATATGAGAGAAGAATAAATTGAAAAAATTTAAAAAAGAGAGTAAGCTTCTCACTTTAGGTGCAGGAATATTTCTTGTGCCCTGCTGTGAGGTTGTCTGGGACTCTTGTCATGACTTTTAGCTTCTTTCCTGGAAGAAGTTCTCTGACTCTTAGGGCAACTGCTCTCCTGCCTCATGCACAGAGCTGCAGCCACCAGCCACTCTCTGTCATGAAATTCCATGGCTGTCCTCTTCAAATTCACCTCCTTGTTTCCCTGACCAGAGCTGTGCAGGAGGCGACAGGAGAGAGAGGGGTCGTCATCACCCGCTCCACATTCCCCTCTTCTGGACGCTGGGCAGGACACTGGCTGGGAGACAACACAGCTGCCTGGGACCAGCTGGGGAAATCCATCATTGGTGTGTGGTTCTTCCTAGGGGCCTTTGTTGGTGGTGGGAGTGGAACTGTAGTGTGTCCAATGTGGGTATACTATGTATATTTAGATTGGCATCTGGGTGGCAGTGAAGTCAATAAAAGTTGACTGTTCTGCCAGTGTGAGTTTTAGCTTATACCCATCTCTCAATATATTCAGCAGGAATTGCCCAGGGCTGTTAATGAAGTAAAGGAAGAGGCAGGTTGAGCTTCCTCTCTCCTACCTAAGGATTGTCTTCATTTAACATGGCCATTGTGTCCTATTGCAGGCATGATGGAGTTCAGTCTCTTTGGAATACCTTATGTAAGTCATATCAGAACTGCTGCACCTTGCCCAGATTTCAGTGTATGTGTGTCTGTCTTGAAAGAATACCCAGCTGATACTCGATTTTACTCCTTCTCAGACAGGAGCAGATATCTGTGGGTTCTTTGGAGATGCTGAGTTTGAGATGTGTATCCGCTGGATGCAACTGGGTGCATTTTATCCATTTTCCAGGAACCACAACAATGCTGGGACTAGGGTGAGCCAGCCATTGTTCGTGCTGCAGCTGTATTATCCAATGTCAAATCACAGCTTATATCAAAATTGCAGGGGTGTCATTCTTATTTCCTGACAAATCATGAAGACCACCAGGATATCCATGTTTTAGAATATCCACAAAGTTCAAAACTCCAAGGTTATCAATAACTCTTAATAGTACAAGTTTTCTCACCTCTTGGAGGCATTTTTGCCAAGAAAAGTTATTTTTCTAGCTACCGCATTGAACTACAATATGACATGTTCCTTTGCTTGACAGAATATTAAGTTGGTATTTTACTCAAACCATCTTTGCTAAGTCAGCACTACATAGGGATCTATTGATAAAGCTTCACATACACACAAAGTCAAAGCTAGACTGTGCGAGGGACCTGAGAATTGGAGATAACGAGGAACAACATCTACACTAGTTTTGTAGGTGACAGAGGGAGCAGAAAGGAGTAGGCTGGAAATGGCGAGGGAAGTGACATGTGACTTACTCACATAGTAAGTGTCCAGCCATCCTCTTCTGAGATCCCTGGGGTGCAGTGAAGAAGAGCTTACCATATGCTCACTCACCCCTCCAGAGACAAGATCCCGTGGCCTGGAATTCAACCTTTGAGGAGTACTCAAGGAAAGTACTGGAGACCAGGTACTCCCTGCTGCCGTATCTGTACACCCTGATGCACAAAGCTCACACTGAGGGCAGCACCGTCATTCGAGCGCTTCTCCACGAGTGAGTGTTGCCTCTTTCCCCAAACAGTGAGTCTACGCTCATTTGTGAAAACACGTCACAATGGTTGTAAGCCTAGGGATGAGTTTTTTCATTTTGGATTTTTCAGGTTCATAGATGACAATAAAACCTGGGATATAGACCAACAGTTCATGTTGGGCCCTGCTCTCCTGATCAGCCCCGTTCTGAAGAGTGTGAGTTTCTCTTCATAGACCAGATGCCTTCCAACCACATGATCCAAAGCCACAGTGAAAAAAAATACTTTATTTAAAACTAAAAGAAAATATTGAGCTTGTCTGTGTGTGCACATGTATAGATAATAGAAGACAACATTTAGGACTGAATTCTTTCCTCCTACCACTTGGCCTTAAGGAATCAAACTCGAGTTTTTGGGGTTGGTGGCAGATGCTTCTACCCACTGAGACAACCTCACTAGCCCAGGGAAAAAACATTTTAAACATTTCCCTGTCTTGCTTATTTCATTATTTTCAAGTAGATAACTTTCAACAACATCAAAAGGAGATCTTTGCCCCCAAGATATTAATGAAAGCTTTTCAACACTGATTTCTCATTTGGGAATTCTGTGATCCACTGCTTTTATAATTTCATTAATTGAAACATTTTTTCTATATATTTGAGGAGTTTTCAAAGTGTATTCATTAAGATTTCTCAAATTCTTGACATCACTAATAAAATTCCATCTTAATCTTAATTCTATAGGAAGTGTTTTAAAGATCAACATTGCTTCCCAGTTGGGATATTTATAGTATCATACTGATTTTATGTTTCAGAACACATTTGAGATATCTGCTTATTTCCCCAGAGCCCGGTGGTATGACCATAGCACGGTGAGTTATAATTATTTTAGGAGGAATCAGATGGCTCTGTGCAGGCTAGAGAGGTGGCTAAAACTTTCTCCTTACTTCCCAGACCAGAAACAATTCTACCCTAGCCAGATCTGTATAAATTGAGGTCTGTATTAAGGCACAGGAAACATCTGAACACTTCTTTCTCCTGTTGTCCACCCTATACCTTCTCTAGACTTACATAGAAAACACTAGGTTTTCAAAGGTTTAAGCAAAAATGAAAATAGATTTTTTTTCTCATTTTTATAGTGCTTTGCTGATCTTCCAACATGCTCCCTTAGTAAGGAAGAATTTGTAGTAAAATATGTAACTCATTTATTGGTTTTTCCTGTCAGCATTTCTCATCTATGTTTTCTTCCAGGGATCTGGCCAAGAATCAATAGGTGAATGGAAAACATTGGCAGCTCCTCTGGACCACATCAACCTTCATGTCAGAGGAGGCTACATCCTGCCTTGGCAAGAGCCTGCAATGAACACTCACTACAGGTATGATGAAGCAGTGTTTGGTGACCTGGCCCTTTACCAGGACATATGGATAAATAAACAAATTGCATAGAAACTAGATTGCAGAGTTTCATTGGTTGGCTTCTATGGGTGCCTTCTGATAGGATCTAGAGGAAGACAAGTTCATGAAGCCATTCCCTGGGAGATCTTTCACCTGTGGTCTTGTGTCAATAGCACAATTCTCCTAAGCAAAACTTCTCTTGAGAATCGAAACCTATGTTTCTCCTCATGTTATTGAAAAGGGGGGATATTAACAAGCTCCTTCACTTGCAGTGGTTGCACAGGAATATAGCATCAATTCCCAGGTACTTTTGGTGAACTCAGAAAGAGATTGCACAACACACACACACACACACACACACACACACACACACACACACACACACACACACTCATTAGGAAAACATGTCAAAAGCATATAAAAATGGCTCAGAAGAGCAGTCTCCTCTCAGTCTGTGATGAAAGACATGATTTTACCAGAACAGACCCAGAGATGGCTCTTTATAATAAATAAGATTTGTGAATTTGCATGTGTGAAGACAAAGAGAGATATTCTGGGAGTATTAAAGAAATAAAGGTGAAAATAAGTTGGGTACATAAAATTGAAACAGTTAACTCATGGAAGGCTGTGAATGGTATCACCAGTAGTTTGGGTTTTATTCCTTGGTACCTGAAAGCTGTTGAAGTTTTAATTTTCTGGGATTTTCATACTAAGGAATTGATGTCACACCATTGTACTACTGCAGCAGGTATGTTGGAAAGTGTGCCTATTTGAGTTGTGAAAATTGAAGTTGACAAATGTTTCATTAAACTTTAAATGATATTCTGTTGACTTGTATCTTATATTTTAATCTCACTCTATTTTTGTCATTTTATGTACATATTTAATACCTGGAGCTTTGAGTTTTATTTCTGGAGTTCTTTGTTCTTACAGCCTACAGCCAATTAAAACATAATGATTTTTTTTATATAGTCGACAAAATTTTGTGGGATTGACTGTTGCTTTGGATGATAAAGGGAAGGCTGAAGGTCAGATGTTTTGGGATGATGGACAAAGCATGGGTGAGTATGAACCCCCAGAGAGCCTGTATGTCACTCAGAGCACTCTGTCATAGAAGCTCACCATGTGCTGGTGGCACCCAAAAATCTGTGTTGTCTATTTCCAATAAGATAGTGGTGTTGGGGAAACTTTGGCTAGCTCATATATATTCTACTGCAAGTTATTGTAGACCAGGTATGGTTCCCCAGTCTTGGAAATTTCATGAGCCTGACATGATGGATTCAGCCAGTATCCTCACAGAACTATCTCACTCTGATAAAATAGTATAGATGGAGATATCAGGCTGATCATGAAGTCATCCTTATGGGGCAGGGTCATAGCTCTACTCAGGTCAGCCAACAATATCAGGCATCTTTCCCCTCATAAGTAGGGACACTCAGAAGACTCTTGGTGACACGTAAATTGAGAATTATGAATTGCCAGGATGCTTAATACTTGGTATGTTTTCTGTCTTCAAGCTGGGTTTTCACTCATTCTATTGTAGATAACTGCCACCCATCATTATCATCAGAGCACCCTCTTGCTCAGACATTTCTAAAGAATACTGGCATGCTGCTTTTAACCTGTTCTCACTTTTATTACTATTATCGTGGACTGAAACATTTTGATTTTGCAAAATGCCATACTTTCTGAAATTGTAGCCCATTTTCCTTCACTAATATACCTAAGGCTTTCTTCCTTTTGGTTTTCTTCACTCTCATTGAAGTGTGAAATACTCACAAAAGCTTTAAGGGTACAAAATTAGAAAAAATACAACCACATTTAGGTGTATTGCTGTATTGTCTTTTGTTTTTCTGTTGTTATATACCTAGGAAAATGCTTGATTTTTATATAGCTGAAAACATGGCAATTTTGTAAATTTAGTTTCTTTTTACTGAATGAAATAACAGACACATGGCTGGATATTAACATGTTCTTCTTGTAAACATCATTACTATGACCATATCTCATGAAGAAGATATTGTAAAGTTTATCTAACTGTAATTGTTCTCTCAATATATGATGTTAATTTTCATTGTTATAAATTGTATTTTGAGTATTAGCTTTATTTGCATTTTATATTGTTTTCCAGAGTATATGATCTTAGCTGAAATTTACATAAAAGTATCCATTTAAGAATATAGTTCTTTGAATTTTTTATTAAAAAATTTAAATTAAAATATAATTATATCACTTCCTCCCTTTGTTTCTTCCCTCTAACCCCTCCAATATCCTCTTCTTCATTCTCTTTCAAATTAATGGCCTCCTTTTCCTTTATTATTGTTGTTTTGCACACACACACACACACACACACACACACACACACACACACACACACAAATTTATAAACACCTAAACAGAATCCAGTGAGTCTGTTTCTCATGGCTTGTGTGTATGTGACTTCAAGGCTGTCCACTTCGTATTATACAGCCAATTAGTGGGCTCATCCCTAGAAGAATCTATTTTTTCAGATCTCAGCAGGCATTAGTAGCCTGTGCTTTTTGTCTAGGGATGGTACTTCATGAGATTTCCCTTTCTGTGTTAGATAGTATATTGGTGTTAACATTGTTTAAATCTTGTTGAAGCAGCCTTGTTGAAATAGCCATATTTTTAGGTATCTTGGGCATAGCTTCTTTTTGGTTCTAGGAGAAACAATCTCACAGCAGATTTTTTTTTTTAATCTGGCACCTACAATCTTCCTGCCCCCTCTTCCAGATGTTATCTAAGAAGCTGCATTGTAGATGTAGGTTGAGGTTGGGCTACCCATGCGACATTGGTCTCTGCTTTATGACCATTTGTGGGTTTTTTCTTTTTCTTTTTTCCTTTGTTATGGTGTCTGTTTGCTGTAAAAAGAAGCTTCATTGGTGAGGGTTGTGAACTACATTTATCTGTGGGTGTAAGGATAGATTTTAGTATGCAATTAGGAATTACGCTGATACAGTAAAGTGATGGTAGTAGGTTCTCCTCTAAAATCCATGAACTCATTAGGCCCAGGTAGTTGTCTAGGTTTCTAGTACCAGGTATAATTTCCAGCCTATTGAGCGAACCTTAAGTCTAATTGGACAGCAGCTGCTTGCCACCAAGCTATGAGTGCCACTTTTGTACCTTTAGGGATATCTTGTCATACTGGCCATTGTTCTAGTTCCTAGATGTCACAACTGGATAGGAATATTGATTGCTCCCCTCCCTTGATAGTTCACTTAGTACTTATCGGTGCTATGAAGGCTAGATCATGGGAAGGAGACTTTCAAATCTTTTGAGTCCTATGTCCAAAGTATGCAGTGTCTTCAGAAATAGGGATTTGCCTTTAGCCTCTGAGAAACAACCAAGGGCAATAGCAACAGTCTACTGTTAGACTACTCTGACTCAAGTGGGGGTTTCTCATTCTGGTACTGGGATTTTTGTCAAATAGTTGTGCTGTCTAGTTGATGTTCAGTTGACGCAAGACACAGTCATGTTAGAAGAGGGAACCTCAATTGAGATAATGCCCCCATGAGAATGGCTTGTGGGCAAGCCTGTAGTACATTTTCTTAATTAGTGTTTGATGGGGGAAGGCCCAGCCTATTGTAGGTAGTGGTCCTGGCTGTATAAGAAAGCATATGCCAGATAATAACCTGAAATGGAAAGTGGAAGAAAAAACAGTGGGAATTCAAAGCAAGCCTGGGCTACATATAAGTTCCAGGCTAGCCTGAGTTAGAGAATGAGAACCTTTCTAAAACAAAAGGAAACAAACAAACAAAACACAAAAGGAAAGTACTTGCTTATTATCTTTATTGCTTCTCAGGAAGATGAAGAATACCTTGTTAGTCATTGTGATCAGTTTTAGATATTTCAGACTCAACATGAGATTATATGCTACAACTGAAGCAGATAACGGTTTATTTTCTTCTTGTTTGCAGACACATATGAAAAGGGAAATTATTTCTTGGCTAACTTTATAGCAACACAGGTAAGATTACCTTATTGAGTTTATAAGTGATATTACCTACAGATTAGACATCACCTGCTGTCTGTATAAATATAACGTTTACATATTAAGAAGAAGTGCTTCCTGCTTTTACTTTTCTAATTTATGTTGTTGACAATGAAATAAGGAAGAAAATAGTCCTTATTTTACATTTATCCATAATACCATCACTATGTGGAAAGAAGTTTGGAACTCATGTTAACCTGGGGGAAAATGGATCCCTCAATATTCAGCTTATTTCTAGGGATAAGAAGCTTTCTGGCTCTTAAATTTTGAAGTGTAAATGTTATATAAATAATCCTATGTAATACTGCTGTATAGTTGATACTTCATAGCCTCATTGTCATGTGACAGCAAAAGTTTATTGAGATCATGAATTTATGGAGTTCAGGTGATCTTATCAACACTTAACTGACCTTGGCTGGAATATATATCTATATCTATCTATCTATCTATATCTATCTATCTATCTATCTATCTATCTATCTATCTATCTATTTCTCTCTCTCTCTCTCTCTCTCTCTCTCTCTCTCTCTCTATATATATATATATATATATATATATATATATATCTGTAGGTAGCCATCTGTCAGTTGCTCAGCTTGGATGAGCTTGATTATACTTACATAGCTGGTGGTCAGCTGACCTTATGACGTTTTCATGATTATGATATAGGATAAAGTGAAAGTTGAGGGGCTTGAGAGAGGGCTCAGTGGTTAAAAGTGCTTACTGCTTCTGCAGAAGAACCATGTTTGGTTCCTAGCACCACTTCAGGCAGGTCACACCCACCTGTAACTATAATTTCAGAGGATCCAATGTTTTTTGGCCTCTGAAGGCACTTGCGTGTACATAGTGCACATTAATTCACACAGGCACGCATACACATACATAAGTAAATAAGCACATCTTTAAAAATTAGAAGTGAAAATACCAAATTATTACATAAAAATTACATTTTTATCAAGTTGATAAATTTCTCATTAGCAAAGTAAAGCATACATGACCAAGACCAGAAGCAAAGGTGGGTCAGCATATCTCATTCAGAAAGGTAAAACTGTAAGAGTTACATGGGAAATGAAAATTATAGAGGAATAAATAAATTAGAGAAAACAATACTTTGCATGTTGGATTATTTCATTGACAATTTGTCTTTTTCTCTTGACAATTAAATAAATCATTCTATGTCAAGTCCAGAATTTGCTTATCACTCACCCATTGACTGAAAACATGGGCTACTGTAGCACAATTGATCACCTCTTTGTAACAGTGCTTCAAATGCTAGATGTCTGTTCAATACTCCTCTGTGCTCTCTTACTATTGAGTGTACCTCTGGGATAACTTGGCATTTTCCTTGTTTTGTGTTTATCTGGTTCCTAGATCTGATCACTCTGAGTGCTAGTTAATCTACATTTCTCTTAAAACACAGTGACTGGGATCAAGAGCATGATTGAGACTTCTGTGTTTCTTTTCATTTTTCTTTCTTTTTTTTCTTTTTGGTGAAATAGAATTTTTTTTATTGCGAATAGATTCTTCTCTTACACTATATATCCCAACCACAGTTTCCCATCTCTCCATTCCTCATAGCTCCGCTCTACCCCCAGATCCACTCCCTTCCATTTGCTTTTCAGAATAAAGCGGGCCTCCAAGAGACAATAGCCAAACAGGACAAAACAAGATGAAGACAAGGCCAAATCATATCATCATATCGAGGCTGGGCAAGGCAACCCAGTAGGAGGAAAAGAGTCCCAAGAGTAGGCAAAAGAATCAGAGACATACCTGCTCCCACTGTTAGGAGTCCCATAAAAATACCAAGCTAACAGTCATAATGTATATGCAGAGGACCTGGTGCAGACCCACTCAGGCCCTATGCTTGCTGCTTCAGTCTCTGTGAGCCCATATGAACCCTGCTTTGTTGATTCTGTGGGCCATGTTCTCTGGGTGTCCTTCATCCCCTCTGACTCCTACAGTCTTTCCTCCCCATCTTCTGTGGGGATCCAAGATCTCTGAGAGGAGAGACCTGATGGAGACCTCCAATTTAGACTCTCTCTCTTTATAATGTGTGGTTGTGGGTCTCTGCACCTATTCCTACCGGCTGCCTCTCTGATGATGACTGAACAAGGCACCGATCTATGAGTATAGCAGAATATCATTAGGAATCATTTCATTGATTTTATTTTTTTTAAGACCAGTCACATTTGGTTCTATTCTAGGAGTCTGGGCTATCCAGTCTCCAGTTTCTGGTCATTCAAGCAGTGCCAGGTATAGATTCCCTCTTGTGAAGTGGGCCTCAAGTTAAATCAGACACGGGTGGGCCACTCCCACATGTTCTGTGAGACCATTGCCCCAGCACATTGTACAGGCAGAACAGATTGAAGGTGGAGGGTTTTGAGGCTGGATTCGTGTCTACAGAGTACCTTTTCACACCAAAGAGACTAGAAAGTAGAGGTGAAGGCTTCTAGTTCACACCAGCTTGGACTCTCTATGGTCAATGAACTGAGTAGTTATCCTCAGCAATGGGACTCCACTGTCAGTTTTCAGAGGGTGAACTTCTGCCCTAGCATCAGTCTGGGTTATTTGGGGATTTCCATGGGACTTACTCATCCAACAACTCAACTGAATGTAACCCAGGTCTACCACTGGAAGCCTTGCCCAGCTACCAAAGATGGCCAGTTCAGATCCATATTCTCCATTACAAGGAATCCTTACTAGAATCACCCTCATAGATTCCAAGAAGTTTCCTCTGCACTAGGTTTCCACATTGCCCCACCCCTACCTGATTCCTCCTGCTCCCATCCCCTCATGCCTCAGCCCACCCATAGAATCTATTTCCTCTTCCCAGGGATATCCATCCTCCAATCCTCTTCTTTAGCTAACCTCTTTGGGTCTGTGACATGTAGCTTATCATTTACTTAATAGTTAATATCCACTTATAAGAGAATACATATTATATTTGTCTTTCTGGGTCCATGTTACTTCACTCAGGATGATTTCTTATAGTTCTATCCATTTGCCTGCACATTTCATATCTTGTGATGTCATTTTTAACAGCTTATTAATACTCCATTGTGTACATATACCATATTTTCTTTAACTGTTCTTCAGTTGAGGGACATCTAGGTTGTTTCCAGTTTCTGTATATCATGAGTAAAGCTGTAATAAACGTAGTCGAGCAAGTGCCCTTGTGGTAGGTTGGAGCATTCTTTGAGTATATGCCCAAGAGTGATATAGCTGAGTCTTAAGGTAGATCAATTCGCAATTTTCCAAGGAACTGCCATATTGATTTCCATAGTGGCTGTACAAGTTTGCACTCCTGACTCCTACTATGCAACATGGTAGCCACTGCTCATCTGTGGCTGTTGCACACTTGAAATGTGACTAGTCTAATTTGAAGTATTCAAATGCTATGTTTCAAGAAAGAGCCTAAAAGATCTCATGAGTATTCTTATAATGAATACATCCTGAACTACCTGTTTGATGTTTTTTTCTTTTAACAATAGTGTGTCTTTAAATAATGTCTAACTCCAAAGTTCAATTTCCTTGTTATTCTAAATTAATACTAATGAGTTCTTCTATGACATTTGATAGATTTTCCCACTCTAAAGATCAGTCTGTGATGAAAGGAACTTTCATCTTTCTCTGAGGACTAGGTAGTTATTACCTATGCCACAATGGTTGGTAAACTAGCTTGGTGGCAGGGTGGTGGTAGTGTATGCAGCATTTGTTCATTTCTGTAGTGTGAATATTTCTATTAAGTAGCTTTCAAAGTTGAAATAAATTTAATAATAAGCTCTCCTAAATCAATAAGATACAGTTTAAATATTTCCTTCAAGTTATATATTTTTTTCTTGATATATTTTTCTTCTTGGTTCTGCATGCCCAGTAAGTCACAAAATGTACTATTGCTTATTTATTTTTAATGAAATTTTTATGTGTATGTGTGTTTGAGAAGGTCAGAAGAAGGCATCAGATCCCTCAGAGCTGTAGTTATAGGTGTTTGTGAGCCTGACATGGGTGATAGGAATTGAATTTGGGTTCTCTGGAAGAGCAGCAAGTACTCTTAACCACTGATCCATCTCTCTAGCTCCATATTTATTTGTTTTGACATGGAATCTCATCCTTTCCTGCCCAAACTGATTTTGAACTTGCTGTATAGCCAGAAGGCCTTCAAAGTGTGATACTTCCTCCTTAGCCTCTCCAGGGCCTGGGATTACAGTCATTTACCATTGCATTTGACTCTGTTTGTTTTTAAAAATGTAATGGAATATTTTTATTTCTCTTTCTAATGTCGTCATCAGAATCAGGCCACATGCAGCTTTACTCTATTGTCTCTGTCTCCCTGATTTTTTTCCCCATAGAATTGTCATAACTTGGTCTTTCATCCAGTTCCATTTCTCTGTTTACTTAGAAACTGTTACACTAGTCCCATACATGTTGCCTGCAACTTTTAACTGCCTTAAGACTCCTGGAGTTCCATGCATTCATTAATGCTTTTTATGTATATTCTATTTCCACTGTTACTTTTCTTCAATTTCCTTAGCACCCATAGTATTTTTTGCTATGATTTTCATTTTGCTTTAATTATGTAACGTTGCATAATTTATCTCATTTTAACTTGTATTGATGTTTATATATAATACTTCAAGGTTTAGACAATTTATTGTGTTCTTTGCAAATGTTCTTAATTCAGTGACAGTTTACTATGCTTCTGTATTATACCAACATACCATTATTACACCCTATCCACGTCACTTAGCTCTGTGAAAATGAATGACTTCACCTCCTATTATCTCAATTTCCTCATCTGAAAAACAGAAAGAATGATACTTTATTATAAGAATTAGTAAGAGTACACCAAAAATAATTTCCAGAACATTTCTTGGTTCATACATCACCTTTGAGATTGTATTAGGATTTTCCAGTGGAACAGAACTGATAGAATCGACACACATACACACACACACACACACACACACACACACACACACACACACACACATACACACACACACACTCAATCACACAAAAACACACACACTCAGTCACACGCATATACACACACACACACACACACACACACACACACACACACACACACAAGAAGACACATATAAAGGGAATTTATTAGAGTGGCTTACAGGCTGTGTCCTGCCTAGACTAATAATGGCTATATCCTGACTGAAAAGCTGAGAATCTAGAAGTTGTTTGGTCCACAAAGCTAGATATCTCAGCTGCTTTTCAGTCTGTTAGAATCTCAAAGCAGTAAGTTTTAATACTAGTAAATGAATGCCACCTAAATAGGATAGATAAATTCGCCAGAGAGAATGAAGGCAAGCAGGAAAAAGAAAATAGTTTCCTTTTGGTTTTTATGTGGGCTGCCACTAGAAGATATGGGCCAGATTTAGGGTGGTTCTTCCCACTTCAAGTAAAACCCTTCACAGGTGTGTCCAGTGACTTGAGTTTTCATTGATTCTAGATATAGTTGGCAATTAAGATTATCCATACAGACATCATCAAATTTATCATTCATGGCTGGTACTTGGGAACTATGTCTTCATGAAATATTTAATAAAAAAAAATAGAAACAAGGACTGGAGAGATGGCTCAGCAATTAAGAGAACTTGACTGTTCTTTCAGAGGTCCTGAGTTCAATTCCCAGCAACCACATGGTGGCTCACAACCATCTATAATGGGATCAGATTTCTTCTTCTGGTGTGCATGAAGACAGAGCACTCATATGCTTAAATACATGAATAAATAAATCTTTAAAAACAGTACAATAAAAGTCATTAAAATATTTTCACATTGTAATATAGAACATAATTTACTGTCTATCACATGTGTGTTATATGTTTTATTCTTATGAATTATTTATAGGACACCTTGAAAATCCAGGTCATACATAATCAGTATCTGAGTAACTCAAATCCACTGAAAGTTGGATACATTAGAATCTGGGGTTTAAACTCCTCTTATGTGGCACACATCAGTCTTACCTACAACAACCAGCCATTTACTGAGAACAATTTCACAAGTGACCCCTACAATCAGGTATGTCTGAAAGGAATGTCATCATAAACTCACTTTATTATTCTACTAAATTTTCTCTGCTATTACTATCTCATATATGTGATATATATTAGAAGTGTTGTGCCTCCATGGAAATACGTTTCTGAAAAGTTGTGAGGACTGGATTGTAAAGTATACAACATTGGTGGTCTTCTGTTCCTAGTCTGGTATTGATGATCTGTAGTCTGATGATATCCTCTCTGTTGTGTTCACTAAGAATTTGATTGGCTTTGTGTCCATTGGGCTCCTAGGTTACCTAACAAAACACAGAAACATTTTTGCTCAGAGGCTAAAGACAAGGAATGGTTATGAAAGTCCCTCTCTCCTTCCTGCAGTATGCCCATCCCTGGGCAAATTAATGGTTCTTTGAAGTTTTAAGTTGGTGCTTAACTGTTACTATTATTAAGTAACTATGCTTCACTCATAGCCTAAGATATGCTTCTTTGACTAACAAAACAGAGTGCTGTAAATCCCAGACTATGAAAACTATTAAAGTGACAGCTTTGCCCCAAATGAAACAACCTTCTGCAAGATGGGTTGCTCATAGGACAGCAGCCTATGTAATCCTAACTTTAGAATCCAAATAGTAACTTCACACCATGGATTCATTATAAATGGATGCAGTAGCTCAAGCAGAATGGTTTAGAGAAGTGAAAATGGTTAGCCAGAGTTCCTGCTTCTAAATGGGGAAAACAGTGTCCCTACCAGGATTGGGAATTTGGAAAATGAGCATTCTGAGCAACCAAGTAGATTTTTCCCCCTGGGTCTTCTTAGTTACATATTTAGATACAATAATATGTTCCTTGGATTACTGGTTTCAAATTTACTCTGAAAGTATTGCTTCTAATTAACCTAGCTACAGAAAATGACCAAGTTCCATGTTGGGAAAACTCTATAGCATATTTAATGCCTATTATGTGCTAGGCACTATTAGGGGTGATAGTAATAAGGTCATGTAACCAGTCTTACATCAGGAAAGGAAAATGTCAATGACAAAACGACAAAACGAAGTAAATGTTAATTATAACCACAACTGTAAATATTTGAGAACAACAGAGCTTGGACATAAAAGAGTGTGAAAAAAGAATGTATGGCACTTGGTTACACACAGAACACCTCATCATGGTGATCTGAGACCAATAAAAACTGAAGGGATTTGTGTCATTTACTCTTTGGGAAAGAATGAATATGTATTTTATTTGCTAAGATAGAAGTTGAACAGTGACTTCAATATAAAGTTTGATAAGTTCTAATATATCAATGTAATCTTTTTTGGCAGAAACTAACAATTCAACTGACTGAAAAGAATATGAACTTAGAAGAGCTGACTGAGGTTATTTGGGTTTATGGAGATCCAGCACTTCCCACACCAATGACAACCAGTGTATTTCCCACAAGCTCTCACCCATCTGCAAATAGCACTGAAATAACTACACCTTTCCCTACAAGTCCTTCTACTGCTAACACTAGTGATGTGATTCCTTTCACAACAACTCCTGAAACAACCACTGTCCACAATACAGCTAACACCACATTTCCTGACATAACTACACCTTTCCCTACAAGTCCTTCTACTGCTAACACTAGTGATGTGATTCCTTTCACAACAACTCCTGAAACAACCACTGTTGACAATACAACTAACACCACATTTCCTGACATAACTACACCTTTCCCTACAAGTCCTGCTACTGCTAACACTAGTGATGTGATTCCATTCACAACCACAACTCCTGAAACAACCACTGTCCACAATACAACTAACACCACATTTCCTGACATAACTACACCTTTCCCTACAAGTCCTGCTACTGCTAACACTAGTGATGTGATTCCATTCACAACCACAACTCCTGAAACAACCACTGTCGACAATACAACTAACACCACATTTCCTGACATAACTACACCTTTCCCTACAAGTCCTGCTACTGCTAACACTAGTGATGTGATTCTATTCACAACAACAACTCCTGAAACAACTACTGTTGACAACACAACTAACACCACATTTCCTGACATAACTACACCTTTCCCTACAAGTCCTGCTACTGCTAACACTAGTGATGTGATTCCATTCACAACCACAACTCCTGAAACAACCACTGTCGACAATACAACTAACACCACATTTCCTGACATAACTACACCTTTCCCTACAAGTCCTGCTACTGCTAACACTAGTGATGTGATTCCATTCACAACAACAACACCTGAAACAACTACTGTTGACAACACAACTAACACCACATTTCCTGACATAACTACACCTTTCCCTACAAGTCCTGCTACGGCTAACACTAGTGATGTGATTCCTTCCACAACAACAACTCCTGAACCAAGTACAAACAGCACCACATTTCCTGACATAACTACATCTTTCCCTACAAGTCCTTCTACTGCTAACACTAGTGATGTGATTCCTTCCACAACAACAACTCCTGAACCAACTACTGTCAACAATACAACTAACACCATATTTCCCGACATAACTACACCTTTCCCTACAAGTCCTGCTACTGCTAACACTAGTGATGTGATTCCATTCACAACCACAACTCCTGAAACAACCACTGTCGACAATACAACTAACACCACATTTCCTGACATAACTACACCTTTCCCTACAAGTCCTGCTACTGCTAACACTAGTGATGTGATTCCTTCCACAACAACAACTCCTGAACCAAGTACAAACAGCACCACATTTCCTGACATAACTACATCTTTCCCTACAAGTCCTGCTACTGCTAACACTAGTGATGTGATTCCATTCACAACCACAACTCCTGAAACAACCACTGTCGACAATACAACTAACACCACATTTCCTGACATAACTACACCTTTCCCTACAAGTCCTGCTACTGCTAACACTAGTGATGTGATTCCATTCACAACAACAACTCCTGAAACAACTACTGTTGACAACACAACTAACACCACATTTCCTGACATAACTACACCTTTCCCTACAAGTCCTGCTACGGCTAACACTAGTGATGTGATTCCATTCACAACCACAACTCCTGAAACAACTACTGCTGACAATACAACTAACACCACATTTCCTGACATAACTACACCTTTCCCTACAAGTCCTGCTACTGCTAACACTAGTGATGTGATTCCATTCACAACAACAACTCTTGAACCAACTACTGTCCACAATACAACTAACACCACATTTCCTGACATAACTACACCTTTCCCTACAAGTCCTGCTACTGCTAACACTAGTGATGTGATTCCATTCACAACCACAACTCCTGAAACAACCACTGTCGACAATACAACTAACACCACATTTCCTGACATAACTACACCTTTCCCTACAAGTCCTGCTACCGCTAACACTAGTGATGTGATTCCATTCACAACAACAACTCCTGAAACAACTACTGTTGACAACACAACTAACACCACATTTCCTGACATAACTACACCTTTCCCTACAAGTCCTGCTACGGCTAACACTAGTGATGTGATTCCTTCCACAACAACAACTCCTGAACCAAGTACAAACAGCACCACATTTCCTGACATAACTACATCTTTCCCTACAAGTCCTTCTACTGCTAACACTAGTGATGTGATTCCTTCCACAACAACAACTCCTGAAACAACTACTGTCAACAATACAACTAACACCATATTTCCCGACATAACTACACCTTTCCCTACAAGTCCTGCTACTGCTAACACTAGTGATGTGATTCCATTCACAACCACAACTCCTGAAACACCCACTGTCCACAATACAACTAACACCACATTTCCTGACATAACTACACCTTTCCCTACAAGTCCTGCTACTGCTAACACTAGTGATGTGATTCCATTCACAACCACAACTCCTGAAACAACCACTGTTGACAACACAACTAACACCACATTTCCTGCTCTAGCTACAAATTTCCCTACCAGTCTTCCCACTGCTAACACTAGTGATGTGATTCCATTCACAACCACAACTCCTGAAACAACTACTGCTGACAATACAACTAACACCACATTTCCTGACATAACTACACCTTTCCCTACAAGTCCTGCTACTGCTAACACTAGTGATGTGATTCCATTCACAACCACAACTCCTGAAACAACCACTGTCGACAATACAACTAACACCACATTTCCTGACATAACTACACCTTTCCCTACAAGTCCTGCTACTGCTAACACTAGTGATGTGATTCCTTTCACAACCACAACTCCTGAAACAACCACTGTCCACAATACAACTAACACCACATTTCCTGACATAACTACACCTTTCCCTACAAGTCCTGCTACTGCTAACACTAGTGATGTGATTCCATTCACAACCACAACTCCTGAAACAACCACTGTCGACAATACAACTAACACCACATTTCCTGACATAACTACACCTTTCCCTACAAGTCCTGCTACTGCTAACACTAGTGATGTGATTTCATTCACAACAACAACTCCTGAAACAACTACTGTTGACAACACAACTAACACCACATTTCCTGACATAACTACACCTTTCCCTACAAGTCCTGCTACTGCTAACACTAGTGATGTGATTCCATTCACAACCACAACTCCTCAAACAACCACTGTCCACAATACAACTAACTCCACATTTCCTGATATAACTACACCTTTCCCTACAAGTCCTGCTACTGCTAACACTAGTGATGTGATTCCATTCACAACAACAACTCTTGAACCAACTACTGTCCACAATACAACTAACACCACATTTCCTGAAATAACTACACCTTTCCCTACAAGTCCTGCTACTGCTAACACTAGTGATGTGATTCCATTCACAACCACAACTCCTGAAACAACCACTGTCCACAATACAACTAACACCACATTTCCTGACATAACTACACCTTTCCCTACAAGTCCTGCTACCGCTAACACTAGTGATGTGATTCCATTCACAACAACAACTCCTGAAACAACTACTGTTGACAACACAACTAACACCACATTTCCTGACATAACTACACCTTTCCCTACAAGTCCTGCTACGGCTAACACTAGTGATGTGATTCCTTCCACAACAACAACTCCTGAACCAAGTACAAACAGCACCACATTTCCTGACATAACTACATCTTTCCCTACAAGTCCTTCTACTGCTAACACTAGTGATGTGATTCCTTCCACAACAACAACTCCTGAAACAACTACTGTCAACAATACAACTAACACCATATTTCCCGACATAACTACACCTTTCCCTACAAGTCCTGCTACTGCTAACACTAGTGATGTGATTCCATTCACAACCACAACTCCTGAAACACCCACTGTCCACAATACAACTAACACCACATTTCCTGACATAACTACACCTTTCCCTACAAGTCCTGCTACTGCTAACACTAGTGATGTGATTCCATTCACAACCACAACTCCTGAAACAACCACTGTTGACAACACAACTAACACCACATTTCCTGCTCTAGCTACAAATTTCCCTACCAGTCTTCCCACTGCTAACACTAGTGATGTGATTCCATTCACAACCACAACTCCTGAAACAACTACTGCTGACAATACAACTAACACCACATTTCCTGACATAACTACACCTTTCCCTACAAGTCCTGCTACTGCTAACACTAGTGATGTGATTCCATTCACAACCACAACTCCTGAAACAACCACTGTCGACAATACAACTAACACCACATTTCCTGACATAACTACACCTTTCCCTACAAGTCCTGCTACTGCTAACACTAGTGATGTGATTCCTTTCACAACCACAACTCCTGAAACAACCACTGTCCACAATACAACTAACACCACATTTCCTGACATAACTACACCTTTCCCTACAAGTCCTGCTACTGCTAACACTAGTGATGTGATTCCATTCACAACCACAACTCCTGAAACAACCACTGTCGACAATACAACTAACACCACATTTCCTGACATAACTACACCTTTCCCTACAAGTCCTGCTACTGCTAACACTAGTGATGTGATTTCATTCACAACAACAACTCCTGAAACAACTACTGTTGACAACACAACTAACACCACATTTCCTGACATAACTACACCTTTCCCTACAAGTCCTGCTACTGCTAACACTAGTGATGTGATTCCATTCACAACCACAACTCCTCAAACAACCACTGTCCACAATACAACTAACTCCACATTTCCTGATATAACTACACCTTTCCCTACAAGTCCTGCTACTGCTAACACTAGTGATGTGATTCCATTCACAACAACAACTCTTGAACCAACTACTGTCCACAATACAACTAACACCACATTTCCTGAAATAACTACACCTTTCCCTACAAGTCCTGCTACTGCTAACACTAGTGATGTGATTCCATTCACAACCACAACTCCTGAAACAACCACTGTCGACAATACAACTAACACCACATTTCCTGACATAACTACACCTTTCCCTACAAGTCCTGCTACCGCTAACACTAGTGATGTGATTCCATTCACAACAACAACTCCTGAAACAACTACTGTTGACAACACAACTAACACCACATTTCCTGACATAACTACACCTTTCCCTACAAGTCCTGCTACGGCTAACACTAGTGATGTGATTCCTTCCACAACAACAACTCCTGAACCAAGTACAAACAGCACCACATTTCCTGACATAACTACATCTTTCCCTACAAGTCCTTCTACTGCTAACACTAGTGATGTGATTCCTTCCACAACAACAACTCCTGAAACAACTACTGTCAACAATACAACTAACACCATATTTCCCGACATAACTACACCTTTCCCTACAAGTCCTGCTACTGCTAACACTAGTGATGTGATTCCATTCACAACCACAACTCCTGAAACACCCACTGTCCACAATACAACTAACACCACATTTCCTGACATAACTACACCTTTCCCTACAAGTCCTGCTACTGCTAACACTAGTGATGTGATTCCATTCACAACCACAACTCCTGAAACAACCACTGTTGACAACACAACTAACACCACATTTCCTGCTCTAGCTACAAATTTCCCTACCAGTCTTCCCACTGCTAACACTAGTGATGTGATTCCATTCACAACCACAACTCCTGAAACAACTACTGCTGACAATACAACTAACACCACATTTCCTGACATAACTACACCTTTCCCTACAAGTCCTGCTACTGCTAACACTAGTGATGTGATTCCATTCACAACCACAACTCCTGAAACAACCACTGTCGACAATACAACTAACACCACATTTCCTGACATAACTACACCTTTCCCTACAAGTCCTGCTACTGCTAACACTAGTGATGTGATTCCTTTCACAACCACAACTCCTGAAACAACCACTGTCCACAATACAACTAACACCACATTTCCTGACATAACTACACCTTTCCCTACAAGTCCTGCTACTGCTAACACTAGTGATGTGATTCCATTCACAACCACAACTCCTGAAACAACCACTGTCGACAATACAACTAACACCACATTTCCTGACATAACTACACCTTTCCCTACAAGTCCTGCTACTGCTAACACTAGTGATGTGATTTCATTCACAACAACAACTCCTGAAACAACTACTGTTGACAACACAACTAACACCACATTTCCTGACATAACTACACCTTTCCCTACAAGTCCTGCTACTGCTAACACTAGTGATGTGATTCCATTCACAACCACAACTCCTCAAACAACCACTGTCCACAATACAACTAACTCCACATTTCCTGATATAACTACACCTTTCCCTACAAGTCCTGCTACTGCTAACACTAGTGATGTGATTCCATTCACAACAACAACTCTTGAACCAACTACTGTCCACAATACAACTAACACCACATTTCCTGAAATAACTACACCTTTCCCTACAAGTCCTGCTACTGCTAACACTAGTGATGTGATTCCATTCACAACCACAACTCCTGAAACAACCACTGTCCACAATACAACTAACTCCACATTTCCTGATATAACGACACCTTTCCCTACAAGTCCTGCTACTGCTAACACTAGTAATGTGATTCCATTCACAACAACAACTCCTGAAACAACCACTGTCGACAATACAACTAACACCACATTTCCTGACATAACTACACCTTTCCCTACAAGTCTTGCTACGGCTAACACTAGTGATGTGATTCCTTCCACAACAACAACTCCTGAACCAAGTACAACCAGCACCACATTTCCTGACATAACTACGTCTTTCTCTACAAGTCCTACTGTTGTTAACACTAGTGATGTGATTCCTTTCACAACCACAACTCCTGAAACAACTACTGTTGACAATACAACTAACACCACATTTCCTGACATAACTACACCTTTCCCTACAAGTCCTGCTACTGCTAACACTAGTGATGTGATTCCTTTCACAACCACAACTCCTGAAACAACCACTGTCCACAATACAACTAACACCACATTTCCTGACATAACTACACCTTTCCCTACAAGTCCTACCGTTGCTAACACTAGTGATGTGATTCCATTCACAACAACAACTCCTGAAACAACCACTCTTGACAACACAACTAACACCACATTTCCTGCTCTAGCTACAAATTTCCCTACCAGTCTTCCCCCTGCTAACACTAGTGATGATTCCATTCACAACCACAACCCCTGAACCAATTACTGTCCACAATACAACTAACACCACATTTCCTGACATAACTACACCTTTCCCTACAAGTCCTACTGTTGCTAACACTAGTGATGTGATTCCATTCACAACAACAACTCCTGAAACAACCACTGTTGACAATACAACTAACACCACATTTCCTGATAACTACAGCTTTCCCTACAAGTCCTGATACTGCTTACACTAGTGATGTGATTCCATTCACATCTACAACCTCTGAAACAACTACTGTTGACAATACAACTAATACCACATTTCCTGACATAACTACAAATTTCCTACCAGTCTTCCCAGTGCTGACACTAGTGATATGATTAATCACAACCACAACTACTGCAGAAAGTACTGTTGACAATGTAACTAGTACTATACTTCCTCCAAGAATTACACCTTTAGTTAGCAGTACTCCAATTGTTAGCACTAGTGCTGTGGTCCCTGTCACAGCGACAGCTATTGGAACAAGTACTGTGGATGCTGCAAACTCTACTGTGGTGCCATGATGTTACTCAAGGGTCTAGTGCAGTGGTTCTCAACTTTCCTAATTCTGTGACTATTTTGCAGAGTTCCTCATATTGTGGTCAACTTCAACCATAAAATTATTTTGTTACTATTTTACAACTGTAGTTTTGCTGCTGTTATTAATAATAATGTATATTATCTGATACGTGTCCCCTGTGGAGGTCGAGACCCACAGGTTGAGAGCCATTGCTACAAAAATTGTGAATGTACTTAGCATAGCTTGGCTTCCAAAAATAGTTTTTGTCTCATCTTAGATATAGATACTCCAAGAACGACAACAATTGTAGATGTATAAGGATGTATCCATTCCAAATATAACTTCTACCAAAGAAGGTATACATGCTTATCCTGATGTCTGAATGCATACCACAATTATTTCCTATGTTAGCTATTATACCTATGGCCTTATTGGTTAAATGATGCATATGTCCATGGCCTTCACTTGCAATATTCATACCTCATTACCATACCACACCACATTCTGTGAGTACTATTGCTATAGGTTTTGTGAAATAGTCCCACTCATACTGTTTTCTTGGGTTACAAGGCCTAATCCAATATTGGAGAGCCCTAATGATACTGAAGTTACCTCACTGACAGCAATTGTTTACATTGTAGATTCTTTTTCACATTACTAATGATGTGAAAAGTAGTATTTTATTTTCCTATGGACTTTTCCAAATATTCTGTCTTGGCTGTCTATGCAGTAGCTTACTATCATACATACTAACGCCATTTTTGCTTTCAAGGGAATTCCAGCTATTGGTATAGACATTGAAACTGCCACTATTGTAGATGTTTATAAATCTCAACTTCAAGCACTGAAGTCATTAAATTATAGACATAGCAATTTTACTATCAAAGAAAATAAATATAAGATTACAGGTGCTAAAAATATAGGTTCTCTAGCCTTGCAATAATTACTCTTATAAGTGTTAGTGACACTATACAGCTCTCATAAGCATATTGAGCCTTCCTCATCTCAAGTGCTTGGTACTAAAACTGTTTCAGATTTTATATTCCACATGTCTGAACATTTGCATCTACAGAGTGATATATCAAATCCAAACATGACATTCATTAATGCTCATGTATACCCTAGACATACAGAGCTTGAAATTATTTCATATAACATTTAAAGTAATTATATGCATAAAACAAAGTTCATGATGTGAAGTTTTCCACTCATGGCATTATGTTGGTACTCAAAATGTGTTATATTTTTGGATTAGGAATACTCCTACTTGTACTTCTGTTTATAGATACCAAACTGCTCTAGAATTTTGAAATCACTCTTCTGAGCTAGTTTTAGGCCCTCACTGTTCCCGCTAATGACTAACTCTGACGTGCTTACATACTAGAACTTACCCAGACCGAGATATGACCATAGGCATAGCCCCAGGAAGCAGTCTATCCTGGATTGGAGTTTCTAATCCTGGTCACCTATCCTTTTACTTTGTTGTTTTATTGTCAAGTCTCTCCTTTGGTATGTTAGAGGTTCCTGAATGGTTCTGATCTCTCATAAACAAATTTACCACACACCTTTGACCTACTGCTTCCTTAGATCACTCCCTACCCTCATCAGTAGACTCATGGATATTACCCAATCTAGCCAATTGGGCACTATTGAAGGTTTGAGCGGTATTCTCAAAATGTAGTTATGAAATCTGTGGGTTCCCCAGACACTTTGTAAAGTCAATAGCATAAAATATGTTCTCATAATACCAAGTTGTTATTCGTCTCTTTCACTCTTGTTCTCTTACTGGTACATAGTGGCATTTTTCAGAGACTCAATGTGGCATTGCAATAGATAAGTATAGAAGCAGCATGAAGGTGCTTTTGCTGTTAATATATTGAAAAGACTCAAAACATAAAACAGTACCATTCTTCTTACTCTTTGTTTTTGCCTTTGAAAATATGCTTATTTTTCACAAAGATATTATTTATGTTGACATGTAGTAGACATATTGTTATTTTTAATTAATGGAAATAAATATTTATAAAATATTTTGTAAGTGACTCAATTTAAATTTTGCATGCAGTAAATATTAACAGGTATAATTCACATAAGTGACATGGTATCTTCACTGGTTTTAAATATAAAGAGATCCTGAGGCCAAAGAATTTGAAAGCCACTTCCTTAGGTTTACAGTGTATCTTATTTCCATCCTCATGTACTGGTCAATTATACCAACAACAGTCCCAGAATCTTTGATTTACTCTACTTGAACATCCCTTCCTCTTCTATAAACATCTTTCTGGTTTTCTGACCTGCCATGACAGAGGTACTATGTTTTGGATCATTCAATGGCACTGCATTTGAAAAACAGATTCATCAGTTATACTTGTTTCTTGGAATTGACACACAAGTTACAGCCATTTGAACAAGGATGAAACTTTGTTAGGGATTACATGGCTCTTACCTGACCCTTCCAACCCAAACAAAACTCATCATTTTCTCCATAGACTGTCATGGACTCCTTCACTTGTGCCTTCACTAAGAGATGTTCAATGTGCTGCATTTTTGGAAGTACCAACTTAGGAGTGGGCTGTGGGCTGGAAAGTTTGTTTTGTTGTCTGTGATGTGTATAAATATATACATGGTTTTGTATTTGTGCACATGTGCATGTGGGAACACATACACGTGTACCTTCATGTGTGTAGATGCCAGAGGTCAATAGAGGGAGTCTTTCTTAGTCACTTTCCACCTATTTTTAAGACAAGATCTCTCAAGGAAATTGAAGCTCACTTATTAGGTAAAATTCCTGATCAATGAGCTCAGGAGTTTTGCCAGGTTTGGGGTTATAGTTGATATCCTAGCTCTTACTTCTCCAAAGAAGTTTCCAGGCCCAGGCTACCAGATTCAAAACATCAGAGGGCTACTAATGGTACATCCTCCACCCCTATAATCAGTACACCTTAACTACATGTGTCCTTTCTTCCTACTTACCTCACATCCTCTAAATCACAAATTAATAAGATTCCTTTCTCCCTTGCTGGGAATTCAGGATCGCCCTCCCACTACTCTCTTGGACTTTAGTAAACACTAAAACTCCACAAAATGTTTGTACTTAGTCTATTCTTTCCCCATAGAGTTCTTGAACAAGCATTACACTGTGGAGCTAAGGGCTTACTTTTCTCTACTTTGGTTTTTACTTATCCTCACAGCTCAATTCAACCTGCCTTCCCAGATAGGCTCTTCACACTGAATGATTTACAAGTGACAATATAACATATGGATGGATAAACAATAAAAAAGTTGTATTAGGGGCAACCAAAGCCTCCAGGTACTTTAACCTGGCAATTCAAGAGGCTTCCAAGCTGCTTCTCATGGGCCAAAGACACAAATGAAAGAGACTGCCAAAGGAAGCAAGTTGAGTTCTCTTTAATGTGATACTTCAAAATTTTCTCCCTATGTACACAGAAGCCCTTCCTTTATGAAAAATTGCTCTTTACCCTTGAGTATACTTATAGCATACTCACATTGCCTCAGAATGAACTGGTTACAAAATACCATTAGAAAAGAGAAGTAACAGCTTTTTCCATGGCCATGCACATGCCAAGGGATTTACAATGCTCTCCCTGTGCACTCAAGTCCCATCCTAATCAGAGCATCAATTTGAGAGAAAGCAGGACACTAGAATTCTTAGAGAGTGAATCCATCATCTAACACTCAGACTTGGAAGCAGACTTCCTTAGAAAACATGTGATCATATCAATGGTTCTGAAGCTTTAAGAATAACTTGAACAGCGATTGTGGACAAAACCTGAGAGCCTTCAGTGACATGGTTTGGTTTATGGGAAGTGGCACAGACAGAGGTCATTTAGAAGGGTCATATCAGGGGTTGTTTCTATAGTTCATGATAAGGGAGTAGGTGGCATGAGGAGACAGAATCATACCCCAGTCTGCAGCATGGCAAGGAGCCATGAGAGTGTACCCTGCAGGAACAGGATAGCAACCAGGGGCAGGTGCCTCAGGTTAGCAGTACTGGAGCCAGAGAGGGCCATTGGCGCAGCCCTGAAGCCTGCAGAGGTCTTGTCCTGAGGTTCCACTTTACCTCCAGAGGACTCTAAGCACGGCCCTCGAGGAGTTGGGATAATATCAGGAATCCAACCTGTTGTATTTTCTACTTCCTCCTGCAGGAGATGGGACAAATGAGCAAACTCAGAAATATTCCTTTCCTTGAAATTTTACTCTATCATTCCCATTCTACAAGCTAACTGAGATGCTCCAACTGCCTCTACAATGCAGGTCAGCAATGGCTTGCCTTTATGCATCCTCAGGCTCCCTTCCCCAATTCAGGGTTCCTATTATTGTCATTTGCTTCTATCATCCTTCCTCTTGCCTAATACCATCCCCCAACCTTTCAAGGTGGTCTCTCCTGTGACACTCACATCAATGGTCTTGATCAACACTGTCTGCTGGGACTCCTTGCAAGCTTTCTCAGCTTTCTTAATGTTCTCTGGAGTCCATTCAACATTATTCAGGACCATCAGGTTCTCCATAGGATTCCTGTGAATAGTAGAGTTAGGGCAGGGACATGGCAGTAATAGGCATTGACTTGCCCCTCTCACAAAATAGGTTGAAAAGCACCTTCATTTTGCTAGCATGTATTCTATGCTGGTATAAACTAAACAGAACATTGTAGAACTAAGCTGTCATTCTTAGTGAGTTTAGTAAGAGAAACATGTCAGAGAGAACTTAGGACATTGAAAAGAGGTTGTTCTTTATGGATGTGGATCTTCATGTAGATGACATAGGGTCTGAAAGGTGGGTTGGGTTGACTTCAGAGAACCTGCAATTACTCTGAAGTTGTATGTGTGTCTGTTAAGAAAGATTTTTTTTCTTGCCTCTTATTAGAGTCTATAAGAGTGGGTACTTACTTAAAGGTTGGGACATGAGTGTTAAGGGTTTTCAAGTGCAGCTGGAAAGATAGAAATTTGTACATAAAGGATCTGACTTTCAAGGGTCAGTTGTAATCTGCTCCTCTGAATGCCCTTACTGACACAGAAGCTTTCTTACAAAACTCTTGTGTTCAGAGCTTTTTGAATCAACACTAAAAGGAGCAAGGGTGAGGATTTGCAGGGGATGAGTAAGCCACCCACTGAGGGCTCCTAGCTCGCCAGCCCAGGAGGAATGAGTGAGACTCCTTTTGCTCCTTCCCCAGGTCCTTTCAGGGTCTCTTCCCACCACTTGTGGGTTTTAGCTTCTAGAATGACTTACTCTGATGCTTCTTCCCCCAATTCATTGGTCACATAGATAATGTCGGGGTAACCCAGGCAACTAGAGATGTTAATTCTGGGATAGTAGAAGAGGAAGACGAGGCACATCTCATTAATGGTGCTGGCACCTCCCTGGAGAAGGTGAGAGAGGGAGAGACAAGGATACAAAAGCGTGCAGAGAGGGAAAAGGCCAGCAACAAATTGTGAAGGCTGTCACTCTTCCAGAGAGCTCTTTCTCTTCCCAAACATAAGAGTTGAGCTCTTTGTGCCTTACCACATCCCGTCCTTTCCTTTCTTCTATTTCCAGTCATGGAACAAGTATTGATATTGTTTCTAAAAAACATTCCACATATCTTTCTTGTTCTCTACATCTCCACTGCTACACCTGCCACCCCACCCTGGTTTGGGGTAGACTCCCTGCTTTGCACTTAGTGTCAGACAGTCACCTGCCTATACTGCAATCTCTCTCTCTCCAGCTCCATATCATTTGCTTATATAGTGCAATTAATATAGTATATTATAACATAACATAATATAGTACACTATAATATGTATCTTGTACTCTCTCATCTGCATAGTCAATGAACTCCAGTAGCATCTTACTGTCTTTTGATGATAATTTATTTGATGACAAATTAGTTGATTACATATAACAAATCCCAATCCATTCCCTTCTCTTATTGATCTGGCAAATAATTTGACAGTTTGACCCTGTTGTCTGATAGTTGTAGGCAGGACAGTGTCTTCTGTGCTTCAAGACCTCTTCCCAGACTCAAATCCCTCCATAACACATCCTTTCATGGTGTTAGTGGGTCACTGACAGAAAGTGTAGGGAATCTCTCCCTATCTTGGATGCATGGAAGTGTAAGAACGTGAAAAGTCTCACAGAAGAGAAGAAGGCATAAGCTGGAACAATCAGTTATTAGATAGTTAAAGCCAGGATGCAGCTCTCTTCTAGGGCTATAGTCATTGACATCGTTGTGGAGAAAGACACTTACAAAAGTCATGGAGTCACGATCCAGCGTCTGGTAGTTACATTCTATCAGCAGCTCATCCCCCTATTCACAGTGAGACATGAGAGCCAAGGGTAAGTCAAAGAGGAACTGGTACAGTCTTAGAATTTTGTGGGCTAACAATGAGCTATGATCCTGCTCCCCACTTTGCTCCAGCCATTGCCCCCTCTCAGGTTCCCACCGGCTTGATCACTGCAGGATGAGGTAAGTCTCGAGTCTCTTGCAGATTGAAGTCATAAGAGTAATCTTTGCATATTATTTGGAGTTGGGTTCCATTTCTAGAGGGAGAGAAGAGCAGAAAGGCAGAAATGAGAAGATGAAGCAGTGAGGCCCAACCGATAAAGATGCAGTATGTGGGTTTGTTCTGTGAATGCAAATAGCCCATGAAATAAACACAAAAGATTCTTCTTCCACAGCCTCTTCCACTCATCTCTAGTCCAGCTACTCATTCTCAAACAGATACAATATCATGCAGAATCTGTAGCTATTTCCATACACAGAAGGAAAGGTTTTAGTCTTTCTGTTACCTGTATTGCACAGCTTGCAGGGAGCGCCCAGCTAAGTGGGTATGGATCAGGTAGCCATATACGTATATGTCAGATACTGGGGCCCCATTCATCTGTAACACAGAGAAGGCATACCGGATTGATCACGAACTATGACCTCTAGCTTTATTTTTCTTTTCCTCATGCTTGATACCATCTTCTTTTTGGTCTGATTAAGAGTTGCTCTCTTAATTTTTTGTCTTTAAATTTTATTGTTTTTTTTCTTTGACAATTTCATGTATGAAGTATATTCTGATAACTATATTCCTCATTCAAATCTCTTTGCTAACCTTAATACTCACCCTCTTCCCTATAAGCCTCCGTCTTATATTCACAATTTTGATATTTGGTTTTTTTTGTGGGTTACTCATTGAGTTTAACCAGGATCACCTGTGTGACCATGGGGTTGGAACTATCTGTTGGATCCAGCTGGGGTCTTCAATGAATACATAATGACCATCTTTCTCCAATGACCCATCAGTAGTCAATAGTTTAGCAGGGAAAGGTAGGACCCACCCCATAAGCCCTGATCCGTGGCTGACAGGTGATAGGACCAGTCTTGAGCTGGCTCATTGCAGGCAGTCACTGCTGCTCTGAAGCCATGACTGCATTGGCTCTGTCATGCCCAGAAGACAGCATTTCTAGCCCCTTTCCCTGCCTTCTGACCATTATGTTCTGTCCACCCCCTTTCCAGATGTTCCCACTCACTCCCCTGCTGTGGAATGTTCTGTATGGCAAATGTGTTGCTGATTAGTCAATAAGTAAAACACTGATTGGCCATTGGCTAGGCAGGAAGTATAGGCGGGACAAGGAGGAGAATAAAGCTGGGAAGTGGAAGGCTGAGTCAGAGAGACACTGCCAGCCGCCATGATGAGAAACAGCATGTGAAGATGCCGGTAAGCCACAAGCCATGTGGCAAGGTATAGATTTATAGAAATGGATTAATTTAAGCTGTAAGAACAGTTAGCAAGAAGCCTGCCACAGCCATACAGTTTGTAAGCAATATAAGTCTCTGTGTTTACTTGGTCGGGTCTGAGTGGCTGTGGGACTGGCGGGTTATAGAGATTTATCCTGACTGTGGGCCAGGCAGGAAAACTCTAGCTACACTCCCCCCTATTTCTACTGAACCACCCTGTCCTTATTGCCTCTAAAGCCCTGACTCATTCCTCTCTTGCATAATTTCTACTGGTCACTTTCTTTCTGAGCACCAGGCTTCAATCATTCTTCAAATCTGTGGCTTAGGCTTGTGAGTTTAGTAATTAGATCAGAACTCTGCTGGAGAACAAGGAACCTCAAAGAATGCATGTCTCTCAGCTTCACCTCTTCAAACTTCTCTGTTTTGCATAGCCCATAGGACAAGAAAGCCTCAGCACCCGGAGGTATAAAGTGAATAGGGAAAACCGAGATGCCCAGCTGGAGGACTCCCATGTCGTATTTGCGAAGGTGTGAGGTGTAGTACAACCGCATCCCTGAGGTATCATATATACCTGGAATAGAAAGAAATACTCTCCTCAGAGGGTGGGAGTAGGTCACAATGTTCAGGAAAGCTGGAATAGGCTGTTACTAAAAGGATCCAACATGTATGCCACATGTTCCCCCATATCCAGAAAAACCAATTGCTTCCACCACATGCCTTCCTGTAAGTCCCTTGGATACTTACCAGGAAGGTTCTGAAAATTGCTGTAGTGAACCTCCAGTCGAATCCACTGGGGGTCCAAGGGGGTTCCAATAGAGATGCCTACATCATCTGGAAACTGATAACTCTGTGGAGAGAGGAAAAACATGGCAGTGATGTTTGAAAGGCTAGAGACAAGATGCTTGGATCCAATCTCTGGCTCTTCCCTGGTTTTCTAATCTTTCTTTCAGAACTTCTATGCCCCCAGGTCTCCCATTAGCCCATTGCCTAACAGCATGCACCCCTTTGTCACAAAATGCCTCCATCTCAGGACTCACAAGGCCCCCAACAGCCCATCCTGCGATGACATGGGAACAGAGGGAGAAGGCAGGATCTGACCCGTAGCATTCACCAATGCCTGTGGGGAGCACACTAGCATTGCCACATGCATATATGAGGATGTGATGCACCATTGTCTCGTTGCGTTCCACCAGCATGGGTTCAAACTGAACAGAGAAGGGAAGGTAGGCAATAGTCAAGATTTTCTGTCAAAGTCTTATTCTCCCCATTCCTCCTCCACGCCCCCCCCCAAAGCTATGCCATTCTCCATTTCTCTGAGTTTCTCCTTATCTGTCTCTCTCCCTGAAATATACCATCTTCCCTAAACTCTATTGTACTCTTCTCTCAACCTTCATCTCTTTATATTCATTTCTTAGGAGCACAGCTCACAGTGCTAAGTCACCAGAGGCATTCCAAGGGTTCTGACTTTCTTTAGTGACCTCAGTCAATTCACAATTTGCATGTATGTATTCACACCCTTTGAAATCTATTTTTTTGAAAATGGCCCCCTATATTGTGAAACTTATAAAGTTATATTCTTGTACTTGACCTAAATTAAAAACACTCAAATACAAATTAGATGAATGAGTTTGTGTTCATTCTGGCTTGAATGTTCTTACTTTCGGACTGCATGTCCACAACACTTCCTTGCTTTGACCACCCCATTGCTAAAAAAGAACAATTCTGGATCATGATAGGACTTGAAATTGTTCTTTTCAAAAACTTATTAATTACTATCCTCTGTCAGAATCTCATCCACATAAACAAAATAGTGTTGGCAGTTATAGTTTTGGCCTGGAGGCTTCCCACCCTACAAAAATCCACCCGGCCCTACCCCACATCTCCTTTCCTGTTTTCTCCTCATAGTAACCTTTTGAACCTCCAGATTCCAACATGCCCATCACTTTGCTCCAGTGCCTGCCTTGGCAGACTTCATCATTTGGTTCACATACCTTGTAAATGTGATGCTTCTTGCTGACAATAGGGAGCGGGAGGAAGGTGCAGGCATATGTGGTGTCATCCTCTGGAATGAGGAACTGGGGAAAGGTGCACACAAGCTGAGGAGAATGGGAATGAGGATCCCTCCAAAGCAGGGGAGTGGACAGTCTAGGGAGCAGGGTTCACTTTAGGGCTACATTGGTACTCCTCACAGAGCCAAGGGGACTCATAGTAACTTATTCTAAGGAATGTGTGGGTATTGGGTGGGTACAAGGTGAGGGGTCTGGAATGAGCAGGGGGATGGAAACAGGAGGAGGCAGATGGGTGATGTGGTGGAGGTCTTACATTACTGATCTTCAAATCATGGATAATGGTGTCCTCAGGGGCATCTTCATCGTCGTATTGTAGCATTTGTAGCAAGAAGATTGACTTGACAAAAGTACGCTCCCGATTCATTTTCGGTACATCATCTAGGCCATAGGCAGCCAGGACCCTCATGGTGTCACTCTATGGGTACCATGAGCATCGAAGACCTGATACTCAAAAGCGCCTTGTATATACCTATAGCCAGGGTTCTATATGTACCACCCATCTACACAGTGGAATGAGAATAACTTGAGACAAGATTAGTTTGGCTTTAGTTCTACCTCTGAGGTTGACTCATTTGTCATGCTTAACCCCTTTCCATTTTTCTCTTTGGCTATTTTACACCTGCGGAATAAGAGGGTTGAACCAAACTTGAAATCCAAACACTGATGTTCAATGGAATTGGTTAGAATCCTTTAAGAGGGGGAGAAGAGAATGGACACTTAGCCATTGGGTGGGACCATGCCAATTAATGATTAGAGTTTTCAAGAGGTGATACAATTGGACAGTACACAGGAAGACTAAAGGATAATAGTCCCATGAATTTGTGACTGGCTGCATGAATTGAGGTGACTATATCTTCCTTGGGGAAGCTGTTTGTGGCTAAAATTTTTCTCTTTTCCACATATTACCGTAATGTCATGGTCGTGTGGGTCACAGGATCTGAAGGGCCTGGAAAAGCGCATGGTAGTAGAGACAGAATCTTCTGTGAGCTTTAGTAGTTCAGCATCCTGGCTCCCATCCTGTTCTAGAGTATCTTCATCCAGAAGGTGCTGATCCTGGGGTTCAGTCATCATTAAGAAGTAAGAACCAGGATCCCAAACAATTAGGACTTGGGACAGCAGGTGTATGCTAAAATGGCAGAAGTCAGTTACTTTCATTGCACATATGGGTGTGTTTTCAGAGGGGACAGAGCATGTCTGCTGGAGTTTCACCACATGACTTTACTATTCTCACTTTAAATCTCAGCTTCATACATTTCAACAAAAATAATTATATGGTTGCAGGCCACCACAACATGAGGAACTTTATTAAAGGGTCGCAGCTTTAGCATGGTTGAGGACTACTGGATTATAGTAATCCACCTTAGCGATGCTATGGGATTTAAAATGAAGATAATTTGGAACAATGCTGAAGTTGATTCTCTTGCTGTCATTGCTATTATCAGACAATTTCATACTGACGTCTACCTGAGTGGGCCTAAAGGATATTGAATACAGAAACTTTCTCTTATAGCTTTGAATTTTCTCCAGTGACCTGCTTTTCCTCTGCTCCTAGCAGGTAAGTCATATTAGACAATTTCAGTATAAAACTTCTTTCTTAAAAGTCTTAACAGACAAATGGCCTAAATGACATAAATTACAGTGCTAGAGCATCTTTGTAGGGAGAGATAAACAGTCAACTGGCATTCAGTGTGCTTGGGTATGTTGGAAAATGAAATTCTTTTCTAGACACAGCCTTCCTCAACCCAGAGAAGGAGCTCATCTTCAGGGTGGAAGTTGGAGACAATGGACATGGAGCCATCCTCAATCCAACAGAAGAACTTATCATCAGAAGTTACTCATTCCCAGACTTACCGAGAAGTAGACATTGCCATCAGGAAGGACTCCTCCGACTACCAGATCACTTCCTACAAAGGTGTAGCGATTTGTGATGCCCAGGCCAACCCAGCCAGTTGTTTGAACTTGGAGCTCAAATGTGATGATCTCAGTCTCATAATCAAAGTCCCAGTGCAGAAAAACAGAATGGGAAGGATCCAGAAACCTGGAATAACGGAGGGGAGATGTAGGGCCCAGGCGCTTGCCTTGGGAAAAGGCTACCAGGACCAAAAGTAAGAAAAGCCTGAAGAGGAGAACACAGGCCATGGCTGCCAGGGCCCGGAGCATCTTCCCTGCAGAATGACACTAAAGAGCTCTGGACTTATATGTATCTCTACTTGTGTCTGGCACAGTGCCACGGAGGAGGGAAAGAATAGGCCTCTTCTGATCTGATTATCTACTGTGTACAGAGTGGTGCCACTTACATAACTTGAGTCAGAAGTATCCAGGGAGGATACAGAGTGGGATTGTCTCACCTTAAGTCAGGGACCTAATGGAATTATCAAGAGAGTCATGCAGTCTTCCATACCTACTCCTTGGCAGGGTCATGCTCAGTGAGAACCTGTAGCGTCAAGGAGGTTCTCAGCCCCACCCCATTCCTCCACATCTACCCCACTAATAACCTTAGTAAATAATATTCTCCTGGACTGCAGCCTCCCCTTCTCCAGTTTTATGGCCTTTGTCCACCGTGTCCACATGTAGAATGGGGGAAGTTGTACAGTGCATGAGGGAGGTCTTAGCCTGAGAGGAAAGCTGTTTCCTCAAGCCATGGACACTCCTAGGACAACAAGCCTCTGAGTGTTTTACCATGACCCTGTGTCATGGTGGAGGGGATTAATGTCATTTGCTCACTCGTTGCTTCTCAGTAAGAACAGAAATCCGCACTGTGCAAGACCTACCGTCTCCTGGTGTCTGGCATAGCTGATGTGGGGAGAGAAATCCTTCCCCCAGACCGCTATTGCCTGACCTTCACTAGACAGCAGAGAAGACATGTGCCCTTAACACTCCCTCCGAAATATGCTGGACAACACACCTACACACAGAAGTCCAGTCCAAAGAAAGGCAAGAAGACGTTCTCTGAGCTGTGTCTATTCTTACTATGTTCATGAAAAGTCTTTGAATTACCCATTGAGCTCAAAATTGCTAAAGCTGTTAGCTACTGTTTGTTGTGTGTACTTGAGTAGTGATTAGAATGTAGTTGCGGGTTGTGGTGGAGAAAAGTCCCTAGGAGGCAACCCTGACCCCCAACACTGGTGCTGCAGAGGCCAGGAGGAGCTAGCTAGCCATCTGATCTGGAAACAAGAGGCTTAACCTGGCTCAGTAGTGCAAGCTGGGCAAGATAAGAGAAGACAAGGCAGATCCCTGGAGGGACTGACCTTGAGAGGCAGGAAGGTTAGCCAGGGAGATAACAGGAGTGTAGGAGACATTCAGATCCCAATCTCATTAGAGGATTAGACTGAAGAGAGAGGTCTGTAGGGAGCTAGGATAGACAGCTCAGTAAACTGAGAAGGGCCCAGGGTCTTCTATCCTGGAGTCTGTTTGGCTAATCAGAGCTCTGTCCTGAGGAATGAAACAGGGCTTTCTGGGAAAAGCTAGGAGCCAGTGACTTCAGACCCAAAGAATCTCATCTGCATCCTCTTCTTCCTGGCTCTTACGGCTCAGGTTCATAGGGAACTTATTCAGTTTTTAAAATGAGATTTATAGAGGCTTGGAGAACTCATTTTTTGAAAGTAAATGCTCTAGAAAAATAAAGGGTGAGGATGTTATCAAACCTGGGGGTCAAAGCTGAATGATAAAAGAAATAAAAAGGAGGAGGACATGACTATTCCCAAAATATAGAGAAAATTTTTATTATAGATAAAAGAAAGCACATAGCCAGAGGCAGAGACATGTGGGAGAGTCCAGAGTGAATAGGACCCTGAGCCTGGCCTTGTGAGGGGAGGTGAAGGGTGAAGGGTGAAGGGTAGATAAAGGGGCAAAGGCTGGGTAGCAAAAATGGTTGGATTATACAGGGAAGGGTAGCTGGGGAAGGGCAGCCCAGCCCCTGGGCTGGAGAAGTTTAGGGGGTGTGAAATTCCAGTCACACCCTGTAACAGGTGGGGACTAAGGGATGCTGGGAGAACCTGGAGGCCAGGTCCGCTTATCTTAAACAGGCACCTCAGTTAGCCATTTGGGCCAGGTTTGAGAACTGATGAAAGCCAGTACCCTAAGCTGGCTTTGTCCACCAGTCCTCAAGAAGACGATCAAAAGAGCCAAATCAGTAATGAAAAGTAGAAAAAGATTTATTTAGTGTGGACACATCGGGAAAGGGAAGAAGATACCCAGGGAACTGCACAAGTCAGTTGGTGTTTCTGAAGTGAGATTGACATTGAGGGAGCCAAGGATAAGCAGTCTAGGTAAAACTATGGCCCTGGCCACCAGTGACCAGTCATTCCTTAGGTTTGTTAGAGTTCTGTGAAATCTCATTTCAGGAGACAAACTCCCACTCTGACTGGTGTCTTTTCCTTCTCCCAGAATGTGATTCCTGGGGAAATTCCCATTTCTTTGGGGTTCTTTGTTTCAATAGCCTAATAGTCAGATTGAAAGGCACAGGTGTCTCTTTAGAATATCTTTATTTCTGCCAGGTCAGTTCCAAAAAGGGGAATCTTTTCTTTGACTCTGGACAAAGCTCTTCTTTATGTTTTGCTTTTGTATTCCTAGAGTCAGACCGATATTTGGGGATGAGTGTCTGCTGTCCTACTGCCTAATATAACCCTGCAGTAGCCTCCGTCTGTAGTTGAAGCTTAGAGGTGAGAGATCTTTGCTCAGTTCTGTTACCATGACTCGATTATACGGAGATAGTTCAGTCCCTTGAAAGAGCTGAGTCTTAAACTCAAACCACTCCCAGGAATATTTGATCACCACTGAGACAGTAGAGGGCCCAGTCACTCACTGAGTTACTTAGTGAGCATGAGGTGTGCAGGGGTGTGGGAGAGAGAGCAAAGTCAAGCTCAGACAACAGGAAAGGGTGTAAAATTTCAGCTTGAGGTTTGCATTTTAGAGTAAAGATGAGCTACAGTCGGTTTCCGGAGGAAGTCACGCCCTCAGAACTTCAGTCCCAGGACTTCAGCTTCTGATTGCCACTGTACTGGTTTGGACCCTCTTCTCTTGCCTGATGTTCTGCTGGAGAGAGCCTGAGGGGTCAGGGATGTGGCAGTTTTCCACCTTGTGCCTCTGCGTACTCACGGCTTCTGTGACTACAGGTCAGATGGCCAATGAGGAAGCCAGAGGGTGGAGGGAGAGGAAAAGAGGCAGGCCACTTTAGCTTAGCAACCAGAGAAGCTGCCCCTAACTCCTTTAAGACAGTCATCTGGCACAGTTTCTCTCCCTGGTCAAGGCTTCTAGTCTCAGCAGCCTCGTGTCTGAGTAACTCATGGATTTTCTTCAGATTTAGCTCAGTTGGCTGCACATGGGGTTTCCCAGTCTCCCTGCTTTCATCTTGGCTTGTCTGTGTTTCAGACTCCACAGTAACTCTGCTGGAGCAGAAGCCGAGGTGGCGTCTGGTACCACGTGGTCAAGCTGTGACCCTGCGCTGTATCCTGAAGAATTCCCAGTACCCCTGGATGAGCTGGTACCAGCAGGATCTCCAACAGCAACTACAGTGGCTGGTCACTCTGGGGAATTCTGGGGACAAAGAAGCCAAATCTCTACCCGGTGCTGATTATCTGGCCACACGAGTCACTGATACAGAGCTGAGGCTACAAGTGGCCAACATGACCCAGGGCAGAACCTTGTTCTGCACCTGCAGTAGAGACACAGTGGTAGGCTCTGCTGGGGCATTGGAACAAAAACCACATACACAGACTGCCCTGCCTTCCAACCCTTGCTCCTCTGCGAGCCTTTCCCAGCCTTCTTCCTTTCTACCCAGACTTCCTCATCCCATTGCCCTAGCAAGAAGTGGACTCTCCCTGATTTTCCATTTGTTCTTTTCTGCCTGAGCCATACAGTAGATTAACCCCAGGCTCTGGAGAACTCAGAGTACAGACTTTTAGACTTCCATGGTGAGCTTGAAAGATGTCTTTTATCCTCCTACATGTCTGTTTCTGATTCTGTTGGATGTAGGCAGCAAATGTGGCCCACCCAGTAGGCAGCTGTGAAAACTGAGCAACACAGTCCAGGTGGACTCTTCAGTAAAATGTGAAGCAGAGCAACATGGAAACATTTACTAAGCATTAGCTTTTCTTTTCCCAAGATGCATAGTGAAAAGCAGGCTGAATGTGACGACAGTGTCACTTCCCAAAGTAGGGTTGGGTTAAAACCCAGAGAAATTCCAAGAGCTCAGATAAGCATGGGCTGAATTGATGAATGGGCAGCTCCAACTACACCAGTGGTTCTTAATCTGTGGGTCGCTACCCCTCTGGGGGTCGAATGACTCTTTCACAGGGGTCCCCTAAGACCACCAGAAAACACAGATTGTTACATTATGATTCATGACAATAACAAAACTATAAGTAGCAATGAAACTAATTTTATGGTTGGGGGTCACCACAACTTGAGGAACTGTATTAAAGGGTTGCAGCATTAGGGAGGTTGAGAACCACTGGACCACACCCTTGAAACAAATACCCTTGCTTCTATGATGCCCAAGTTTTTATTACTCACATCCATTTTGACCCAAAAATCCAATCTTAGTATGTTCTTTGTGTCCCTTTATTAGTCCAATCTATTTTGTATTAAGTATGTTATTTTAAATAAAACATTGTTTCAACGTGCCATTCAACATAGCAAATAAATATAAAAGAAAACTAAAATCTCCTTTCCATGTCAGACTTCCCAGCTCAAAGCTACTAAAGGCAGATTTTTTTCTTTCCAATTACCAGTTTAGTCAAAACAGTTACAGAAAAACTCATGAGGATTGTGCCTAAAGAAAATATTTAAAAAGCAAATCATGGTGAGCTGAGGAAATAGCTTAGTTGATAAATCCTGAGAACATGGGTTCAATATCTAGAATCTACACACAGGCTAATACATACCTACACACACACACACACACACACACACACACACACACACACACACACACACACACGGGGTGGGGGCAGAGAGAGAGAGAGAGAGACATATTGATCACCACTTGCTATATATCAGAGGTGTATTCACTGTTGTGCTAATTTGAACTCTTTCAGAAAATAAGCCCCTACGAAAAATATAAGAGTTTAAAATGTACATTTAGGGCTCAGTAAATGTTGGAATAGAAAGTCCAAGTCTGAACTGGATTTGCAACCTAAGCAAGGCCGCCACCTGAGTAAAGAGCAGAAGAATCCAAGTAAATAGAAGTCAACAGAGAGTTCAGAATCACAGAGCAAGGCTGGCTGGTGGGGCGGTGGGGCGGGGGAAGGGAGAGGAGTGAGGATCAGGGAGGGAGAGAAGAGAGGAGGAAGGGAAGGGTAGGAGAGGGGAAGGGGGAGGAAGAATGAGAGGGAGAAGACAGAGTGAGCTAACATGATGCCTAGGATCCTGAGCCAGATCTGAGGTAGGCTGTGGGTGACTAGGAGCTAAGGCAGTGAGGAATCACTAAGACAAATTAAGGCTACCTCTTTGGTGAACCAGGTGGGCTGTCTCCCCAGCTCTGTGGATAATGAAGGGTCATTCCACTAGGGGGCACCATTTGCCCATAATTCTTGTGTTGCTGGTTTATTCGGTAGACCCAAGGACTTCCTTGCTTCCACATCTTGTTTCTTTCATCTAGTCTTTCAGATCTCCAGAAGTTCATCTGCCTGTGACATTGACTTGTCTCATGCTGGAGCTGGCAGGCTAACCTGGGCTCCAGAACCTGGCCATGGGTTTCTGTTCCTGAACTTTTCTAAAATTGTGCTGTTGAGGACAGTTTTAAAAAGACTCTCAGACATTCTTTCTAGAATGTTGTCTGTGGTAAAATCAGGAACTTTCCTCCAGAAGTGGTGCCAGCTGCACCTGAGGACTATTTTTCAATTCTCCAACTTTCACAGTAGCCTTCACTGCTTTTTTGTGTTGGACTCCATCTCCACACACCCCTACCTTCTCTCACATATATGGCCATACTTACACACAGCAGCAAATGGAAATTACTACCAAGATGTCCTCCCGGTGACTACACGACCCATATTCCATGTGCTCTGTGTCAAAATCAGGAGGAGAATTTAGGACAGATGGGTCAGATAGATATAAAAATCCATCACCATCCTAGATAGATTTAGTTATCTGTCTAAATAACTAAAGAGCAGGAGTGAGTTGTGGGGTTCAGATAGCAGGAGCTAGTCAGGTGCTTGTCTCTAGTAAGGGATGGGTGGGTCACAGGGTGAATTAAAGATGAACCACAGATGGGAGATTTGGAGTTGAAGAACTTGCAGCTCAGATGAGAGATGGGCCTGTGAGTAAAAGCTTCTGGATAGCTCATGTCACTGTAGACTTTGGTGTGGATCCCTTCCTTGGCGTTTTCCCCAACACAACCATAGATCCCGAATGTGAAATCTTACAATTACCTACTGCACTGGACATGTGCAGATTCTGACCCATACTGGTACACTGCCAGCAGAGTCAGAAAAAATGCATTTTAATTTTAATTAAGTTTTTAAAGACAGGGTCTCATGTAACCCAGGCTGGCTTCATATAGCTGAGGCTGTTCTTAAACACCTATTCATGCTGTTTCAGCCTCCCAAGTGCTGGGATTGTAAGTTTGTGCTCCTATACCTAGCAAAATATCCTTTGAAAACACTAAAATTAAAAATATGAATGAGGTACTATGTGATGACTCAATGCTCGTATACATTTTGAGATGTTTAAAAGTTAAAAATATCTACATCCCAAATCACTTATTTTTTTTATAGTAAAATCATCCCAAGTTCTTTGAGGTTTTTGAGATACACAGTGTGTAGCTGCTGGTACTCACCCTCCTGTGCAATAGCACAATGGGGCTTACTCCTATATGAATAGAGCTCAGCCTTCACTGATCTATGTCTTCCCTCCTCCCTTTTTTTCCTACTTTCCCAGCCCCTGGTCACCATCATTTTATTCTTTGTGTGGCTGAATGGTATTATGTTGTGTATATGTGCTACATATTTTGATCCATTCATTTTATTGAAACCCAGTCTTCATTTCTTAGCTATAGCAATAATGATGAAAAAACAGGGGAGGTCAGATGTCTCTTTGTCAAATTGATTCATTTCCTTTTGGTCCATACCCAAGAGTAATATAGTTGCCTAATATGATATTTCTTTTTTTTTTAATTTTTTTATTTTGCAATACAATTCAGTTCTGCATATCAGCCACAGATTCCCTTGTTCTCCCCTCTCCCGCCCCCCTCAACTTCCCCCCAGCCCACCCCCCATTCCCACCTCCTCCAGAGCAAAGCCTCCCCCGCGGACTGAGATCAACCTGGTAGACTCAGTCCAGGTAGGTTCAGTCCCCTCCTCCCAGGCCGAGCCAAGCGATCCTGCATAGGCCCCAGGTTTCAAACAGCCAACTCATGCAATGAGCACAGGACCGGGTCCCACTGCCTGGATGCCTCCCAAACAGATCAAGCCAATCAACTGTCTCACCCATTCAGAGGGCCTGATCCAGTTGGTGACCCCTCAGCCATTGGTTCATAGTTCATGTGTTTCCATTCGTTTGGCTATTTGTCCCTGTGCTTTATCCAACCTTGGTCTCAACAATTCTCGCTCATATAAACCCTCCTCATTCTCGCTAACTGGACTCCCAGAGCTCCACCCAGGGCCTAGCCATGGATCTCTGCATCCGGATCCCTCAGTAGTTGGATGAGGTTTCTAGCACAACAAAAACTCCTGTCTTCAGTCTATGAGAAAAAGTGACTGAGCTCTGGGTGTGCGGGAATCCATGTCAAGGATAGACAGACTTCACTGACATGAGTGAGGTGATTCTCTGGAACACTTACCTTCAAATCATTCTATTTCCCTCCTCTCAAAAAATATCCCAAACCCATCATTATTCTTTTGTACTGAAACATCTAATAAATCAGAAATGTTTCTGAAAAAAGAATTCTACAAATTCACTGAGGTAGTTGGCACTTGAGAACAAATGACCTCACTTGCTGCTATATGAAGGCAGCATCATCCTTGGGATGAATGGACATTAAGTTGAGGAGATTAGACAGAGATGTAAGGAAGGTGGGGAAACAGATTTTTAAAACAAGGTCAGTCACTGGTTCAACAAGAGACCATTGATATCCACTGGGAACTGGAAAACTGTCGGGTGTATTTGCATGAAGATGGTAACCAAGAAGGTCAAAGGTAGTTCCAAAGACAAGCTATTTGCTTTGCAGTTTTCTTAGCTCAGTCCTTAGAATTTGAAGCAATAATCCCTCTCCTCTTTGACATTAAAGGACTCCTCTTTCTATCATTCTGGGTTAAATGCAGCAAGAGCATATATAGCCAAATTATATCAGAATATCCATTGGCTCTCTGATTCTCATTTTGTGGAGTTTAAAATAATGTCTCCTCTGATCAAGTGCTATATTT